ACTCGAGGGTCATCTTCAAAGTCACTAATTATTTGCTGATCTAATCATTTTGATACATATCTATAGATATAAATAATTTGATCAATTAATACATAATTTTCCTATAAATCTTTAATATCTTTGTTTATTTATATATTAAGTTTTTATGTTATTATTAGTTTATTATTTTTATTTTTTCGGTAAACTTATAGAAAACTCATTAAAATATTCATTATATGAAAGCCATGTGTCATAAATGTGTTAAACATTTATAATTATTCTATGCTTTAAGATATAGTGACTGCAATCAATCAAATTTTTGTAAAAATTAATTATATTAGCATTTTAGGCAAACATAACTGCATTTACTTTAGTGATAGCTATTATGTATTTGTTATGTCTTTTTTTGTTTGTTCAGTAATTTGCTGTTGAATGCCATGCGTTCAGAAATAATAATTAAAAATAAGTAATACATATATAAGATGATAGTATTTTGTATATAAGTATATATATATATTTAGTTAGACTGTGAACTGTCACACACATTGTACAGATGACAACAATCCCAACCCATTTGCCAATTGCTTAACAATACAACACTATTGTATTACTTTATGACTTAAGCCGTACGCCTGTATGCCAGACGTGCAGCCAAATCGCCGATCACTGACACATCCTTTCGCCCGACAAGACATTCATCAAAAGTGATTACATCCGCATCTGCTCTTCACAAGACATTTGCAAAACATAAACTCTATGTCTATTAAAATGACATTTCTTTGTGTTTATCCGTTTTAAATCCATTTTTAAAAGACCTTACACTCACTCTAACACATATACATACGTACTGTACTCTCAATGTTATGTTATATGAGACCTAACAGGATATCCATTCATCCCGTTTGCAAAATTTTTTTTCCTAATTCCCAAAATTGCAGCGAAAAAACTTAATTTTCAGCATATAATAAATTTTGCATATTTTTCTACACATTTTTTGAAAATAAAAGAAAAGCTTTAAAAATCCCTCTTTTTCTATAGTAAAGCATATTGACTTTAGATGAGAGTATATTCACTGTTTCACTCAATTTAAAACATTTTATTTCATCTTTAATTAACACAAAAATTTTTGTTTTCTTGTAAAATGCATATCTTTTTTATTATTAACATTGTATACAAAAGAGTGTAAACTCTTTTCAAAGAAAACAAATCACTTTATATGTATCATTACATCTCTTTGCAGTCATATTTAGTTATATTTATGTGCGATATATATATAATACATTTAAAATGTTGATGAGTTTGTCTATATTGTCTAAACAGTTGTTGCCGTTAGTGTTGAAAAGCAAGTGTTGTATAAGAGAAACGATGCTAAATGTGATTATTTAAATGTTATGTCTTTTAATACCTCATGTCTTATATCTAAACGATAACAATCAGTTACTTCCCATTCTTTTGACTATTAATATGACTTTGCTCTTTGACAGACATATAACTGTCTGATGACTTTACACTAAAGTATAACTATAGACTACTATTATTAAATTTGTGCCAATAAATCCTATTACAAACACATTATAACACTATAAGTAGAGAGAGAGAGAGAAAAAAAAATTGTTTGATTTGTAATACCAAACAAAAAAGAAATGTTTATTAGTGTTGTTGTCTAAGTTATGCCTCATTTTTTGATTTCATGTTTTTTATCGCTTCTTATCTTTTTTTCAATATATCGATTGTTTTATTGTAGTCGTATTGCAAACATCACAACACAAATAACAAAAAAATGTATATTAGTGTATACTATGATAAGTATTATTTTTTTTGGTTCCCTTAAAAAACGGTGTGTCACTACTATTGACAACAAACTTACAAAAATATTATATATATATGGATTTTCTATAGAAAAAAATAAACTTTTTAGCTAAATATTATCGCATAACAATTGACGTGAATCCGCATCCAAAGCTTCTCATTAAAAGCCCAAACATTTTATTATTTTGTCGTTTGAATTACTCATTGATTCGTTGCATTGCTAACATTGTTGGTTAGCATTGGTGTTGTTTTTTTGTTGTTAAATTACTTATATATTTTCATATACTGTATGTACAGTATTTGGTTATAAGCAAACAATACTTTTTCTAAACGAGCGAATTAGTTATAGTATATAAAAACTATTTAAAATATATATTGATTTAATTGACCCAAAATTGCTTTTCTCGTATGAAATCTCACTTTTCTATACATTTTTGTTATGAGATTTTATTCGTTCAGAATATTGTACTTTTTTTAGTGCTGTCGTCGATAGTCTATAACTAATGAGAATAATGTAATATCATATACAGTATTAATATATGATATTACAATATATTGTCAGTGATACCCAACAATATATACAGTATATAATTACTATAGTAAATGACAACTGTTACGAAACCATATGAATACATGTTTAAAGTCAGTTGCAAATCATTTGAATTAATTGTTTCACTAATTTATTGTGCGATTCAAAAAAATGTTTAGCAACACATCAAACCATAATAGCAGCCTTTAAATGAAAATTAAAATAAAACATTGTTTTAGCATATGATTTATGGTTTTCATATAATATATATATATATAAATGTTTTAATACGCGACTGCACTGATTATCACCATTTGAACAACACTTGCGCCAAACATTTGAGACCTAAAGATGTGCTCATTTAATAATTTATTACAATTGAGATTCAATTACAGTTGAATATTGTATTGAATATTATTTGCAAACCATATTAACTATTAAAAAGACGTCTATTATTATTATTATTATTTAGTTTTTAGATAATAGAGAGACTCGTGTCTTATGTCATCATTTTAATCAAAAGTTGTTATATCATCACAAATGATCACAAAATTTATTAAATATTTATATTTAGTATTTATTTTTTCTCTATTTAAATGTTATCAAAGTTAATGAATTATTGATTGATAAAAACTGTCATTTTTTTGTAATATAACATTGTATTAGTATTTTTTGATGATTTATTTGTTTGGAAATCGACTTAATATAAACATAAATTTTTGATAAACAACATTATAAATGTTTTAAAAACTAGTTTTGTTTTTTCTCTAATGCTTTTAAAGCAAGTTGTTGTTGTTGTCAACAATGAAATTGATATTAAAAGTGATTACAATTACATATTTGCCGATAGAAATCAATGCGAGAATAATAATGACTATAATATAAGTAATTGTTATTCATATCGATTTCCATTACAACAAAACTTGACTCCAATTAAAAGCAAATGTGAAGATATCACAAATGTTTTGGATGTTAAGCCAATTGTGAATAATAATAATAATAATAATAATAATAACAATATATTACATATCAGTAGTAAATGTGAACCACTAGACTCTCAAAGTAAAAGTCAATTGATTGGGTCCGGCAATTGCATCGGTTGTCCACTGGTTTGGCCTATTATCATGAGAGTCTGGTCTAATTGTACTATTAATTTTGTATCACTTATTGGGTACGAGTTTATTGATATTACAATCTTTTTTTGTGCTAATAATATCGTTTTTCTAATTAAATTAATTTTTATTTATATGGTATCATTTAATATATGGGTTCATATTATTCCTACATTAATTTATTATATATATATATAAGTTTTAACTTGTAATTTTGATTAACTAATCTTGAAATTGAATTTATTTTTATAAATATTAATATTTATTTCAATTAATATATTAATTTATTATTATTATTTAAGGTTATACTATTTGTTTTTATTAGCGTTTATTTTATTTTTAAATAATTAAAATTTACTATTCTTTGGTTTAGGCGTCAAAATAATTGATTACCAATTTATCACTTATTAATGTTCTTTTAAAACTAGATATTATTTAACGATTGAATTTACAGATATTGTTAATAACGGAATTAAACATTAGTTTAATTTTTTTATATTTGTTTTAAATGTAATTGAATGAATTTTTTTTATATATTTAACCTTCTGTTTGAATTATAATTATTATTAACGGTTATAACTTATTTGTTAGCCTTATCTTTATTGGCAATATTTTTAAAGTATTATAAATACTACTTTTTTAATTTATTAATTTTTACATTTTTGTCGCAAAATTTCAATGTCTGCACACATTTTTAGATAATTTATTATTTTTTATTCTATTTAATTGAATATATATTTATAATATATTTTTATTTGAAAAAATGCTGTGTATGATATTTTATATACTAAATTATACAGTATATGACGATTGACATTTTTTGATTAAATTTATTAATAATTATTATATTAATAGATATATTTAGAGTCAATAATAATAATAATAATAAATAAATAATTCATTTGATATATTCATTAAAATAAAAAATACAAATTACTTGATATTTTAAGTTTAAGATATGAATTGAATTGATGTTAAGGTTTGGTCCTTTAGTACTGTGTTTTAGGCTATGATAGGAGTGGACATCACGTTTGCATTTTAAATATATATTTTTTAATATTATATTTTACTTATTATTATAAATATAGCTTTAAATTTATGGCAATTTATAATAAATATTTAAGTGTATTGTTAGTTACATAATAGTACAAACAAAAAACAACACTATTATTTTGTTTATATTCTAATTTGAAAAATTAAAACATTTTATAATAAATAAAAAAAGAGGCAAATCTTGATTTTTATCAGTGATTAATAAGTATAATCAAAATATCTAAAAAACAAATTGCTTTTAAACTCTAAGTTTAGCATAAAAATGAATAACAATTTTTTTGTGTGTAAATTAGTGCAAATATCTGAAACAACTAATTTAGTTTTTCCGGGCTTTAAATTCAACACAAAAGCTATAAATTGAATTATAAATTTGTTTGCGCTTAAAAATCATTGACTCATTTATCGATTCATTAATATTAATAAACAACTGTTATATATAATTATTTTAGTGAATGAATGTCATTATAAATTAAAATGACTGATATTTATTTATTTATTGTTTGTATTTTTATTAATAGGAAAGCGCGTCGTAAGGACAAGGATGTGAGTGCCGTCAGCTCATCGCAAGAGGAGACCAAACAATATCTTCATTCAGCACTGCTTGAGTGCACTACACCTGAGGACAAATTGCGTCAAATTGTCAATTTGCCCGAAGGTGTCGATTACAATGAATGGCTGGCATCACACAGTATGACTTCCTTTACTTATATACAGTATATATATACTCTACTATATATCATATCTTACCACTTAATTATCTCATCTTTTAATAATATATACTATTATGTAATTGTTTTTTTCATAACAAATGTTTCAATTGTTTGTTCCTATTTTTTCATTCATATCAACCAAAGCGCTGGCATTTTTCGATCACATCAACCTATTGTATGGCACGATATCCGAGTTTTGCAGTATGTCTGGATGTCCTGATATGACCGGTCCCTGTAATAGGTACGACTAATATCGTAATCATTATTATTATTGTATTATTATTATTATTATTGTATAATAAATCTACTTAAATTTAATAGCAATATTGCTATTCTTATATGTATTATTTAAGCAATAATAATAATACACCTAAAAGTTCATGTACTCAAAAAAAAGTATATGAGATTTATTTGAAGCGCCCGTATTGTTCACAACATGTTTGACCACAAATTGATAAAAATCTTATGTTTCAATAGCGTCTTTAAAAATATGATTTATGAGCACTTGAAGCGTACAATAAGACACAATTGTATATACATTGTGTATATACTGTGTATATATATATTAATACATTGTATTATATAAAAAAAACAATATTAAAATATTTGGTGTATTTATGGCATTTTACAGGTCGTACTTATGGATTGACGAAAAGGGAAAGAGATGTAAAGTAGCGGCGCCTCAGTATATCGATTATGTCATGACTTTCACACAGAAGACAGTTAACGACGAATCTATATTTCCCACAAAATTTGGTGAATGAAATACCTTTTTTTATAAATATATATATATATATATATATATATCATATATAAATCATTTGATTAGCTTTTATACACTATTTTTTGTGGATATACAGTATAGTGTTTTGTTAACTATATATTGTTTGAAAATAAGATTTTTGCGATAAAACAATTGTTGTATAATTTTATTTTTTATCTTATTCTAGTTACTATGATATCAAGTTTGTAGTTTTATTTTTTAATTTTTATTTTTTTTTCTTTATAAAATTTATACATCATTAAAATGTTGTCAGATTATATAACTTATGTTTAAATTGCAATATAAATGTATATATAGAGTTACATCACAAACAGTTTTGTTATGCATGAAAGACATTAAATTTATATTAAATTTATACACAAGAATATTCTTGAATATATATACAATAATAGATTTTGAGAGCCAGGAATTTAATAAAAATATTATTATATATATAAACACATATTACAGAATATATATATATTATTTAGACAATTTTATTAAATTGAAAAATTGTTTTATCATCAAATAACATACTCTAAGTATTCTGATTTTATTTAAAATTGATTTATATATGATATGATATTATATTTTGAGTGCAATAAATCTTATTAAATAATGTATTATTTTTATTATTATTATTATTGAAATATTACAGATAAAGAATTTCCGCCAACGTTTGAGTCAATTGTCCGCAAGATTTTAAAGTTATTATATCACGTGTTATCACATATATATTATTCACACTTTAAAGAGATAGTTATGTTGAGTCTTCACTCACATCTGAACAGCATTTTTGCTCACTTTGTGCTCTTTAACGATAACTTCAAACTAATTGAGGACAAAGAGATCGAAGTGCTGCACGATTTAGCCGTTGCTCTCAAACTGTTTCCCCCGTTGGTCACCGAACAGGACGTCGATCCGATGTCCATCACTCCGACGTTGTCATCAATGGACAGCATTGGCTTAGGGTCTGAACATAGGACTCACTTTGCGATCAACAGTGCAATCATTGATAATAATAACGCCGTTATAACGACTCAGTGCCGAAGTATCAGTCCTTTAGTCGACACGACTAATACAAAATGTTTGCAATTTTTGGAGAACTCAAGAAATAGACAGAAAGCGCTTAACGATAATAATAATGACAATTGCGTTGATTTAAGTGTTATTAAAGTGCCAGAAATACGTTCAGTCATCAATCCATTGGCTGACACGACAAACACGTTGAGCGCCGACACCAAAACCAATAGTCAATCGATTGAATTTAGTAGTGATTTAAAGGATAGCCGGCGATCTATATCTGCCAGTGCTATACTATTATCATCATCCGATCCTTCCATTCCAACCACAATCAGCCGACGCTGTAATTCTGATCGAACCGCAGGAGGCAGTGGCAGAATCAGTGGTCCCAGAAGTACCATTGCTTCTATATATCATCGTTTTGATCACCGCAATAATCACCCATTAAGGGACAGATCATCAATTGTTGTGATGAATGCGACACAACCGGTGTTTGCCGCCTGTGGTTCCCATCCGTATCAGTTCCAGTAGAGTCTTATTAAGTCAAATGGTTTATAATAATAATAATAATAATATGGACACTAAATAAATGATATGATTGTCGTCGTCATTGTTTGTCTTCATCGATGCCTTCACTGCACTTGTTCTCTATATTAACTACAAAACACTGTCATTAGTCTGGATTGGACGGCATATCTCTTTCATTTGTCTGATTGATTGACCATTCAATCCATAATTATTATTAAACACACAAAGTCTTTGTAGAATTGAATTCTTCAAACTTATTGGTTATATATTTTTAGACTGAATTAGTGTAACATTTTGCTGACATTTAAATTGTGTGAACACACTATTAATGATTTTCATTTTTGTTTCTTTTTTTGGACAAAAAAAAAGTTTGTTTAGAGCACACAATAACATATAATAATAGATAATAAGTTTTTTTCTGTTATCATAATACGGGATCCAATCAAATGTCTTATTAAAAAATATTTTCTTAGTATATGAAAGAAATAAATATATATATATAAATATATTATATATAAATAAATGCCTCAAATAATGATTTTGACGAATTTTTTTTTTGAAAAATCATAGAAAAAATATAAATATTTAAAAAATTATTTAAAAAAATTCATTATAAATATTTATATTTATTAATTAAAATGCTATGTTTAGCACTATTTTATGCACTCGACTAATATTAATTTATATATATATATATAATATTAGTGAACAAAAGTTTTTCTAATTATTAAAAAATAATGATAATTATAGTTAGTTTTGTTTTTTTAGTTTAGGGAAAACAAAATGAAATTCATTTTACATATTATTTAAAAAAATAACAAATGTTTTGACTAAAAAACTAAACAAATTATGAAATTTATTTTCACTGAAATCTGTGATCTTATAAAAAACATATTTAAATTATATATAAAGTTTTATTGTAAATGAAGTGAACGCACGAACTGATTGTGTGCTAAATATATATTCAAATAAATGATTGATTGAAAAGTATCCACAAAAAAATAGAGAGATTATACCTTAAAATCAATATATCTTGCAATCTATAATAATAATTATTATTATTATTTAAATTGAAAAACTTTTATCGTTTCAAACAAATTGATGAGATAAACGATGTTCTCATATAACAAATATAGAGAGGCCTTAGATATTATTTAACAATCAGTATATAAATTAATTGAAAGATGTTTGCAAAAAATAAATAAACAAATAATTGACAATTAAACGATTGACTTAGGATTTTATATTATTTATTATTATTATTTATAAATAAAGTGTACAATAAGTTTTTTTGTTGTAGATATAATGAAAGAAAATTAATTAGTTATTAGGCTATTGTATACAAAAAAATATGATAACAAATGAAGTGATTATTATTATTATTATATTATTTTTTATTTTGCCATTAATTTCTAATTTGATTTCCATTTGTTTAAAGATTAAAACACTTTTGTCTTATTACTAAAACATCGAGTTTTTAATCTTGTTTTTTTAAATTCATTTATTGATTTTTAAAACAATAGTCTGTTTAATCTATGAATTAATTTTTATTATTATTATTTTGTTTCATTTGTAATACAATGTATGCTCTCATGAGTAAAGAGATTGTGATTTCTTAATTAAAAAGACATTTATTATAATAATAACTATATATAATGTTGATAATAACTGTTTCAGTATAGACCAAAAACAGACAAACAATATAAACCTAAATAAAATTGATAGACATATCCCATGAATTAAAAAATATATATTTATAATAAAATTAGTTTTTCTATCATTTAATTCATATTACTATAACTACTATTTCTTTTAATTCAATTTAATTAAATACAAATAATTTAAATTATTACTAAAACCTTATTATACTTTTGATCTCTAGTTATTTGTTTTTAGTTTTTTTTGTTGTTATAACAATTGTGACAATTTATGAGCTAATAATATATTTTTAAAATGAAAATATTTTTAAATTTTTCTGCACTAATATTTTTTTGTTTATATCTAAATTTAATTCTTAAAAAACTTGTCTTTTATTAAAACAATTTTTAGTTATAATTATTTTTTTGAATTAAAATTTATTTTTAAAACAATCTGTATAGACATAATTGAGAAAATTTAGCACTATTTTTTCGACAATCAAAAAAAATCTAAAACATCTTAAACAATAACAACAACAAAATTATTAACTTATATATAGTTTTTAAAAAATAAAATTGTTGAAAATTATATTAACCTCTGCTCCCAATATAAAGTGTATATAATTTATTATAAAACAACAAAACAAAACAAAAAAGACAGAGACTTATTGTTGATTTTAATGACATTTTTGTAAACAGAATATTCTGTAAAATAATTTATTCGTTAAAAAGACTTATTGTTTATATATATAGCAAAACCACTGTTACATATGATATAAGAGATAAATATTTATTAACAATTGATGATATGATAATAATTAATAAAAATAATAACAATACTGTACCTGTATAATGTATGATTGTATATTTGGGCACATTATTTGATATTTGTAATGAATGTAAGGTTTAATGTATAAAAAATGAAAATTAGTTTAAACACTAGTCATATTTACTGTATATTAAATGAATCGATAAATAAATAAATTAATTAATAATTTTAAAAATAAATAAATTTCACAATAAAATGATAAAACATGTGTTTTATTTATTTCATTCAATTCAAACAAACTATTTTTTTCCCAAAACAGACCTAAAAACCAAAATATCAAATATTTTTACAAATGTTTGCTATAGTTATTTAAAATAAAAATATTTATTAAGTTATGGACGGAATCTCAGCTAATATTTATTTAAATAATTGATTACAAATTGATAATTGACTAGATTTTAACCATTGATATTATTATTGTTAATATTTAATGTTAAGTTAGGTTTTCTAATAAATTATAAATATTAGTCAATATTTCTTATTTATCACTTTATTTTGGATGGCTTTAAAATTTATGTTTTTAAAAATCAAATAATTATGTTATATATAAATATGTAAATAATTTTTTGTTTGTGTGACATACTATATATATATATAAATAAATTTATTATTGAATAATTACTTAATAATTAATTCAATTCAAAATTTTTTAATTATTTTAGTTTTATAGCAATATATACACTAAATTATTTAAAATGCTCTAAAAACACAAAACTATATTTAAATATTATTTTTGTTCATTTGCTGACAATTGTCTATTTGGCACAAATCGTGCATTTGTTCCGTTATTTTATCAATATTTGCTGAGTATATGTAATGAATTGAAGAAATGATATGAAATGATTTGCAAATTGAAGTGAAAGTTATTTTTCGTTTACCAATACGTTTAATAACCTGTGAATTACTGAGTCTAACGTCTAAAAGTCCAAACAAGAAGTAATAATTATTTCTAAAAATAAACGGTTGAAATGTATGGATATATCGAGGATATCATGAAATTCAATGATGTTTTCAATGAATAGTTTCTTTCAAACTTCCGATTCTTCGTCCTCTTCCCTCTGTTTGACGACATTTGTCTTAAATTCCTAATTATTAATGATATGTAAATAATGTATAAATTTATTTGTGTAACCAATCAGTCAATTATCAGTTAATCATTAAATCAAACCATTATTATACGACTAATCACTCACTTCTAGCTCTTTTCTCAGCAGTTCTATCACTGTCCGCATGGATGCGATGTCCGCCTTCTGAATGGTCTCTAATTTAGTCAACTGTTCTGTCAGTGACTTATTGGTAGTTTCCAAAGCCTCCACCCTTTCTGACAATTCATTTGCCCGATCGGTGAGCTCTGAGTTCTCTGTATTCAAATTCTTGACGATCTGAACCACATCTGCCAATCGATTCTTTGCCTTTTAAATAAAAGATAACAATTTCATCAAAATTATCAAACAATACATTTATAACACAATACATAAAAATAGTCATTTATTTCTTATAATACACAGAATTGATTAATAAGTTCAATGAATGCATTCAATGAATGAATTTTTAGATTTATTTCAGTTGTAATTTGAAAAAAGTCTTCGCCTATTATAACTAATGAGACTATTAGTTGATCGCATTAATTAAGGACAACTAACAATATCAATATATGTATGTATGTATGTGTGTGTGTGTGTGTGTGTGTGTGTGTGTGTGTGTGTGTGTGTGTGTGTGTGTGTGTGTGTGTGTGTGTGCGTGACAGAGAGAGAGAGAGAGAGAGAGAGAGAGAGAGAGAGAGAGAGAGAAATCATTCATTAGTTAGTTTCATAAAATAAATGATATTTTCCTAAGAGATCATTAAATCGTATAAATCATGTGTTTCGCGAGTTTTGGACATTACTTTTGATGTATTTGTATTTGAAATATAATATTAGCCACAAAACTATAACTTACTCTAAGTTTGTTTATTGTATCAATAGTTTGACGTATCGATTACTCTAATTTTGTTGGCAATAATTTTATATTATAGTTATTAAATATATTAATATATTTTTGTTTGTAACTAATATAAAAAAGCTAAAAACTATTAAAATTAGCATATATTAAATTAACACCAGTAATATTATAATTATAAATCATACGGTTTTGTTATTATATATTATATATTATATAATATTTTATATTATATAATATAATATATAATATAGACATTTGTTTAATTTATTTAATGTCATAATTTTAAAATAAATTGCTTGTAATTTAATATTTCTGCTCAATATATCATTAACCTAAACAAACTTTTTTATTTTTTATTGTAAACATAAAGTTGTAAAATATAATTTAATGGGAAATTGTTAACTCATGTATTAAAAATGTATAAATTTGTTTAAAAATAACAAAACATAATAATTAGAGAATATTTAGTTTTTACAAAAATTAGTTTTACAATTATTAAATGTGTGGACAATATAACCAAAACAGCAAATTACTATTACTATAATCCTACCTGTCCTCCATTAGGTGTATTGCTCTGTAATATATGTTTAATGACAATATCCATATGTGAAGACCAGTTGGATTCGTGTTCGTCGACCTCCGATTTTAAGCCCTATTTAGATATCAAAAAGTGATTAAAAAAAAGTTTATAAAATTAATTTATTTTAATAATTAAAAAAACAATTTTCATAACAATTAGATAGCAATCATACATACCGTGAACTTACAGCCCAATTGTTTGAGCTTACAATTGGTTGGTTTGAGCGGACAGTTCTCCATATGTGACTTCAAGTCTTTCTGTTGTATTGTCTGTTTGTGACAGTAGTGACAACTGACCGGCTTTTCTGGACAACAACTTTCGTGTTCTTCTCGGGCGTTGAACGATATGTCTTCGTCACAGTATTTACACTGAACTATACGTCGCGGACACATTTTGGCCATATGTTCGGGTAATATCTTTATAATGATGGCCTGACCACACTTGAGGGGACAGTGAACTAAACCGTATGAACACGACTTCATATGACCCTAAAGTTTTTGAACATATTATATATACAATGAATTAGTATTCAATCGCACGATTGGTTCTCAGATTTTTTAGTAGAAAATATTTATTCATATATTTTAATATTTATAATATTATGTAAGACTTCCTGTCATGAATAAGACATACCTCTAGTTCAGAGAGTGCCATAATTTTACGACATCCGCGACCCTTATGGGAACAGTGAACTTCTTTCTCCAGTATCAGCTCTGAATTGGCCATTGAGTTGGTCTCCATTTAGCTAACAAATACATTGACATTGGATTTTTGCTTTTCAATTATTAAACTACTCATTGATTGTATATTTATCATAAAAATCATATATCAAAGCAAATTATATATATATGTCAAATACCGATACAAATATTATTACAATTATTAGATGATTATTATATAAACACTTCAATTTGTAATCGTTATAACTATATGTCTATATAACTATAGATATATTTATGAGTATTGAAAAATATGGGACAAAAGTAGCGCCCCTACCCTACCCTACCCTACCATAGACTACCATTCCTTACGACATGTATTCCCAAAAGTCTAACGTTAGCTCAGCTTTGCTTTCACTGCACATACCGTACCTGAGCTCAGGTATTCCTCTTCAGGTATATACTCAACAGTAAAAAATAATTGCGGCAATCGTTATACACATACAATACACTCTTAGGTAAGCCCAGCCCTACGCATACATTTGCAGTCAAATGAAATTCAATGTTTTTAAATGACTTTTAAATTCAAAAAATACCTTCAATTGAAACATTAATTCATTTGGCAATCAATTGGTTTCACACGACTTTCACTGAATTTATCATTCAATTCAAGCCATTTAACTGTTAGGCAAACAACTATTGTTAAGCAAATGTTATTTTACAATAAATATTTACTCATTTATTATCAATATATAGGTTAATATAAGTTTTCTTATCTGTTTTTGGCAAATATATTACAATTTACTAAAAATAAAAATCTAATATACTTTGTAATCATTAATTATTTTATACACATCTAAATATAAGTGAAACATAGTTACATACCTATTAATATTATTGTTATTATTATTATAATTTGTTTAATCAGTGTCCAAAATTATTACACATCAAATAATTGCGAATTTTATTATAAATTTTATTAAATAATATATTTTTTATTAAATTAAAAAACAAACTAAATGCCAAATAAAACCAAATATAATAAATGATAGATAAGTGTAGACACTTGTAAATAGTTTTATATATCAGGAATTAAATTATATTATATATGTTTAACAATAATATATTCTGTTTTTTATCGCACATAACATATATCGCTATAGAAACCCATTAAAAAACTTTTTTAAAGCACTTATTAATAATAATATATTTACAATATATTGCTAGTTATATATCATTTATTATATACACTTTTATTACAATTCATACTATACATCAAAACACATATCATATATCAAGTATTACTAGTTAGACATTTGAAGTCAAAATATATTTTTAAAAATTTAAGTTTAATATTAAATTAATTCAATTATTTAAACAAATAAGATTGAAAACATTTTTCTAGTGATTTTATATTATTGATTAATTAAATTAATTGCTTATATTTTTATATAAAAATATTTAATTTCAAGAAAAATGTAATTTATTATATAATAATAATAATTATTATTATTATTATTAAATGATTTTATAACAAAAATTGTGTAAAATAATATAAAATAAGTTTTTTTTTGTGAATTATATTATCAATGATTGTCTTCAATGATGACCCAAAAAGTGTGTTATAAATAATATTTTCAAAATGTTGTCGTAATTATTGAATACTTGATTTGTGTGACAAATGGTGTGAATTGTTTGATACCAACAATGGCTGAGAACTTGAAGAAGAGTTTATCGAAACTAAAAGTCATTGAATTGAAAGAAAAATTACAGGAATTGGGAAAAACACCGAAAGGTATGTCCAGTAGTAGTGATGACAATTCAAACCAATTGATGGTCATTGATGGTGACAATTGCATGACAGGACTTAAAGCCGATTTGGTTATCCAATTGGCCGAAGCTATTGACGAGCAAAACCAATTGGCCAACAATGCCGGCGCCGGACAGACACTACCGCCGCCATCGTTGCAGACGTTTCCGCCGCAGGAGTTGGTGGGCGCCGCAGGACTACAACGGGACACGAATGAGCCGCAACACTACTATCAACAACCGGTGCCGCCGTTTGCCATGAGTGGTCAACCCGTTTACGAACAGCCGACGCAATACATACAAAGTCCATACGAAACACCGTATCCGTACCAAACACATCAAGTGTTTAGTCCACCGCATGAACAACAATACCAACAAAGTCCCAATCAGTACCAAATGCCAGCACAAGTGAGTCCCGGTATTAATACACAAATTGCAGCACAACTGTCGCCGCAAATGAACAGTTCATTGCAGCAACAGTTGAGTCCGCAATTGGCTCAACAATATCGACCGCAAGAGTTTCAAAGTCCACACCGAAATTTTCCGACCAACGACTCGGAAGCCTACGTCACTGAATACAGCGGTCAAACAGCTGCCGAAGCTATTCCTCATTATGGACACCAAATACCACATCTGGATATGCACGCTATGCCTCAAACTCAACCACAGATGACATCTCCGCCACACATTCACAGACCACCAGTTATAGAGAACTATCCGCCAGAGTTGTCTCAAAGTCATAGTTTTCCGCCAAATATAACGGCATATAAACCCGAAACCGAATCTTTTATTCCAAGTCATCAAACAATTACTGAACCTCTTGTCGCCCAACAGTCACAACAACAGCATTTAGTACAGACAACTGCACCTCAAGATATGCTAGACTTTGATGACGTGACTCTTGGAGTCGATCCAACAGCTGATGTACAATATGGTCAGCAAATGGGTGCGTTTGAAGCGCACCAAAACCCAAATCAATATCAAATGAATGATAATTCAAATGAATTTCAGCACAACGTCACCGATGGACAAGCCTTTAGTCAGCAGCACTCGTTGCCGCCAGAATTGGAAGCCGAGAATACCAACGATGATACTAATGAAGCGACAAATGATGGCTCGACTGACGTAGAGACCAATGAAGAGACTAATGAAAGTTTTGTGACAAATGATATACAATCTGCAGATGATGTTAAAGAATTGGTGACAAATTTTCCCGAACATCAGGTTATTCATCACACGTCAAATATTAACGAAGATGTTGCCGTTCAAGGCCTTACTGCTGAAGAAGTGCCGATTGTTTCTTTGCCAAACAACACGTCTGTTATTATGAGTTTACATCAGTCACCACAACAACCGAAACAAATGGAGGAAAATTCAGAAGATTTGTCACAAACGGATATCGAGTCAATTAAAGTTGAGAGTCAGTACACTAACAATGAAGATATGGACACCTCATCTGATCAAATGACAGGAGACGATAACAATCTAGAGAATGAAAATGCAGACAAAGACATTGAAGACAAAGATATTGAAGACAAAGACATTGAAGACAAAGACATTGAAGACAAAGACAATGCAGACAAAGACATTGAAGACAAAGACATTGCAGACGAAGACATTGAAGACGTTGAGAGCCAAGACACTAATGAGAGTGAAAATAAAATAGAGTTTGAAAATGAGTCTAAAAGTAATGCTGAAACTGATATCCAAGATATTAAACCTGTTAACGAAGAAATTGGTATTAATAATGAAGACATCAAACCAATTGATTTGCAGAGTAATGAAATTGTTAGCCATTTAAACAATGATATCATTGTATCCATACAACGGAGCGCTCAAGAAATGCCTGTCGAATCTGATAAGTCTGATGAAAATGAAGCAAATTATATAGAAATCGAAAAAACAATAATAAAAACAACTATAACTGCAGTTAAAGATGAAGTAATTGAAAAACCTGTTAAAGAAAATGGAGATTTAGACCGAAAGAGTAGTGACAAAAAATTGACTAAAAATCAAAAGAAAAAACAGAGAAAGAAGAATAGAGCTAATAGGAGACAATTGGTGGCAGAAAAACAAACTAATAATGAAAATGAAGACAAAATGGATATTGAAGAGGATGAAGAGGAAGAGATAGAGATTGAATACGTTCCCGAAGAGATTCAAAAAGATCCGGTTTATTTCCAGTATCTCAAAGTTTTTGATAAATTCCGAACCGGAGAATCTATTAAACAGGACGATAGTGCTGTAGTGATATTTGATCCACACCGGAAGATGCTCGAACGCAAGAAACCCGTTGAATTGGAACTCAAAGATGACGACGAAATTAAAGACGGAGAACTAAAAGTATCGAAACGTAAACTCAAACAAATGACTCGAATGACTGTTGCAGATCTCAAACAAAGAGTTAGTCATCCGGAGCTCGTAGAGATGCATGACGTAACCGCTAGGGATCCACTATTGCTTCTTCATCTTAAGGTATTATTATTAGTAGAAATTTGTTGTTTTTTAATACAAAATTTAAAAATGTATTATTAATTATCTATAGGCGACCAGAAATTCAGTGCCCGTTCCACGACATTGGTGTTATAAACGTAAATATCTTCAGGGAAAGCGTGGCTTTGAGAAACCGCCGTTTAAGTTACCAGAGTTTATACGAAGAACAGGTATTATGGAGATGAGACAGGCGTTGCTCGAAAAAGAAGAATCGAAGTCACTTAAGGCGCAAATGAGAGAAAAGATTCGGCCGAAAATGGGAAAAATAGATATCGATTATCAGAAACTTCACGACGCATTCTTCAAATGGCAAACCAAACCGAAAATGACAATTCATGGCGACCTTTACTATGAAGGCAAAGAATTTGAAACACGACTTAAAGAGAAAAGACCAGGAGATCTGAGTAATGAGCTGAGGACTGCACTCGGAATGCCTACTGGACCCAACTCTTTTAAATGTCCGCCTCCGTGGCTCATAGCTATGCAGAGATACGGACCGCCGCCATCGTATCCAAACATTAAGATTCCCGGACTCAATGCTCCCATACCTGATGGCTGTTCGTTTGGATATCACGCGGGAGGTTGGGGTAAACCACCAGTCGATGAATACGGTCGACCTCTTTATGGCGACGTATTTGGTGTCACCACTACTACTGATCAAAATCTTGTTGAAGAAGAAGTCGATCGAACGCTTTGGGGAGAAATGGAAGAAGAGTCCGAAGAAGAAGAGGAAGAAGAGTCTGAGGAGGAGGAGAATGAAGAGAATGCAGGTAATGCTAAGTCTGCAACCAATGATGTCGACGAAAGTGGTTTTGTTACGCCTGCAGAAGGCTTGATGACACCGAGTGGTTTGGCATCGGTTCCAACTGGAACTGAAACGCCAGATATGATTGAGTTAAGAAAACGCAAACAAATTGAAGACGCAATGGAAAAGTATGTCATTTTTATATATATTTTATTTCTAAATTTATTACAAATTATTAATTTATTTTTAATTAAAAATTTTACGGTAATAGTCGTGAAAATCCATCACTTTATACAATCATTCCCGAAAAGTCTGAAAAGATTGGCAGAGAAATGATGGGTTCGGCGCATACCTACGACATGGGAGCCGCCACTCTCAGAAAAGGACAGGGAATTGATTTAGCTCTGGATCCGAGCGAACTCGAAACCGGAGGTATGGATCAGGCGTCGATGGTTGCCAGATATGAACAAACAGTTAGAGAGCAGTCATCGCATTTGGCTAAAGAAGACTTGTCTGATATGGTGGCCGAACACGCGGCCCGACAGAAACGAAAGAAACCTCAAGAGACGAGCAAATCAACCAAAAAATATCAATTCAAGTTTTGATTCAACATTTTTTACATACAGTATATATATATTCTTTTATTTGTTAATATTTGACATCAAATATAAAGATTTTCATAACATCTTTAATTTATATTAAAATTATTATTATCGTAGTTTTGAAACCTTTTTTCTGACACCAATTGTGTTAATTTGATTTTCGTAGTTATTATTTTATTAACCAATAAATGTCATTCAATTAATTATTAAAGCAATTGTCGGTCAAATATATAAATTTGTTAATAATTTGCTAAAAATAATAAAGCGATTACCTGTAATTGTAATTTTTTTTTTAATTATCGGTACTCGAAAAATAAAATAAAAATTTATACACTATTTGTTTCATTATAAATGCATTTTATTTATTTGGCATTTAATTATTTCAGTCAAACTTAACAGATATTATTATTATTTAAAAAAATAAATTTGTAAAACAACTTTTTTTTGAAAAAACAACAAATTATTTTAACTTATTTCGGGTCTCAATCTTATGTTTGGCTGCCGATGACTTCCAGGACATGTCGTACAGGAAAACACCGAAATAGTAAAATGATGTAATCACCAGACATGAGCTGAGCATAAAACTGGCCCGAAGTGGCCAATTCAGTTTGGTCAGTATTGGATAGACCCATACATCGGAAGTTAGTCCCATAAATAAGACCCAAACGCCGTAACCAATTATTACGGCAAATAGTAAACTAAGTTCAGTCTTCTTGGATCGTCTTGTATGACAAACCAGATAGTTGTCCAACAAAACAATCGGAAGTATTATGGTATGAGTACAATGGTTCAGCCAATTTGGGTACCATTTTTCGATACCCACCGGAAATATCAATTGACGATCGATTGCATACAATCCCCAGAAGCTGATCGACACAAATATGGCCAACGGTAGCGCCAATGAGTTGAATAGCGTGTCCCGTACGGTAATAGTAGTCGGCGGACGATTTTTATTGCGACTATTGTTGTTCGGATTGGATATAAAATCGGCGACCAATGATACGGTAAATGTTATGAATTGGATCCATAGGTTCCAATACGTCAGATACTTTAGTCGACCGTATCTTTCACTTCCCGGCGGTAGGACGTGAAGAAATTGCCAACAAATTGAATAACCGTAAGTTATCATTGATATCATATGTATTAATACACTTAACGGATAGGACTTTACACTCATTATGACTGCAATTTCTTTTAATAATTAATCGCCGATTTTTTGGCCACTTTTCCACTAATTTCCTCAATAATAATAATTAAGTAGTGATTTCTCAATAATAATAATAATTGATTAGTTATGTTATGTTATGTTATGTTAAGCAGCGATGCGTTTATAAACGTAAAGCAAAGTTCACATTAAATGTACAAAAATTTATTGAATACTAAAAACTCATTGTTTGGCACTAACTATAAGCCATAGCCTTAAGCTTTAAGACTATTATGAGTACAGTATTACTACTACAGAGTTATACTGTATTAACGCTATAATCAAATCAATTGATGTAATGATATGTTGTTTTGTATAACAAAACTGATTAGAGTGTGAGTCGACTCACTGTTTGTCTAATGTTGTGATGAAATGTCAATACGTTTACAGCTATTAATACAATGACTGACAATAATATCATTTGATGTCACAAACCATTTGATCCAATCATTTGTTGGCAAAACGTTTTTATGTCTACTCTTTTGCCATTCATTATCATTGGACACAAACACACAATTTTGATTAAGCAATTGGTGGCCACAATACATATCAATCAATTGTTGATTATTGGGTTCAATGGCCGCACTTCTCAAGAATCAAGTTCTTAAACATCTATCGAAGTAAGCATTTGATTGTTTGTTATGAATGTGTCAGTTGTGTGATGTCATCACTAATTGTGTTGTCTTCTGTAGGTTCACAAAGAACTTATCGCCCGATAAGCTGAACATAAGTGCAATAAAAGGCTGCTGTGATGTCCATAACATTGAACTCAACGAAGAGGTTCTCATGGATTTGTTGGAACTTCCCGTTTGGATGTCCTTAAGCCGAGCCTTTGTTAATCACGTCTCGCTTAAGGTTCAATGGATGAAACTAAAGACTCTTCCGATATATTTGGCATTAGATGAAGTGGTTGTTGATATCGAAACGGTTGAAGACTTCAGGAGTGAAAACACACGACTTAATACAAATCATTCTTCTTATAAGTTCGACCAACAGTTTACTAATCATTTGTCACTTTAACTAACTTTTAATATATCTTTAATTTTCTGAAAATTTTAGTGATTCGGGTAAATATGGTTTCGCTGACCGTGTTTTTGACGGAATGACTGTTTCCATCAATTCAGTTGTCGTCACTTTTCGATCCAAAGTTTTCATCGCTAATCTTCAAGTAATTGCTTTTTTAATACTAGCGATAATTGTTTTGTTGCAATAACTGACTAAAAAGATGATTATTTTATTGGATCAGTTGTCGCGATTATTGGTTGAGAGCAGAGCTCCCAACTGGAAGCGTAATAGTGACCTGAGATTGACAAGAATTAAAGATCCAAATAGAGGACAGATATTGATATTCAAACACTTGGAGTGGCAGACACTTAGATTTGAGGCCAAATCTGAGTCGAATATAGTTCAAACACCGCTGCGATTAATTGCAAACCAGGCCTCGTGTCGGATCACATTAAAGAAAAGACTGAGCGATTGTGCACTTCTTGGTGCAAGACTTATGGTTATATTTGATGATCTCCTATGGGTTTTAACTGACGCTCAACTGTTATCAGCTCTTCATTTTGCCGATTATTTGGCTCAACTAATCAAGAGAGCGCCGCGGACTAAGAATTTTGTTGATGAACTAGTCGTCAGTTCACAATCGCCAACATTTTCGTCGCTCAAAAACCTTAGCACACAATCTGCCCAAACGGCTCAGTCAGCCATCAGTAGACTCTTTAGTCAACACGATATCTTTGAAACATCGCATCATATATTTGTCAGTCGTATTGAAGTACATTTATGCGATGATTTGGATCCAACCAATGGTCGTTCACAACATCCGAGTCTTAAAGATGGCGGTGCTCTTCAAATAACTATTTCAAAACTTGTTATCGATTTATATCCATATCAGAAGGTTGTGGGCAATCGTAATCATTGGATTAGATATTCCGATCCGTCTTCAAGTCGTCACCATTGGATTAGTGAACACTTGCAGTCATTTGCAGAAAAGAGAGCAAAAACTATAGCAAATCTAAGTATAAATCATGCGAATCGACCGCAAACACGATCGGCATTGAATCAGCTCATGTCTCGAGTTATTTTGATTCGTTTAGCAGATTATTCAATAAGTTGTGTCACAACTAATACAACAACTAAACACAAACTTATCGATAAACTTATTGCCACCGATAAGTCAGCGCCACTTCCCGATGATATGATGGCATTCTATATGGAAGTCAATAGTTATTATTATATTGATTCCAACGAAACAGTTCCCGAACCGACGGCTTTTGTTCATTTGGCTCCACTGAAAATCCATTTTGATCCGCTCACAGTCCTGTGGTTAAATGCATTTCACGCTAATCTCCATAAAGCAATGGTCAAACTTCAAGAAATGATTCCCAAACAAGAAACGCAAAGATTACTAACAAGATTAGAGTGTCTGATGCCTATAATTTCAATCAAATGTCCAGAAGATTCAGAATTTTCTTATCTTGAATTAAAAAGTGCTCGAATTGTTGCCATGAATTGCGAAACCGAAAACAGTAGTTTCGCTGAAATCGACCAATTCATGGAAATGATGGGAAGTTCTCCATTCATCTATGATCGACAAGCATTTCCATGGCTTGAATCTGATCCGAAGCCTGTGTCGGAAGAATTTTTTACTAATTTAACAAAATTAAAAACAAAAGAGAATGAAACAGACGTTTGGACGGTACGAATGGAGCCGTTATGGGTTGAGTTCAGAAATAGAAAGAATAATAAATTTCAACCCCTATTAGATCCCATTCCTATTACATTGTGGGCGTTTGAATCGCCTATCAATGACAACAAAATAACAATTAATAAATCAGATCCCGATCTGAGTCTAATATTATGCATTTCATCGTTAATTAAAGTACAGCTAAATCACAGCCAATATTTATTTTTGATGAGATTTTTAGAGCAAATGAGTGAATTTGGAGCTCAAATGACTTCGGATACAATTCGTATTCAAAATAAAGACTCGAATTCATTAACGAATATATTTAAATGCATTTCATTGATTACAACGATTCCCAATATTGAATTAGTTCTTAAATTAGATGAAGAATTTCAAACCCAGAGAAGTATTGGTGTTTCACCGCAACAATCAGTTTTGGACTTTAGCTCTCCGATAATGAACGACAAATCGTTAGACGAAAATGAAATCAATAAACTAATGAATAATAATAATTCAAACGACAAATTAGTGGACACATCTTATGTGTCAAAATCGCACAGCGATTCTCTTTTAAGCGGTAGTTCCAACTTTGATATTAATAATAGTGTTAATAACACAAAATTATCAAAAAACGATTTTATGCAAAAGGATACGATAGACAGCGCACAGTCGACTTCATTGACTACAATTCCCGCACACATTAAACTTCACAATACGTCAGTAATTTCCTTCAAGAAGAATATTGCCGCCAATTTAGATACCGTTAGTTTCAAAAGTAACTCGACATTCAATGAGTCGGGTCTGGCCGACAGTTGTTCTTCACCTATCGATGACGACAATCGATCGATTAGAAGTGATTTATCGGCAGAGAGCGACCAATTCATTGTTGTCGGGTTTGAAACCATTTCTCAAGAAGAAGACGAAGACATATTCGGTATGACTCGTGTGGAAACTGCCGATGAGGTCAAAGAAGATTCTAATGTTGTTGACACTCCATCTGAAGACTCTGATGCCAATAGTGCCTCACATAATACATCACTAGACAACCCAATTAGTGTTACATTAATTAAGATAAACATATCAAACCTAAGTCTTGTTCATCAGTCAAAAGGATATCATTCAAAGATTTGTTTGCGAGCCTCTGATATACTATTATCTGAATTCATTAAAATGCCATTTAATGATTACCAGACACTTATCAATCAAAGAGTTTCCAATAAAATTAAAAACATTGCAAACCCTAAAACATCTGAAGTGTTGATTCGATTGGAATCATACGCCAAACTTAACTCTAAGGATGAATTAGTCAGTGTTGTGGCCAATGATGTTGATGTCGAGCTCCATATGGATTCAGTTATGCTTTTAAATGATTTTATTACTGATACAGATATGGTTTACGTACCACCGACTAACATATCAGTCAATAATGTTTGCGTCACTTTAGTTGATGACAAAGTAAGTACACCACCGCTGGTTCTTAATATAGAAGAACTGTTCATCGAAAGAGATAAAAGCAATCGAATGAAGATTTATCCACTTTTCAAAAGTAAGAGTCAAAAAAGTGATTTCAAGTTATTATAATTATCTAATTATTTGATTCAATTATGTTATGCTTATTATATCAGATGCCATATCAGATGTCAGCGCACATACAAAACGACTGACAGTTCCTCATTTGAAATTAAGACAACGAAACGATGAGACAATTGATTTAGATTTAGATAAACACATGATTTACAGTCACAACAATGACTGTCGAGGCGATGACAAGTCAGATGTGTTGCAACAAGTTATCAATAGAAATGAAATTTTATTACAGGAAATACAGACATTAAAACTAGAGAACAACCAATTAAGTAATAAACTCAAAGATATTACTCAAAGTCGACACTAAACTAATTGTTTGGTTTTGCTTTTTCAATGAAATTTGTTTTATTTTATTTTTCTCTAAATTTGCAAAACAGCTATTTGTTTAATAACTTATTAAATATTTATTTAAGTTTATTTACTGACAAACTTGTATGAAAACAAACCAATTTGGTAGCAATAGGTGTCAAATTATTTTTATATACATATATATATACAGTCTATTTTGTAACTTTAGTTAATTTGTCAGAAACAGTACATATAATCCAGGATTTATCCAATAATTTTTTTTAACAATCAGTTTTCAAATAATAACTTATAGCATATCAAAAAATGATTACATTTTAAGACATGCAATTGAGGGTTGATATAAATGTGAATAATAATAATAATTATATATATATATTTAATACAATATTATTAATTTGTTATTATTACTACTACTGGTAATAAATTTTAATTACATATACGTTACTCTATTGCCTAAAAAATAGTTAAATAATATAACTGTTAAACAAATAACTGTCATTTAATGAATTGCAACTAAAAATTAAATGGTATTATTTATTTATTTAAAAAAAATGTTGAAAATTATCTATAATTATGTTAATCAAGTGAATCATTTAAGCGATAATAAATGTTATCAAATTAGAAGCATAATTGAGTTAAAACATTGAATGCATTGAAAACACGTTTATTGTGTTAAAATAATAATTGCATTTTAATATTAATAACTGTTTTTTGTTGTCTATTAAATAGTTTTTCAAATTTTATATAAATTTTAATTGAATTAATTATATTTTAATGAAAGTCCTAAATAATTGTTAAACAAAATCAATAATTTTTAAAAATATTTTAGAGATATATATGGATTAATCATATAATTTTAAATGTATTTTAAACTTATTTAATAAATTATTTTTAAAAAAAAAACTTGAAATGTTTGACTTTTATTGTTTTTTTTTAATTATTATTATACGTTTAAAAAATTATATTAAAACACAAAGTTGTTATCATTACGTTTGTATAGTAATTGTATGAATTAGTGGACACACGTAAACATAGAGTATTAAATGTCATAAATAATTGCATCATTATTTTGGCGCCAAAATAGTTGCAAACATTTTGTTGTATGAAAAATAATATGGAAAACAAATACTATTAATAGTCGGTTTGGGTTTTGTTATGGTATATCATATATACTATGTATTAAATGTCATATAAATGTATTATAGAGTATAACTCCAAATCAATAGTTTGCTGATCCCTGAGAGTCACACAAATAAAACACACATTAATTTGAGTTTAATTTAAAAACTCCGGTTTACTAACCAATTATTATTACATTTTAAAACTGGTTTCGGTTTACACAATACTGTTCAATATTATTAGTATTAAACCGATAGTACTGTAGTATTCAAAAGTATAACACAGTATAACATATGATATAAGTGTATAAAATAAATACTTTAAATAAGATATTAATACATGTATTACATAATACAGTATGTAATACCCATAGCCTATGCAGTTATAGTAACTATTGATACAATACATGTACTATTTGTCTATTACTCTCTAGACTCTAGAAATAAGTGTTGTGAGCACCGGGTGTTGAGAACCGGGATGCAAGTGATTGCATAAAAATTAAATAATCAAAAAACAAACACTAATTAAATGCATAACTAGTGATACAATTTATAGAGAGTTAATGGAAATTTCCATTAGTATTGAAGCCATCATTGGATGGTTAGCTGTGATCTCACTGACAATAACTACCTGTGCTGTGACTGACTGGCAGACGACTGCCCTATCGAGACATACCTTTACATAATGTAAACCTTGAGATATAAATGTATATCTAATACAAGTATTATTAATAATAATGGGATTTGTTTAGTGATGTGAAGCAAACAAATATTAATATGTAGTAATAGTGCGAAAGCATTGATAGGTTGTGCCGTTTGGCGGTTCGCACACAAACTGGCCATTCATGCCATGGCTTCGGTAGTAAAGCGAGAGAGAGTGTGAGTGAGTGAGAGAGTTGGCGCTCAATACAGACAACTGTTGTGTTATGTGTTGTGTTTGAGCCGTAAATCAATTTGACGTAAAGTAAAGCACAGTCTGTGCTAACAATTGGCGGCATTTGATGCCAACCTATCGGTGCAGTCGTTCAGTAAAAACGACTCAACTTATAGTTACACTTATACTGTACTCAATGTTTGAGTAGTTATACTGTATTTGAATTGCATTTACTGTTGAATACAGTCATCAGTATTAGAGACCCATAGAGTCATATACTATGGATTGAATGGCAGTCGAGTCAGCCCTCACTACATGTACACTACTGAGCGGTCCGTTCTCTGATTGGTTTAAATGTTAGTCATGTGACGCCATTGTCTCGATGTAGAGGGAGTGCAGTCGTGGTATTGAATGTATTGAATGCAAGCATTGAGTTGTCTCTCATTAAGCGCTTAACTATTGCTTTGTTCGCCGGCTTTTGCATTCATTTCTAGTGATCTATTCATTCGATTTAGTCTTCAATTTGTTCCCTAAAAGTGATCGACAATATCAAGGATGCCGTCAACCAGATCTCGAAGCAGGTGTGGTGTTGTTATAATGTGTTGACAATTGTCGGCAATGATTACTTGTGACCGGTATTTGTGATCAAAAAATTGAAATGTCTTTCAAAAAGACAGTGTTTTGTCAGTGAATGGAGTCTATAGTCGAGCGGCGAAGCAATGCGTCGATCGACGACTCATTTGAATGCAATCTTCGACTCAATTATATATCGGTCTCTGTGTTTGTGACCACTTTAATGATCATCACTTAAATACCACAAAATCAATTGCCAACTAATTGTTAACACTTTTTTTGCGGATCTTATTATTAAAACAATTTCTCTTTATTTGCTTCGCAGCACTGAAGCACCTGAAGTCCCAGTCGAGGACAAGAAGATTGAAAGCAGTGAACAGAAAGAAGAAGCGGCGGTCAGTAATGATTTAATTATTATATTTTGTTGATATAGTATTCGTTGATATATTAAATGAATAAATTTTGAAACAAACAGGAAGTGAAAGAGACGACTGATAAATCAGAGACACTCCAAAAGACAGAAATCACTGGTAGTGCGAGTGAATCGGATAATAGTAACGAAAAGCCTGTCGATGATGACGAAGAAGAAGATGACGATGAGGAGGATAATAAAGTGGATCAAACTAATGATGAGACCAGTGAAGACACAAATGGAGGTTTGTTTGCATTTTTTTTATTTAGTTTTGCTTTCAAATTACTTTAGCTTTTTATATATCATTGCAAATGAATTGAAAACAAACAAAAAACAGCCACCGATAAGGTAGAGAATGGTTCGGCAAAGCGGAAATCAATCGGTGATGAGGCCGGTGATGCCCCCGACAGTACTGATGTAGTGGTCACTCCCAAGAAGGCTAAAGTGGACGCACCGGCAGAGGAGAGCAACGGTGCTAACAATGGCGGCGCCGGTGAACAAAAAGAAACTCCATTGGAAACCACAGCTTAACTGATTATTTCTTCAATTATTTTTTTCAAATTATTTTCTCATTTCAAATGTATTTCAATTCAAAGAAAAAATTTATGTATTATTTATAATTAGTTAATCGAAAATTCATTTTGTGTTGAATTTCATTGAATTTTTTTTTATTTTTTTAGTTAAAAATATGTGATTTCGGTTATTTGACAAACTGTTTATTCAGTTCATATAAATATTTTCACTTTAATAGTTTAATTATTATTTTTTTTATGTTGAACTAAATTTGTGTTAATTAGTTGGGATCACAACTTTTCATTAATGAAAATTGACTCAAAAAAAAACTAAACCAAAACTAGAATTTATAAGCAATACTTATTTATACTTTTTAATGTATTTATAATTGTTTGCGTGTCTTATTATATCAAATGCTTTGTTCCCAAAATTATAAGAGCAAACATCTGCAGGAAATGTATTATAAGCTTATTATTATCAAACAATTTATTACATATTTCTCTATTATTGCTATGTATTTATCGATAAATATGACTTATAAACAAAAATGAATTGTACAATTTTGTCACATTTTTATTATTAATTATTTAAACATTATTTTTGAAATACAATAACAAATTGTTGTCCATTTGTTTACTTACGGTAACTTTATTTTGAAATTATTTATCTATTTTTTCACTTACGTATATATAAATATTTAAAGCACAAGATTTTTTAAAATATAATTAGAGAGAGAATTTGTAACGTTTGGAAATATTATATATATATTTGTGTAATTGAGAGTCAATTTTTTCAAATAAATATCTTATTTGGTTATATGTATTCACTCTCATCACAACAAACATTGATTACATTAAGAAAAGAGAAAAAAACAATTTTTAAAACATTTGAATAGCATTCCAATAATTTAATGAAACATTTAGCTTATAATCACACACTTATAATACAAAACCATATTTGCTGTAATAAATAATTAAATAATACAAACTTTGAATACATTTAAAAATAATGATTTACATTACATGTTGTTTGTTGAATGCATTGGAAAATGGTGTGAAAGTTGTATGAATACGTGAGACAATATCAACAATATATATCACTTTTTTTGATTATATAATATTACTAGAAGTTATATACTATCGATATTTAAATAAAAAAATAGTTTTTTTTCTAAAGACGAATAAAATATTAGTATTTTTTTAAATTTTATTTCCTGATAGTAGTTCTCAATGCATAATATGAATGCCATAAAGTATTTCTCTTTCAAATACTATTGAGAAAAGTCTGGATTCAAAGACAGACAGAGGGAGCGATAATTAAAGGTAAATCTTATATAAGACTTACGATTGAATGGCTTTCATTGTATTCGGTCGATGACATCCATCTAAACCCCAACACACACGAAGAGCCGGATTGAGACAACATTTTCTTGATGTGAACTCAACTAACTATATAATATGAGAAGCCATAGAATATTTTATAAATAAGTTACACTATTGAAACCACCGGCCAAACCAATGTTTGCACTGTATATACCAATGTATATGTATCTCACAATGTGTCTCATCATATATACAGTATATATATATATATACCTCATAACTGGTATGTTATATCTCATAATCAAAACACAAAAAACTAATATCCGTCCAGTTTTTATTTTTTGCTAAATTTCTATTCATAGCACACCTGCGCTAAGTTTTTTTTTAAAAAAAGATAGAGAGATAGAGAAAGAAAATTTAATATTAATTTTAAAAATATTGTATTTTAAAGTAAAAACTTTTACGTTAAAAAACAATTTTAATGACACTTTGGATTCATATAGTAATTACATTCATACATACTTTATATAATACCTAAGCAACCGATTGCGTAAATTATAGCATATATTTAAATAATATTAATACACAACTGGTTTTTATATGCAATTTATTTTTCCGTCACTATTATATTTGTAATAATGACCTCCTTTTTTCCAATATAACGGTACTCTCAATAGTTTACCTTACTTTGCCTCTACATTTTTTGCGGCATTATTTTTATAATTATTTTTTATCATTTTTTGCCTGCAATTGAATGATAAACTTTTTTATTATTAAAAAAAACTTTGTTTTTGTTTTAATACAAAAATTTAATCAAACCTTTTATTTTGACATTTCATGAGAAAACAATATATTATATGATTAAACAATAATAATTAAATTGAAATTTTATTTTTTGATACAAAAAAATCTACATATCTATGGCTAATTAGTTTAAATTACTGTATAGGATTTTTTTATCATAAATAAATTATAAAGCAATCAATCAATATTATAATCTTATATATACAATATATTGTTGGCAATAAAAATTTGATATAATCAAATTATTAATAATTTTCCAAAATATATATTTCCAATGTTTAGCAAATAAAAATATTCTTGGTCATTGTAACATAATATCTGATAACAGTTTATAACTTTAAAAATCAGCAAATTTTAGTCTTCAATATAGAAAAAAATTGTTTTTTGTTGTCTAATTTCCAATATATTATATGTAGTAGACATAGGATATCAATTTTGATATGATTTTAAGTATATTTACAATCAGCTTATTATTACAGTAACTGTTATTCAATAGTTATGTAACTATAATACTATCACAAGTAATTTCAGTCTTTAAATTAATTTATTGTCTTTTAAATGTGTAAAACCAATTAAATTATATGTTTGTATTATTATTAATATTAACATAATTTTCAATTATCACCAAATAAATCATAAAACAGTTTAACCAATAAATAAATAAATTTATTATATTTATATTTTGAATACTAATATTATTTTTTATATATAATTAAAAACTTTTCTGTTTTCTGATTAGATAATTTTCAAACTAAGAAACTGTATATGTATTTAACTAATCAAATATGTGGTCATTAAAAAAACAAAAATCAATGATTTATGCAAAATAAGAGACGCTTAACACTACAACTATCAGTGCCTCGAGTTCTTCCACAAAGTTATCATCGGTTAGTGACAACAATTGAAATCATAATATAATATAAGATTAAGTTTTCCTTTTAATTGTTTATATTATATAAATTATATATAATAAACGCTATGCATGTGTGTGACTGATAGTTTGAAGTTAACAATCAATAAAATAATAAAATTTATTTTATTGAAATATAATAATAATATATTTTTATCCAAATATAAATATATATATATATGACATAACAATCATAGAAGTTATGTTCAAAAACCTGTATTAAAAAACAATCAATGCTTTGAGTGTGAGTGAGTGAGAGAGAGAGAGAGAGAGATTAGTAAGTCAATGATATGTTGTGTAATACATGCAAACCTGTGTTACACATACCGATCATAACTAATGAATTCAGTATTTAATTAATGGAAATATATTTTTGCAATTTTATTAAATGAAATACTAAGAAAATATTTACAATACATTATATTACAGTACTTTAATCATATACTCAGTATATTATACAGTACTGTATATCTTCTACTAAAAATCATTGATTAAATTTGTTATAATCGTGATGTGTATCTCATCTATGAATATAAGTTATTACATGTAATGTTATTGTGTATAATACTGTATAATGTGTTGGTTTTTTTAGTTAGTGATGAAAGTGAATGCACTTAAAGTGTGTCTCACATTCAGTGATGCCGTCAACTCTCGCAAACCACTGTATAATACTGTAGTAATAGTAATATACTGTAGACTATAGTTATATAACTTATAGACTACTGTAGTAATACATACATTGATATTGATATCACATCACTAGTCAGTCAATGTATTAGTGTTTTGTGTTATCCATTGATTGAATGCTTTGCCAAACAATTTATGTTTGCATTTCAGTGATTGACTTATTATATATCAATTCATATCAAATAAAATACAAACCAAATGATCAATAGATTGGTTGGAAATTTAAGAAATGACTTAACTGTCAGCTGAAGACTCCGTACATCGATGTCTGGTATTTAGAGTCAGTAATCTCGCCATTAAATCGCCAAAAAATACAAAAAGTGTGACCAAAATGAACACAAATCGTCAAAACTGTTTGATTGTATTGAGCTCTGCTAAAGAAGGTATCAATTGATTGATTGACTTATTAATCAATGCTTTTTTGTGACTAATTTGGTGATAATCTTTTCCAATGTTTCTTTAGGCAACTCTTGTCAGTCATTCATACAGTGTTTCTCACTTTTGAACACTACGTTTAACGTACAGATTGCCACTCCATCGGTAAGTTGTCAAAAAAAACTGGTCACACAATGACTATTAGGTTATGATTGATTTGTCCACAAATTTTTAGGGCCGAACTCCGGAGTTCATAAAAACGGACGAACAGAGCAGGAAATGGTTGAATGAATTCAAACACAAGTCATTCTCCGAACCAATCAGTTTGTCTTCAGTCGACCGTAAGATCTTAGTTGACAACACTTTTTATCAACTTTTTGTTTTTACTCACAATTTGATTATTGATTTGATGTAACAGCACATCGATATTCATGTCTTGTCATTCCTCACTCTCCCGGAGCTGTCATTGATTTGGTCGCAGACTCGGACTTGTCGTACGTTTTGAGACATTTCGTAAAAGAGCAAAGTATGATATAAAATGAAGAATAAAATTGATTCAAAATTTAGAGTTAAATAATGAATATCTATTTTTTTGCCAATTCAGAGGTGATATGTGCTATCGGTATGGGTGTGGTCGCACTGTTTCCCGCCTACGACGAGGGCAATGTCTGGTCATTTCGACGGTTTACACTAACAGCCATCTCGGTGTTTGAATTGGCCCGAAATCCGGACTTTGCCAGTTTGCCGATCATACCAGAGGACGTTATCAAAGATAGAGGCGCTCTCTATAGTTCAACAAATCCCGATCACTTGGATGAGGTTCATGTGGTTGTCGACAGGCATCTGATTACTGGACAGAATGAACAGTCGACTCTGACGGCTGTCCAGAATCTAATGATTCAATGCAATCAAAAACAAAACAAATCATTGAGAGAGCGCTGAACAACAAAATTATTACTTAAAATAAAACGATTGACTCTTTTAAAAAATGATAAAATTCTTAATATATAATAAAAGCATAATTTAAATGCAATTTCATTTATAAATACATTTAATATATTGGAGAACTTTATTATCAAATCTGAGATTTAATATATAACATTAATAAATCAAATTTATTAACATAATTGACTTGTTTATTGACTTATTTATTTCATATTTTGTAATAATTTTTATAGACTATAAATTATTTAATTATAGTATACTTTTTCAAATATTGTTGATTTCATCTCAAATGAAATGTTTATTTAAAAATTGTTGGCATATTTGTTGTTTTAAAAATATTACACATAAATAATTAATAAAAATCACTTTATGACAATTTTATACTATTAATAATTTTAACATTTTATTTATTTTTTATTATTATTGAGATGCATATACTGTAATATATCATGATTTAAAAATATCAAATTCAAATATTTGATTATATTAATAGAATTACTTAAATTTGCTAATTTAAAAAATAATTAAGTAAATAATCAATGGTTGCAATGGTGTGCGGGGATAGTTAGCTAATGTTTTAACAGTTTTTTTATTTATGATTAATTTCTCTATATTTATTTATTTTTACCTTTATTATTTTATTCAATTTTGTAAATATAATATTACTTTTAAAAATTAGCAAATGTGAAGGAGTATCGGTAAGTGAATATACAGTATTATCTATTGATATAACATTTACTTACCGGTAATTTCATTGGTGCTAATCTTTTGGGAAAATCAATATAAATCGGTAAATAAAATAATTATAATAAATATCAGTAAAAAATCAATATATGAAAAATTCTTGTACTCATATATACTGATTATTTTTTTGTTTACGTAATTAAATTACTGTATATGTCTTTATATATACTGTATATTTAATTTAATGTAATTATATTATAATTATTATAATTTCAATATATTACAAGATTAAGGTCGGCCCAGTATTTATAGACATTTATTAACATTATAATAAATAATATACATTTACTGTATGATTATTTTATTACCGGTTTAGTTATCAAATGAACAATTTTTAAACAAATTATATAATTATATGAACTATTGACTGATTTTTTTTATTATTAACAATTATAATTCTATAAATTTTAATATTTATAAAAAACAATAATAAATTATAATTAGATGTAACAAAAATATTAATGAAAAAAATTAATTAATAAAGTAATTAATGAAATAATCAGAAAGTATTGTGATATTTGACAAAAGCCACGGCTGCCAACTCTTTGCAGAACTCTTCGATCACAATCAATGCTTCCATTATTCGCAATGTCTTTCCATCGGTCGTATCATTGGATTCGGCTTCACATTTGTCTGACTCACCCAACAGTGACTTTCTGGTGATTTGCAGCTTATCTTTTAAGCCATTCATTCCCTGAACTAATATCTGTAACTCATCGACCAGTTTGTGAAGAATGGAAAACAGTGAACGTGTGTTACAAACTAAATGAAACAATTAAAACAAATAATAATTATTAATAAACAAAACAAATAATACACTAATTAGCAATAAATTACTACTGTATACCTAAAGGAATAGTTGGATCCAAAAGATATTCATTGAGATATTGGTGCGGAAATAGCGCTAATCTTGAAATCAAAGACGTCACCTAAAAAATTGATTTATACCAATAATACTGTATTAAAATCTAATTAAATAATAAACTGATAAATCTTTAATAATACCTGAAGATTGACTTCGTATGGTAATTGAACCATATGTTCTAAATTATCAAAAATCATTGCCATAAAAGGTCCCTCAAAGAACTGGTTTTCTGATTTCGAGTTCAATTTGTGCTCTGATTTGCCATTAATAACAATATTGTTGGTCTTCTCGTCGGCCGTCGACTGAGAATCGTCTAAAATAATGCTTTCTGTCGACCAGTTCTTCCATTTGTTACAGATATGTCCGACTTCTTTGAAATGTTTTTGCGCTTCTCTAACATAGTTCTCGTATCCCAAGTCATCATCGCTGACACAACTTTTGAGTTCATCGGGAACTAGTGAAGTAAAATATTGAAGCATTCGTTGGACATGAGATGTCGAAACATAATTAAAATTAACTGCTGATCCCTCCTCTGAACCGGAATTCGAGTACGAAGACATCAAATTACTGAATTCACTAAAGTCTGAATTGGTATCATTGGTTAAGATATATTCATCAAGAAATGATCGGTCAGATAAATACTGAACGACTAATTCGTTTAAAATACTGACGGATGGTTTTACTAATATGTCTTCAAATAATTGCATCGATGACATACATAATTGGATTCGCTTACAATCGATGGTAATACTACTCGAGTTTTGTTCATCGTTTGCTAAGTTGGTCTCAATTAGTCGACATCGATCTAATAATATGTTTTTCAATTTATTTGTTTTTTCATTATATTTTGGATTATTAATTAATTGATCAGTTTTGGTGTCAACTATTAAAAACTCGCCAATAGTTGTCGATAAGTATTCGCTGACTGTATTTCGTAAACAATTTGACACCAAAACTGTGGTCAAAAATATATGGTCCGCAGCGTCCGATTCGCTTTCATAACCCATTCCTAACAGATCCGGACAAATGCATGCCTCGAGAAAGTCTTTTTTAAAATTATCTAATAATGTCTTTCTTAAAATACTTTCTTTTGTTGATAAATGATTGACAATCATATCTATAAAGACAAACCATCGAAGAAAACATAGAAACTTGCGAACTGCCGGTGAAAATGATTCAAAATTAGTGGCACTCTCTGTGTCTACACTTTTAAAGCAACAATTGATTGCACTCTCCATTTGTTCGGCTCTTAGAGAGCGAGGAATTGCCTGATAAAGAGACACCAATTGGTCCGCTATTTTGCAACTAAATGGAGTCTCAAATGCTATTATCTCTTCGGCTCTTTCATTGACTGAATCCAAGAGCCGGAGAAGAGCGTCGCCACTCGTGGTGGAGATCACTTGGTCTGGACTCTGGAGTAAAGCTAATAAAGCAGTGATTAACGGAAAAGAGTCACTTAAGAAGCAGTTTATTAATTGCGGATTTTCATGAATTTTATCACAAATACAGGTCAAGAATTTTACTTCACTTGACTCATAGGGACCAGCTATTAGTTTACCGCAGATGACTATTATTTTTTGGACAGAACTATATACACACTTATGTGGAAGTAATTCATGACTTGAATGAGTTAAAAGTGTGGTAAAGAATTGAAGAATATGATGTGTCAGACCTAATGGTGTGTCTGTTTGTGCCAAAGAACTCATTGTATCCAATATCTTGTTTTGCATTAAGTACTCCATCGATGGTCCGATGGATGAACCATTAAGAAGTACATCTGTCGTATTGTTGTCACTCAAATCTGGCGACTGTTCGTCACATAATATATGACACATCTTCTGTAGATGAAGACTAATATTCGTGGCTTCGATCGGAACGTCACGCGACGTCTTGTCGCTGGTCTCGTAAAAGTTCATCACTTGTTTCCAGTGCCAAACAAACTGGTCTTCGGCCGCAATGGTCGGCGCCAACACTTCCATCGTATTGTTAATCGCTGAAGATATTAGTGTAAACATATTGTCCGCTAACTCAAGAGCTGCAACCGATAAAAAACTGTATACAAGAAGTGGTCGTCAATGAAATGGTTGAGTACTCGTGAATGTCTTTTCTTAAGAAGATATGTCTTCTAAAAACATGAGACAATCACATCTGTAAAATGATTTGTTGTTTATTTATGGATATAATTCAATCATTTGATCACCACTTGGAATGTGCTTTCAATTCATCCAAAAAACAACAAAATAAGTGACAAATCACTCCTCAGTTTGTTATTACTGTTATTATAATCACTATAATTATGATTATTATGAATACAACAACACATCATAAATGTATGTATTATTGAAACCCTATTTTCATATCAAATACAAAACACACGTATCGTTCATAGGATTCGCACTTTCTTTACAGTCATTTGTAAAAACTCTTAACTGTTTTAATGACATTATTGTTGAGACAATTGATAATTAAATTCATTTAAAAAGTACTGTTAATTAACTACTTATAGTTAAGATAATAAATAAGTGATTTTTATTACAATAAATCATTTATATATACAGTATTTTAATAGTCTTTTTAAACGTTTTACTTCAATTCACATATTTTTAATGTCCTATTTTTATTATAATACCTGTATTTATTTATTTAGTCTAATAATAATATTATTTAACGTAATCGCAAAAAAACAATTACCGGTAGTGTAAAAATTTTAAACATAAACAATCGTTTTGCTAATATTTTTTCTTTTATTATTATTATAGACATTGAATTTTTCTTATTGAACAATACCTGAATAACTTTAAACGTAAAAAATAATTTTACAATTAATATATCATACAATTATGTCTAATAAACTAAAGTTTTGTTTTTAATGATCAATAATTTCAAAGCATAAATATTTGTAAAAATTGTTTCATTTTATTATTATCGATATTTTAGCATAAATTTATATTTTTGTCGCACAAATAATTAATATAAACTTTTAAATTATAAATCCAAACTATAAAATAGTTAATTATTTTTTTTTAATTTATATTCTGTTAAATTTATTTATAAAACTTAAAAACAAATGAATCATTGCAAACATTAATGGCAATCATTTTTTTTAACAATATTATTGAATTAATAATAATAAGTTATAGTTTGATGTTTAATGCCTATAAAAATTTTCATAAATTATAAAATTATTGAATAATCCGTTTTTATCACATTTTCATTACAATGTCGTTATTTTTTTATCTAATAATTTGTAAAAAATATCTATAACTTTGTTCCTATAATTTATTTAACTTAACAGTTATTACTATATTAATTATTATTATTATTATTATTAACAGTATTATTATTATGATTATTGACACCATAATAGATGATCAACTGAGTGATGGGACACATCATTAGTGTCACATAAAGGAGAAGAGACTATTGGCATAAGCCATGGGTTTGACATTAGGATGCGGTACTTCTGCATATGTCGTGAACTGTGGCTTAAGATCTTTTCCGGACATTGTTATGAATGCCCCCTTATTTCCCATTGTATCGCAATAATTGGGTGCAGAAAATACTGTAATACATTTGCCTGAATGCGCCTAAAATGCATAGAAAATAAGTATAGAATCAATTGAATTATCTATTTTTTGTGTCAATTAATTACCTCTTCATATCCATCGGGTTTCACTTCATGACTACGAATGATATAATCGAGTTTATTGAGTTTGCAAAATGTTTCGGTAATATCGGGTCCAAACTGGACGCCGACGCCTCGTTTGCTGGGAGCGCGACCTTTCGGTAGCATCGGATCCGACCAGAGAATGTCGCACATAATTCCTTCGTCGGGCGGCTGTCTATTTCGGTCAGTATTGCGAATTTGGTCCAATGTAATGGAATCGTTGGCAAATAGGCCGCCGTGCATAACAAGTACCCGTTTATTGATGCAATGGGCCAGTGGTAACAAATTAAACACTTCGGCAAACAGTTCGTACATTTGTATCGTGTATTTGGCTTTGACCTCACCTTCAAAGCCGTACATTTGGTTCATTGTTTGGCTCTCGTGATTACCGCGAGACATGAAGAAGTGTTTGGGATATAAGAGCTTAAAACCGATTAAAGTAAGAATACACTCGACAGAGAAGGAACCCCTGTCCACAAAATCACCGTTGAATAAGTAGGGATTAGTCTCGGATGGCATACCATTCAGTTTAAAGATATTCAAAAGGTCGTAGTATTGGCCGTGAATGTCGCCACAAACGGTAAACTTGTTGTCGTCATCGATGTCAATGTCCACTAAAGTCGGCTCTTTTGAAAACAGTTGTCTCACATCTAAAATCATTTTATACGCGTGTTTTCGGTGAAGTTTTTGCCGGTCTCTAAAATAGTCCATCATTTGAATCATAAAATCTTGAGTAACCTTTCCGTCAACTAATTGAGGTCCGTCGTAATCATCATTAATGGACATACTTTCCAAATCGATACTATCGGCCACCGATTTCTTAACTTCTTCGACAGCGATGGCCTTTTCAAAGGCTAATCTATTGACAATTTTCTTGCATTCGTTGAACATATTCAGTCCGTCCTTATCATTCGGCTTACATTTAACCACTGTTTCCAAGTCTTTGAGGGCAAGTTTGAACTTATTCAGTGCCATATATGCGGCCGCTCTTCGGTAATAACCTTTGATATAACTTCTGTCTAATTCAAGAGCTTTGGACGCATCGGCCAATGCGTAGCCGTAGAACTCCTTCTTGAGGTAAGCAATAGATCGGTTGCCATAATATAAGGCGACCGACGAATCCGTTTCGATGGCTTTACTGTACAAATCGATGGCCGCGTCGTACTCACGGTTCTTGAAGTGTTCGTTCGCACTCTCCTTCAGCTGATCCGCACTTAAATTCATTGTCACTGAAAGAGGATTTCAATCGGTAATCAAAATACAACAAAACAAACACAAAATTATATTATATTTCAATCAATTGATGGCTAAGTTAGTGGCGATTAGTTTCACATATAATTAAATCATAGACCAGTTGTCAGATATCATATGTAAATGAAATTAATTATCAATTGTTTTAATGATAATAATAGTTATTATTATTATTATTATATTAAATGACTAAACAAATCAATTAAATCACAATTTTTATGACAAAATAAATGCAATGTTTTTAATGTATGACTTTTGAAACACCGATTTCTACAATAAATAACAACAAACTATTCATTTCACTAAATATTAATAACTATTGGATTTCTATTAATCATTGCATTCAATGTTTTTTAAGTATAAATAGTTTTAATACTAATATTAATTATAATTATTAATATATTTTATAGTTTGCGTTACAATAAAAAAAAGTCAAACCATTATAATATATTCAAAATATCAAAAACATCAAAATATACCGGTATTATAGAGTAAATTAAACATAAAAAACGGATAATAATTAACACTTATTTTTGATGTGTTTGTTAATTGCAGTTCACATTAATATATATAATATATATTTGTTTTAATTTATACAATAATTGTTATCTCGTTTTAGTCTATTTATTCTGATTTCTAGTTATATATATATATATATATATATATATATATATATATATATATATATATATATATATATATATATACTGTATAATAACCCATAAGTTTAATAAACATAAATATTTATTTGACTCAAAGTTTTAGCAACTTATATAAAAATTATTTAAAAACTTTTTTATTAATTAAAAAAATTATATAAATATTTTTTTTTATTGAACTCTCTTCTAGATATCAATTATAATATTACTGATCAGTCAATGATATCTTTAGACTTCTTTAGCCAATTCCTTAGCGAATGCAATGAAAGCAACAGTTGTTTCATCACAAGTGGGTCTTATGTGAGACTTTGGTAATGCAAATCCATTGTTTCCTTTGTCTCTTAATTCAACAGTATATGAATACTTGATGTGTGCGCTACCATAGGCCCAGTCTGTATGGATTTGATCCAATATTTATCATATAATTAGTAATAGATTTTGTAATATAATATTATGACATACCATCCGCTCCTCCCGCAGCCGCATCTGTTTAATCATTAAAAAATCACTAAAGTTTAGTATTTATTAAATTTATATCAAAATAATAGATATTATATTACAGAGAACGTTAGTCGACGTTCCCATTGTATATCGGGTACCATAAACACTGGCCAATGCATTGGTCGCCAATTTTGCCATACGATTCTTATGATACACAATATATATAAATAAATAAGTTTTATTGTTTAAAAAACAGAAACTCATACCAAATGTTTGTCATCGGGAGTCACAGAACTGGTCCATCCCTTTCAATCAATAAAAAGTTTTTTTTGTATAAAATATTTTATTTAGGTATTTAATATACAATAGACATACCCAGGGATAAAGCCAATACTGACCGTATGAGTGAACCGCTAGATATGCCTTAACTCTGTCTTTAATCTGAAGAACATAATCTGAAACGGCTTTAGTTTCTGACTCTGAGAAAGCATTCGGACCACGATATGTCTCCATACCTTAAGACCATAATATTTAGACATTTTAGACAAGTTAATCAAATTTAGTAGAGATTACTAATAATTTATACATGGATTAGACGAAGCTCCCTGTCCACCCCATTGGTAACCGAAGTTTCTGTTAGGATCGGCACCTAATTTATATTAAAGTTATGTAGAAAATATTTATCTAAATAAAAAAAATGATTTATTAAATACCGAAACACGATCCGTAAGGTTTTCTAGTTTTTCTCCACATCCTATCCCTGGTATGTGTGTACTCATATCTAATGTTTTTGGTATAATTAATTTTTTTTTAAATTGCAAACAATTATTGACAACTAAAAAACACCCTCAATATTATCGAAAAAATAAATACCCGTCCGGATTGAGAACTGGTAGGATATAGAAATCAAATTTTTGTAACAATCCTACGATATCGGCGTTTCCAGTTTTGTGTCCCTGAATCAAATTTTGTGCAAAACACTGACTGGTAGCCGGGGATATCCATTCCCGGGCGTGAATTCCCGATTCGATAAAGATTACCGGCTTAGTTTTCTTTTCGTGTCCATCACCGATACGGATCAGTTTAATAGGTCTGCGTTCGTATGAATAGCCGATAACTTCAACGGCGGCCAAATCCTTGAATTTTGAGCCAACAGTATCTAAAAATGTATGAATTGTACCAACTCTTCGATATTCATCAAAATGTCTTTCAACTATATCAGCGCGCAATGGTTGGACCACTGGTACCGCTGCCCTGTCCTCTAATAGATTACTGTAATAAAAGTTAGTTAATATATTAAATTTTTTCAACAATTTAAATACTTCTCCAAATCATTAATTAAAACACTTTTTTCGTCCAGTTCTTCGTCAAACATTTCATTGAATGTTTGGTTAAGATGTGGCGGAACCATAACATCGACCGATCGATTCAAATAAGACGGACCCTTCCAGAAGTCATACTTTACAAAACAACAAAAGCGATCAATATTTGCAAATTTATTGAACAGTTATTTTAAAAAGTTTAAACTAAAACTTACTTCTAATGAATTTTCGTGAAGATTCTGTAAAAAATTTAATTGTGATTCACTTCTGGGAATTAAACGGATAACAGAATATCCATTATAATTGCGAATACTTTCATCGCATATAATATTATTAATAATAATTGTAAATATTAGTAAAATTAATAACAATTTCATTGTTGTTTTTAATAAAATTGTAATATTTTTACTATTCAGACACAAGATTTGTTGGTCTGTCTATTAGATATTTTTGATGAAAATTTTTATTTTTCACCTATTATTATATGGCATATTATCATAGTTACTATCGAAAATATTGTTTAATCTGGTTACAAATAATTGCTAAATTATTATAATATATTTTTGTATAGGGGTTATCAAAAATAAATAAATTTAAAGGTTATTAACTTTGAAAAATTAGTCAATATGTGATTTTAAAGTTCAAGTTCACCAACATAAATTATTTGTAAATATAATTTATTATATTTAATTGATTAATTAGAATATATACCGGTAGTGCTATTATTGATGATAAATTAATAATTTATAGTAATAATATTTATTTAATTTGTTTATGAAATTTTAATAAGATTATATCACTTTTACAATAATTTATTTACCTAATTAGAAATTATTAATTGGTAAATAAATAACTAAGTTAAGTATAGAGGGGAGAAATCTGGACATTACTTTTGCAATAACAATAAATTTGTTTATTTAGTTTTTATAAATTGATATTTTACTTGAATTATAATACATTGTTTAGTCTGTTATTGTATTTTTGCTAAAAAATTTTCAACAACAAAAAAATCAAATAATGTTAAATTAAATAAGTATTTTTGTTGTTGTTGTCATTGATTAGACTTCTGTAGACAATTGTTTAGCGAAAGCAATGAATGCGTCGCTCGTTTCCTCACCGGTTGGTCTGATTTGGCTCTTAGGAAGTGTAAAGCCATAAGAGCCGGTATCTCTCAATTCAACAGTATAGGCATATTTAATACCTCCGTCTCCATATGCCCAGTCTTATTGGTTTTCAAATTTCATTAATTACAATATCATTTAGTTTATAAATCAACAAACTTACCATCGGCTCCACCGGCGGCCGCATCTAATTATAATAATTTGTCAAAAATTAAAAATATGAATTAATTAATTAATTAATAATACAACTAATTGTTAAAATAAAATATATAACTAACACAAAACATTAGTTGATGTGCCGATTGAATACTTTTTATTGTAACGTTTAGCCAATGCAGTGATGGCTATATTTCCCAAACGATTCTATTAATTGTAATAAAATGTAAAAATTAAAATTAAATAACAATTTTTTCACATTATTTACCAAATCTTTGTCATCCGGAGTTAAAGAACTGGTCCAACCCTTTAATTAGTTTTTTTTAAATAATTTCATTTAAAAATAATTATAATAATATTGAACTCATACCCACGGGTACAGCCAATATTGTCCGTATGAATGGACAGCAAAATATGCCTTAACTCTTGGTTTTAATTTCAATATATATTTGGATTCGGCTTCAGTTTCTGGTTCTGAAAAAGCTTTCGATCCCCGGTATGTGTCAGAGCCTATAATTATAAATCATAGAAAAATTTAATAAATATCTTATGATAAATAATATAAATCCTAAACTTTAATATTCAATAAATATAAATACATGGATTAGTTGAGGCTCCCTCTCCGCCCCATTTGTAGCCGAAATTTCGGTTTGGGTCAGCACCTGATTTAAAATATTTATTTAATTTTAACGATAATTAGATAGTAGTAGTAGTAGTAATAATAATAATAATACCATAACAGCTTCCATATGGTTGTCGTGTCTTTCGCCACAATCGGGATGTGGTGTGAGTGTATTCATAACTAAATTAATTAAAATTATTATTTCTCTAATTTATATTAATTTTAATGAAGAAAAAAATCAATTAATAAAAAATAAACTATTGAAATACCCGTCCGGATTAACCGATGGAAGTATATAAAAGTCAAACTTTTCGAGTAATGCTTTTATATCTTTATCTCCCGAAGCGTATCCCTGGATCAGTGTCTGAGCGAAGAACTGTACGGTTGCGGGTGATATCCATTCTCGGGCGTGGATTCCGCCTTCAAAAAAGATGACGGGTTTGTTGTTGTTTTTCTGTCCGACTCCTATACGAATTATTTTGAGATCTCTATTTTCATACGATTTGCCGATGACTTCTGTGGCACTGATATCTGGATATTGGTTTGCAATGGCGTCGAGAAATGAATGGATTTTATTGAGTCGTTGATAATCATCAAAATGATTGACAACAATATCTGCTTTTGTCTGTTTGTTTGGTTCAGCTATATATGGCTTTCTTTCTTCAACCAATACTCTAATTTTATTAAATAGACATAAATTTGTTTTTTAAAATTAAAGTGTTATTATTAAATTGTTAACAAAAATACTTTTCTAAATCATTTATCAAAACAGATTTTTTGAAAGATTTCTTATTAAACATGAAATTAAATGTATGGTTAAGATGTGGCGGAATCAATATGTCGACCGATTGGCTCACTTGCGATGGACTTTTCCAGAAGTCAAGCTATTTTGATAAAAGATTGATATTTTATAAGAATATTCAATATGTGATTATAAAAAAATAATTTTGAATTTTTTTTCTTTTAAATAAAGACTTACTTCAGTAACACTTTCCTCTAATTGTCTCAAATATATGAGCTGTGCTTTGGTTTCGGGTATTAGACGTATCAATGAATATCCGTCGTAATGACGGATACCGTGAATACCATTTGTCAAACATATGTAAAGAAGAATAACTAAAAAAGTAATCGATTTGTTAGACATTTTGAACACAAAAAAAATAATTAATTTTTTCTCAAAATGTCAAACAATATATTAACAAATCTAATGGCAAACCTAGATATAAAACTTTTATATGGTTTAGTTCTTTATATACTGTATAACAATTAGTTAAAGTTATAATGTTTTTAATATGTAATATAAATAATCATTAAAAGATGATATAAATAATAATATTTCAACATTATCATCTTTCATGTATTTTATATTTAAAGTGTTATAAAAATAATCATTATAATTTATGACAAAAATCTGATTATAAACTTTCATTAATTTATATGATATGTATAAAATAAATCACTACAAATTTTATTACTTACAATTGTTTATAATAATATTATATAATAATATATGATATTTTATTGTACGAAGTTTATATTTAATGTATATTATTAGTACAAAATTATAAAATTTAATACAATAAATAAATAGTTTGTTTCTAACGAATAATAAATATTTTTAATCTATTTTTTAAATATTAGTATTGTATAAATCTTTAGGCATATTTAGATTAACATTTAATCAAAACTTTAATATAATTTATTGTAATATCCTTACCGGTCAATCTATAATAAAATGGTTTTATGATTTTCAATTTAATTTACTACTATATTCATACGTTTTTAATGATATTTTATTGACAATTTTTATGATAAGTTAGTTTGCGATTAAATGAATAATCATTTATGTCATACTATAATATTGTTTATTATACCGATATATATATATATATACAGTATTTATTTAGTTTTAAAAGTAACATAAATTATAATTAGTAATAAACTTTTTATTACATATGTATAGTAATATCAATTTTATAAACTTTTCAGATATTTTTGTTTAGTTGTTAATAAATTGCAAATTATATTAATACTAAAATATAAATGAAAACAAAATAACCATAAAATGAATATAAAATATTGAGATTCATGAGATTATAAATAATGTAAATGATCATGGTTATATATATCGACTATTATTATTATGCAAAAATTATTGCTAAAAAATATCTATAATTAATTTTCAATAATTTTCAAACTATAAGCTATTTAAACAGTTTTTATAATTAATGGTTTATTTGACAGATTATCAAATTACAGTCCAACAGTTTATTTAGCAGTTAAGTTGTAGGCGTTTTGGTAAAAACTTAAACATTAACTTAACACTTAAATTAACTTTAAACATGAATTGCTTAAACATAAATTTGACAATTATTTATATTTATTTATATTTTAATATCTTTATTGTATGCAAATGTGATACTAAATTTTGGAAAGAAAGCATTAATTATGCAAATGTTGACAATTGGTCACAAAATAGGATTCCCTGTATTAATGATCGCATTATATTTGCTGAAAATACAGTCATTTATGTGGACCAAGAGATTACAGCTAAAGAAATTGTAATTTTTTATATTAATTTTGTTAAAATATATATATATATCTTATTGTATTATAATATTAATACAAATAAAACAGATTTTCCCGAAAAACGGTCGTTTGGTTTTTGGTGAAAATGCTACCATAAGACTCATGTCTTCGCCTAATGTCGACAATTATTGCAATGGCAAAGGTTTGTATTATAATGAATAATAATATTAATCATTATTATTATCATTATTGCATTTATTGAAATGTTGTCACCAATTATTTTGACTTTTTATTATGATATTTGAATAATACTTTTTTAAGATAATAGATATATTGTTAAACAAGACAATAATTGGTTTAATCCATACAAATGGGAACAACTTATTGAATGGGTTTCATCGAGTGAAGTGATCAGTGAAGATATATTTATTGATTTACCCGAAGAACACAATCCTATACCACATATGGAAAGGATTCCTTGTGTTTATGATAGGGTTCTCTTTGAGAGTTATACTTCATTTAAAGTAATCGTAGACTTAAAAGATAATATGACTATTAAGTCATTGAGAATATGGGATCAATACTATAGTACTCAAGATTTTAAAGACTTTACCGATAGTGATATCGGTAAACTGTTGTTCACAATTAATGGTAATATTGAAAATCTGATAATAGATAACAATATGATCTGCAAAGACAAAACCGGATGTGTTTGTGGTAATGAGGAACCGACTATAATGCAAAAAGTTTGCAATTATGTCCAAAAATATGGTTGTCCATCACTTGAATGCTCCGATCCTATTAAACCAGTTGGCCACTGTTGTCCAATATGTGCCTCAATGTTGACAATTTCGTATAAAAATGATTTTAGTATTGATTTAATAACAGGTATTACAACAGCATATCTCAATCACAAAGAATATTCAACTATCAAATCATATTTACATAAACTTAAGTCTCGAAAGTTTCAATTTATTGTCACTGATTTGGCAAATAAAGGTTTGGCCGACAAATTGGTTAATTCAATCAAACAGTACTTTAACGACGGTATAGAACTTTGTTATTATTAATGAATTAGTAGTTATTTTATAATATTAGGTTAATTACACTGTAATATAACACTAATACACAGATAGATACTTATTTAGGTCCCGGAATATATAGTATTGATTCAATTGATGTCAAATCAAGCACCGACTGGAAGTCTACCGGTGCCGGTCTATGGCTTATCTTTATATTTCTTATAATTATTTGTATTGGTATTGGCTTTGGTATCAATTATTACGTCCAAAACAGACGGTTTAACAATTTAAAAATAATAGACATCTTACTGAATGTCTAATAATATTATTTTGATAACAGTATTACAGCTCCGTTTACATTCGTCCGCTTTCGTGGATCAGATGGTGACGACAGTGTTGAACTTCAAGTGGGAACTACACCTCATGAAGCATTGGATCCGAACGATCCCATTCATCTGAGTAGTGGTTCAGTTAAATATGATGTCCAGCCCGCCGAGGAAGCGGTTACTTTCGAGAATCCAGTGTTTATAAGACACCAACTAAAAGAAAATGAAAAACAAAGTCAACAAAAGTCATCAGAAATGACTTCAATTGATAAACCATTAATTTGTATCACTGATACTGACAATTGATTACATTTAGTAATAATATTAAAACAGTATATACTTTTTGTTCAATTTATTTATTATTTATATACAAATATTTAAATTAGTTTTATCTTTTTATTTATAACTTAAAGATAAACTTAATTTGAATAAATTTCTATTAATAATACTAATATAAATATTTTTATTAACCTTAAATTAAAAATAACATATAAATTTTAATATGTCATTAAAAATAATAATTTTACATTAATAATTAATAAAATTGTGATATAAAAACACTTTGATAAATCTAAATTTGACATTAGTTTATATTAATATATTTTGATCACATAAGTTGTCATTACTAAAAAATATATTAACAAAATGTAATTTACTTTTATTATTGTAAAATTAAAATTTCTTAAAAATGAGTTATACTTTTTAAAATGAGTATAATTTAATTAATGGCACCGAAACCAGGCTTTTGTCGCTCCCATCTCGAGATTGCTGACAACGGGAAACACATAATACCGGCCAATGCTATGGCCGAACCCGACAAGTAAAATGAATAATCATATGAACCGGTTATGTCAAAGAACCAACCTTTTTATTTTTGGTCAACAGATTTTGGTTAATATTATATATCATAATATATTCTGTGTGTCTTTATATATATATACAGTGGTTATAATGGATATTATGATAATAATTACCGGCAATGGGTGAGCCTATAGTGACGGCAATTCCCTGAAACATCAATAACAGTCCGAAAGCATTTGCGAGTCGATCCAAACCTAACATTTCTGCTGTTATTACAGAACGAAGGGCTGCGAAACAGGCTTTTCACATATAAAAAGAAACAAATATTTAGTTAAACAACAAATTTATCAATAATTTTGTTTTCTTAATATATAAATATATAAATTGATATTTTGATTAATACCGATTGAAAATCCAAAAATAGCTGAATATATCATAAGAGTGACATATGTGTTGCATATGATGGGCGACAATATGGTAGCCAAACCCCCGATAGTGAGGGCCACGTTGTTGATCAATAAGGCATTGACTTGTGGTCTATCGGAAATATATCCGCAAAACACACGACCGATAGTATTAGTTATACCAATAATTGATAGTAAAAATGCACTTTTTTCTGGTGTACAACCTTTTCAATCAATCAATTGATAAGATAATCGCTTATTTTAAAGAAGTTAATGCAAAATATATTTTTTATATAAAAAATTAAAGTATAGTGATATGACATACCCAACAGTTTGGCTCGATTTGCGATATACATGAATGGTATGAAAAAGCCGGCCAAACAAAGAAATCCACTCAAAGACAGCAATAGAAAGGACGGACTTTTCAGTAAAGTTAAGTCAAAAGTTTGAGTCAAAAATTCAAAACACGCTTTGGATGACTGGTTGGCACTGTTTGACTCATTAGACGTATGAATCGATTCCTTTGATTGGGTTGACTCTTCTGGTGTCGACCTTTCCTTTGATTCCGTTACTGATTTGATTGAAGGCAACCGATTGGCACTTCTTTCCAATACGTGACTCATTACCGACGACGACCTGCTTCTCACAGCAACCAGACTTAATGAACTACTGATCACTTCGGGTCTTAGAAATTGGTTGGTATAGTCATAACTTTGAGTCCGTCTCCTGTTTTTCATTTCGGTAACCGAATTGTTTATAGACAGAGAATATTTTTTGGCCAAAGAGTTGTTGTTAGTGTTGTCGATGTTCACTATTTCCGAATAAGGCGGCGGAGCGCTGTTGTGGCTTCCCGTCGGTGAATCCTCTTCGACTTCATCCATATCTGACTCAGTCCAGAGCGCATCTCTGGCCTCTTTGATACGGAATAGTAATGGCTTTTGAGATTTGTTTTGCAAATGTTCAACGGGTCTAAACAATGAACCAAAAACAGCACAATTGAGAGTAATTCCGGCCAAAATTAGGACACATCCGCGCCAACCATAATATTCAACCAGCAATTGAGTTGCCGGTGCAAACACAAAGTTACCAATTCCTATATTAATGGCAATACTATTTTAAGAGCTTTGAAATAAATAGTTATAATAAAATAAAACTATCGTTTTCTATGCCATATGAAGGCAAATAGCAAACTACCTGAACCACAGACAGCTATTCCAGTGGCAAACGCCCGGCGCTTCTCAAAGTAAAAGCCAACCATAACTATTGCCGGCAAAAATATAAAACCAAAGCCTATACCTATAAAATGATTGATTTATAGTTTTTAAAAACTATGCTATTTATAACATAAAACAGTTTATAATACCTCCTAAGATACCAAACGTAAAGTATAATGTTTTAACATTTCCAGCAAAAAATGATAGTATAAAACCAATGGCTGCCACAAGACTACCAAAAATGGTGGTCTTACGGCACCCGTATATGTTGGCCAATGCACTCACAATTGGACCTATCAATATATTACAAAATATATTGTATTTAGTTTAAAATACATTAGTTTATAATAAAACTATAACTAAAAAAATAACCTAAAATCAGATAAAATCCCCCCTGAAGTGATCCGATCCACGCTGTGCTGGCTTTGGTCTCATGAAATTCATTGCTAATCTCTATTAGCAAAATACCAAATGAAAATATAATACCATCGACTATGAAATTACACATAAAAGAGGCCAACACTACTATCCAACCGAAACCACCTTTTGATGACATTAAGTGACAAAAAAATGTTTTTTAAATAAATTATTTACACATTAATTACTATTTAATATTATTACTAACTATTATTATTGATAACTCATTAAAAAAATAATAAACTAAACTATTTGATAAACTTGATGTTTGTCTGTTTTGTAAAATGTCAATTTGAAATAATAATAATAATAATAATACAGTATTATTTAAATTAGTGCTTTTTAAGCAATATTTTTTGAAGTTTAAGTAATTTTTAATTAATAGATTACAAAAAAAAATTAATATAAATAGTCATCAAAAAAATTATGACTTACCGTCTGGAGGGGGAACCGGTACTTCTTGTGTAACATAATCTTCGGGTTCGCTATTAATTAAAATTTGTGTACAATTATTATCTTTTGTGTCATCTTTGATATGTTGAACAACATCTTTGAGTGGAAAACTCTTTGTCTGAGAGTTCACTATTATATTATTACTGGCAGTGAGTTTTGATGATTTCATTTTTTGCTGAAAAAAGCAATTTCTTAAATAACTTAATAACTCAGATAATCAACAAAAAAAATATATGACTGCAAATAATATCTATTAATTCACAGATAATTTACGCAATTAATGATCTCTTTTATGCACAAAATGAAAAAAATTATCACAAATGTCTACATAAATACTTACTTTTAATATATAGTTTTATTTAGTAAAAAATATATATAACTAATAATATCTATTATTTGTTATTAAATTTACTTTTGAAAGTAATTGTTTAGTACAAAAAATAATATTTTTTTTAGATGAAACTTAAACGAGAAATTCATTTGTTTAACTTTTTTAGGAAATAAACTGTAATTTGAAATCACTTGTATTAAACAGATTTTGATTTATATATTATTTGTTAATATTTATTTAACATAACTTTGTTGGTTTGCTTTTTACACACATCTAATATAAAAACGATTGCTTATTAATTGATTGAATTGATCAACTGATATGTATGTAATACTTAAGAGTTGGCTTAATGTTTAAACAAATTTATTGTTGTTATCTTTCAATTTATTTTTAATTATAACAAATTATTTCAAACAACTGTATAGTTTTTTAGTTGAAACTAGAGCTTGAAATATTTGTTATACAATTAATATAATTGTATTTACTTTGTTTTAATTAAAAATATTTGTTTAATTGTTATCTTATTTTACAATATATATAAATCTCAGTTAAGACACAACAAAATTTATATTTTATAATAAATAATAATAATATATATGAAACCATTTAAATAACAATTTGATTTCAAGGCTTATAATCGAAGTTAAATATATATTTAGTTAAAGAATCCAATGAATAGCTTAATGAACACCACTTTTCCATTGATTACCAAACATATGACACACTGTATGATAAAAAATTAGGATATTATCTATTATATGACTACATAAATATATATATATATATATATATATATATATATATATTAATATATTTATGTATATATTATAGATATAATTATTAATCGTCAATTAAATTTAAATCAATTTTTATATCTCAATATTTATTTTTTCATTTTATATATAAAAATCTTTTTTTTTTGGTCTCTCATCTCACGCTCTCCCAGTTTTATGTATAGACAAAATTTGGCAAAATATTAACTTAAATTATGCAAATATATAACATATCATATTTCAAGTGACTATTAATTGAAATCTGTTTAATATATTAAATGTTATTTTGTTTTTGTTTTGTCTAAATTATCTGTTTATTATTAGAAAAAACTGTTTGTTAGTTTCAATTTGATTTTGAAAGCATTGGTGCCCTCGTATTGAACTAATCATATATTTTTCAATTTGTGATTCAAATATTTTAGAGGCCTTTAAAATGATTTTTTATATATATATTAAGTTATACGATATATAAATTAAAGTACCAGTATATAAATACTATATATATATATATATATATGAAACTAATAATCATTATATCAATCACAATACGAGGTGATGTTGAACTTGAAACTCTAATTATTAAGATAATAGACTTAAGTATTGTATATAAAAAAGTGTCAGATTTTTGTAGATATTTGTATTAATACTGTAAATGTTTGAACACTTCATTTCACTGCTAATCACAAAACATTTTTGTGATAAAATAGCGATCAAATCAATTGTTTGATACACTTTATATAATATTTATTAGAAATTATATATATATTGTAAATGTTAATAAATTATAAATATATTAATAATAAATGGTAAACACTTGTCATCAATTTTTTTTTAAAAAATTCCTTAATAAAAAATAAATGTATTTTGATTTATGTTACAAATTAGAGTCTTTTATTATTAGTAAATTAAAGTGCAATACTTTTTTCGGTATCAACTTATCTTTATATTTAATTCAATAAAAAATATTGATGTTATTATACTTATTGAATTTATATTTAAATTGCATAAAAAAAGTCTAAGTCATGTCATATCAATGTTTTTGTTTAATTGTAAATACTGTATAATACGATAAATTTCATAATCATTTACAGTCAATATTTGGCATATATTCTGGTTTAAACTGATTTAAAGCTTTCCAAAGCTCAGGTATAGTGTAATATAAAATACATGAGTAGTATGTGATATAAATTTATATATAAATTATATATTAATATATTATTTTACTATCAGATTCTTGTTGTACATTGGTTGTGCAAATGTTCAAATCAATAACAAAAATTTTTAATCAATTAATGATTAATTGTTAATTTTAAAATAAAAATATCAACACAAAGTCATATTTTTTAATTATTTATCTTAAATAATATTTAATATAAATTTCATTCAATTTGTTATGATTATGTACAAAATATAAATAATTTTTAGATAAAACATTTTTAAAATAATTTATTAGATATTTATTAATATTAAGAGATCATTCATTTTTCTAAAAATTTTTTTATTATATTCAAAATTATTATTTATTTTTTTGGAAACAATATAAGGAAATCCCAGGAAATGATTAGTCCATAGCAGAGATCATGCATTGAATATATGAGTTGTGATCATTCAACTGAAACATTAGTGAATCAATTGATTTAGCGATGATTTATGGATGTGTGAACTCGTTTTGATTTATATATTTTTTTGTAAACTATTTGTCAGAAACAAAAAATTTTAGACATCCTATAGGTATAATAGGAACAATGGGTCTCTCCTCCAATTGATCCCCAGCTCTTCATCCATAAGCCCTAACAATGACTTAACATTTTAAACTATCATTTATTATATGCCGACAGAAACGGAATTAATTTTGTATCTCTAAGTGTTTGAAACACATCCTGAATATTGTGGCCGCTATTAGTCGTCGATATATAAATCAATGCATTCAACTATAATAGCATAGAATCCTATATTTTTTTTGCTGAGAGAAAAAAAATAATATGTTAATACCAATGGATTTTACAAAGTTTACAATTTATTATCATCATTATTATTTTATAATAACTGTTTTGTCAATTATACAATTGTGTTTATCATCATCGGTAGATGACAATAATTTTGAAAGTCAATACAAAGGTTTTAAAGTGTTGAGATTATTGCCCAATACTGTGGATCAGTTGCAATACTTATCCGACATATCCACCGATCTATCATTAGTGATACCAAATAAAAAGATCGACTTTTGGACCCAACCTAAAGATGTCAATTCAAGTGTCGACGTTATGGTATCGCCAGATATTTATATAGATATTTGTAAAAAATTTTCAAAACAAAACATTAGGAATAATGTGATGATTAAGGATGTGGGAGAGTATGTCTTATAATTTATAGTATGATTTCATCTGAGTTTATAATTGAAACGATAGATTAGTTGAACAGGAAAAGAGAACAAATGATGACCAACTCATGGGCTACCGAACCAAATCATGGGCTCAAAACTCCAGTTCCTTTTTCGAGGCCTACCATTCCATTACTGAAGTAATTCGTTTGACAAATATCACCAAATGTACAAATTTTTAAATATAAAATTGTTATCAATTATGCTTTAGATTTACCAATTTCTTGAAGATCTGCATAGTATTGATACAGAATTGAGTTCAATTGAAACAATTGGTACGACAACTGAGAATAGACCGATGAAATTATTCAAAATTGGTACCAAAAGTAAAGACAACTCGCAAAAGCCTATTATATGGATAGACGCCGGTTTGCTATTAAATTATCCAAAATAATTATATCAATAAAAATAATGTTATTTTGAAGGCATTCACGCCCGAGAATGGATCGCACCGTCAACTGCTCTCTATATCGCTCATAAGGTATATACAATCAGTTGTATATATTGTACTATAAAACTAAATATAAAATTAATATTTAAACCTTTAAATGTTGAAAAAAGTTGATCACATCAAGTGATAGTGATGTCAAACATATGCTGGATGTCTATGACTATTATATAATGCCCAGTGCTAATCCTGATGGATATGAATGTAAGTAAAATACAAATAAAAAATACATTTGTTTTTAGTTTAATTCACACAAATTATTTGCATTAGACTCGAGATTATCGGACAGAATGTGGCGAAAGACGAGATCACATAATCCGTCGTTTTGGGGGTAATTGTCGTTTTATATACAATTTTTTCTATACTTAAATATACATAATTTGTTTAAATTACTAACAAATTGCTATTTTTAAAGGCTATTTTGTCGCGGAGTTGATCCAAACAGGTAATCTAACTTTTATATAGTATAGTATGAATTATATTATTATTATTATATTTGACATAATCTTGAAAAATAATGATAGAAATTATGGCTATCATTGGGGAAGTGCTGGAAGTAGTTCTTATCCGTGCTCTGAGACCTATCACGGAAAGGCTCCCTTCTCTGAACCGGAAACTAAAGCCATATCTGATTATATATTGACTAAAAAAGATAACATCAAAGTTAGTATACATTAATGAAAAAACAAATTATAGATTTATTATTGTGACTAATGTTTCCTATAATAAAACACAGATGTATATAGCAATGCATTCCTATTCCCAGTTCATATTAACACCCTGGTAAGTTTAGCATTTTTCAAAATAAATATTTATTTTATATAATATTAAATATTATATTATGAATGACTTAGGGGCTGGACATCAGAACTACCGAAACAATACAATGATATGGTTTCAATGGGACAAAAAGCTGCACAAACATTACAGCAAAGATATGGCACCCACTATAAGGTGGGCTCCAGTACTAGAATATTATATGCAGCCTCCGGTGGCGCCGATGGTATAATTTTTTCCTATATATTGTATTTCCAATTATTTAAGTGAGATTTAATTTGACACAACAATAGACTGGGCTCATGGAACTGCAAACATCAAATACAGCTATACATTTGAATTAAGAGATACTGGTGTTTATGGTTTCATACTTCCGGTCAGATATATCATACCGACCGGTGAAGAGACGTTTGACGCAATCAAAACTATGAGTTATGAAATTAAAGACGAATACAAACTAAAAGCAATTAATACATAAAATTTAATTACAATAAAACAAATTAAGAATTTATTTAATAAAAAAAACTTTGAGCACAAATCATTGATCAAGTAATTTGTAATACAATTTTTATCCTAAATATATCGTATTTATTATGTTTTTAAAAAATGTCACTCAAAAACCAATTGGAAAGACTTATTTCACTAATATATAAAACTTGTCTATAAAAACAATAAAATTAACAAATAATAAAAAAAATTACAGGTATGTTTGTTTGTATTTTAATTTATATATATATATATATATATAGTTGTGCTCAATATCACAGATCATTTCCAATAAGTACTATCAATACGACAATAATTCAACCGAAATGCCCACAATGTTTATGCGTAACCATAATATAAATTTGTGTTTTTTCCTATTAAAAACAGTTTTTTGCGATTACCAAATAAAACATATGTTGAGATCTGTCTGTATTGACTGTAAATAATTTAATCGATCCATGATTTATATCACAGCTAGATTTTTTCAATTTAAATATAACTATAAAATATTTAAAAACATTTGTTTCAAAAAATTGAAATGATTAAAAAAACCTAATGAAATTATAACAAATTAACATTTTGATAAATTAATAATTAAAAAACATATTTATCATATATATATATATATATATAAATATAAGCTTATAAACTCAATTGAGCTCTTTTTAAATTAACTATATATTAATAAAACACAGTTTATGGCATATCGACAGAGCGTATCACCAGTTCCTCGACTAGCAATCACTGCAGTTGTTTTTTAATTGTCCTGAAATTAAATGATGCAAATAAATGTTAGTTATCAAACAACAAAAAAAACCATAATATAAATAAATACATTATTAATAGTGTCGTAGTCTGGTTGGACAGACATAACAAGTGAGTGTTGGCGCACATCTTTATCCTTATCTGATTGCAATTCCTCTAAAGTTTGTTGAACTTTCAAATGAGATCTAAGTTGAGCTACAATTACATTCAAAAAAAAAAAGAAACAAAAATAAAAGTTAAAACAGATAATAAAAATGTCATATAAATAAATTGCTAACCGATTGGCCACAACGTGTTGACTATAGTTCGGGCTAAAACTAATCTAATATTTGGTACGTTATCGGCGGACAAATTGAGCAAATGGTCGAGCATTTTGTCAATAAATAATTGTACGGAAATCGACTCATTTTGAATCAATTGTTGGCAAACTAAAATATATGTCTGTCTTTGGACCCATTTGGTGGAGTCAGCAAACTGTGTGTTAAGTTCCCAAATAATGTCTAATCTATTATCGCCAGCAATGGACGAGTCGTAGAGACTCGACTCAAAGATTTGTTTCATTAAAACTGATACCAAACGTATGGCTGCTATCCTCACTTCAGATACTAATTTAAACAAACAAAGAAAAAATAAATTAATTTCAAATAATTATTCAATTAAAATTTTAAGTCAAATACCTTTATCATTGAGTAATACCAAACCAATTGGTAATAAATATTCTTTAATTTCATTGGCTGAATATATATCAGTTAAATCCATGATTTGAACGGCTAATGTACACCTAAATCTCCAGTTTCTATTATTATCCATTTTTAAAAAATCGGCTAATTTTGGAAGTATTCCCTGTTGTTGTGGTCTAAGTAATAATTTAAGAAATTGTGCTAAATTTTGAAGAATTCCGAACCGCACTTCATCTAAATCCTTCATAAAACTCAAGAAAATTGGCAACAAATCTCTTGTAGTCAATTCTGAACCTAATATTAGTGACATTTGATGCAAACTGGATGCCAAAGTCCAGCGCACTTTTACTTGCATTTCTGCGGCTAAAAGTTCATAAGTTTCTCTCAGACACAACCAATTTTTACGACCCAAAGTCAAAGCCACTGCTGGAAGACTATAAGCACAGTGATGGCACAAATCGGGATCAACTGTTTGATAATGTATTGGATTCGTCATCGATAAGTAGTGTTCCAAAAGATCGTTGGGAATGATATCTTGAGATGGCGGTGGTCTCCGGTATGGAAACATATATCCGGAACCCATCGCCATTGAGTCTTCAAATGAAAACGACATGAGCTCTGTTGGACCTTCCATTACATAATTTAATAGCGGTTCCCGGACACACATTATATCGTTTGAGGTATAATTTGGTCTATTATACTCAGTCCAGGCACTCCTGTCGTAACTATTATATAGCATATATTTGTTTTGATCTTTATTTTCAAATAGATTTGGTATAGCTTTTTGGTCATCACTTAAATTGGTTCCTATTTTTACTATTTCTTTTGAAACATCTTTCTCAACCGATTGTGCCGACAGAGTCGATGAATCGCCAATTTGTTCACTGCTTTCTGTCGACAACTCATCCCTACACTCTATGCTATCCAATGATTGAACTTCGAGTTCAGGAAATGTTGAAATAGGAGTTTTCCAGTAAAATAAATCATTAAACTCTGGATTTTCACTCTGCTTATTGTCAACCGGTATCAATAAGTTGCTCATCTCATCGCAAATAGTCTCCTCAACATCTTCTACATCAATATCTGTGGGCGAGTTAGCAGTCGATCCATTACTACCTAAACCACTATCATTGCTTGTATGATCTTCAATGACTACAATACCATTATCTGAATAATAGAGACCGGTTTTTGTTGGATCGGCAAATGTAGAGATAAATGGACCCAACGATTGAAAGGCAGATGTCTTTACCCAACGGGACTGATCGTTGAGTAAATTGACAAACAATGGTGATAATATATCTTTTCGTGTCTTATTTGATACAGTGATGGCAACGGGAACAAAGAAATCGGCGCAACTCTTCCTGACGCCCCAAATGCTGTCCTGACATAGACTCCGAAATCGAGGCAACTGTTATAACATTGAAACAATTATGTGTCAATTATTATTACCGGTAAATAAAAAAATATTAAAATTAAAATTAATTACCAGAATCTCTTCGGTTACAATCTGGCCAACAATAGAGCAAATTTCACCAAAATTTGAGGCACATATGCGGCGCACGTGGAAACTGGCGTCCAAACACAAACGGGTAAATGTTTGCAGTAATAACTTTTCAGTTGAATCTTTGCCTAAAAATCTAACCATTTTGCCCATCATCTGTAAATATACATTATAAATAATCATTTAATTATAATAATAGTCAACAGTACTAATTTAATTTTATAATTAAACTGTTCTCAAAATAACTGATAATTTATTAGCACTAACAATAATAAGTACTAAAAATCGGTTTCTAAATATAATTATTTTAATAAATATCGATAAATTGTCAAAATCTACTAAATATAGCTAATAAGTCGTTAAATTTATAATAAATAAAATCAACTATAAATCAATCACTCGGACACTTCCACTGATCAAAGCGGCTGTGATATGAATTTTGTGTATTGAGTGAAACAGATCACTACCTCTTTGACGGGTGGATTTGTTGGGGGACTTAATAGTTAACTATATTAATCGGTCAACAATTTTATAAGGTATTTATAATTGTTATATTTATAGATTAGTTATCATATAAATCGATGGTGTCTTCTCTAATGCGATTATGAGGAATAGTATGGTATAACTGAACTCATCAAAGCTGGCTGTGATATGACTACAAGTTTGTTACGACACATCACAACCACTTCGTGAGGTGAGTTACCCAAAGATAGGAGCGATGAAGAGTGAGAAAGAGAGAGGACAGACACACATCTAAACAAATGGGATATCAATTGTTTAATAATAATATTATTGTTGTTATTAATGTATGTTATGTCGTGTCAAGTAGGCTGTGATATGATTCAATGGTAACAGATCACCGCCAACTTGCACGACATATACACACATAAACACATTGAAAGCACATGTAGTTGTTGTTGAATGATATGATGAATACAAATACAAAAAACTCTTGAAGAGTACATGTCATGTGCACTCTCGGAGATCATCAAAGGTGGCTGTGATATGACTTATAGGCTTTACATTTCATCAGCCGCTTTGATGTCTACGCAAATGCACGTAAAAGGACTCAATTATTAATACAAATTGAAAATGAATAATCACTTTCTTGTAATTTCATGGCATTTGGCGCCAAATTATCTTTTCGTTTAAGTCATTCACAAAACCATTATATTATGAATGTCTTATTCATTGAAATTATAAATACATAAAAATAGTTTGTAAACAAATTACAGGAAGAGAGTGCTTATGAAGAGAGAAGAGATGACAACTATTTTTAGAGATTAGCCATCGCTATGAAAATCATGTGATAAAAGTGAATAACAAAAAAATGCAATGATTTGTCATCCGATACCAAATGATAGTAAAACAATAATAACAAACAAACACATGGTTTGTGTGGGCACAACACAAAAAACAATGCCGTTTTCTGGACGTGTCGTCAAAGACAAGGTAGTGAGATGACTGTCATTGTAATACATCTCACTACCCATGTCTTTCACTAACACATTCAGATATTTGTCGCACCCATTCACCACAATTACAACTATATATATATATATATATATAACTAAATATAATTATATTTATAAAAAATATCTGACATTACATCGAGAAATATGTATTACTATGATATCAACATTACTATATAATCATAATATACCTAATATTTCAGGTAAATGCTTAACTATACGTAAATATATTATATAAATAATTAATATAATAAATTTCAGTAAAATAGTAGTTTCATTGAGTTAACGCCTATTTGTTATAATATATTAGCAAATAAATTAAACAATAAATGACTTACACCGACGGCTTCCATGCGGTAGTCATCCATATTTGAAAAATCAGTCAATTGTACCAATAGTGGACAAATATGCTCTTCAATAAAACCTTAAAAATATATATATATTAAAAACATTAGATATAATAATTTTAACACCACTTTTTTCATTTACATATTTCAATAATATTTTGCTCCAATAGCATCACAAACGCGCTTTGTGTCATTTTTCTAACCTATAAAATATATCAATTAAATATCAATTAAAAAATCAAGTTATGCTATAATTACATGACTATTAGTGTCGGTGAGAAGCCGTTGCATAATTGGCAATATATTAATGGCCACAGAGTTTGTTATATTATGCGATTGACTGCAAAGATATATACATATTTGAGGCAATTGTTCCACCATTTCAGCTCTAATGCTGGGCTCTAATTTAAATAGTTAATTATGTATTAAATTAAGACTACCATTGCTTATGTATATAAATATAAACAAACCTGTATCAACGGCTAACCGGGAGATGACACCCATAACTCTTGTAATATCATTAGTGTCGATATCATTGAGAGTTTCAATGATACTTCTGGCCACCACTTGTCTGTTAATACAATAAACATTTACACTATTATTAACAACATATACTTGTATTGTCACTTAAAAATAACAGATATAACTCGTATGTTAGTAATGTTTAACAAATGTAAATATAGTGTAATAACAATAACTATAATAATAATAAAGTTGGCGACAAATTTAATAAAATGTCAAAATTGAAATACAAGTACTTATTAGCTAACTTGTAGTTTGACACAAATATTTAATAAATCAATAATAAAAATCAGTGTTTAATTTACAATAGAAATGCGGACAAACTATGAAAACATGTCTATAATGGCGGGACAGTCATGCAGTTAAGGCAGATGTGCAACAGCCTTATGGTGTGTTCCCGCCAGTGATGATGGATGCTTCCGGTTCAATGGCTCAATGCCTCCCAGTGCTCTATACACACACACACATACATACTGTATATTATACATACACACACATATATGCTGCTATAACTTGTGTCTTACTTCAACTACATTTAAATAATTTGTTGCATCCAATTTGATAATCATAAAAAATAGATTATATATTCATCTAAATAAATATAAATATATCTCAATTGAAAATGTTTGAAAACTGATAAAAATAGATACCAATTGAATAATAAAAATAAATGTATATATGTTTGAAAATTTAATGCAAAATTTGAGAATAAGTTATATATATATATACATATAAATATATGAATAGTACCAATAGATTAATGTAAATAACGTAAAACAAATAGTCAAATATATGTATGGATCCGTTTTATGGCAATGTGTGGTAATGTTGGATGTGTTGGATTGGCTCCAAAAGAGTAAAGACTGGTTAAGCATTAGTGTGTAGTGTGTCGTAGGGATAGAGGAGTCAAATGACAGACTTGTGATGAGATGCCTGTATTCTTATGCTTCTCTTGTGTTAAGTTATGGCTCATCAATGCCTACACTCTATCACATTATGAGTGCTTACATTAGACTTTGGATAAAAGCTATAAGTCAGTCAAGAGTAAGTGTATGGCAATGGTTTGGTATAGTATGGGATGGTTTGAAATGGTTGGCCACATATCACAACAGCAGGTTTCCACTGTTTTTAGTGGTGTTTAAAGCTTGCAATTTCAAGATTTCCTCTTTTCATAGGAATGTGCCGAATATACTGCCCTTAAGGCTATTGAAACGAACCAACACTTTGGGCTAAATTCAAGTCAAACTTATGTCGGCATTACTTCTCTAAACTTGTCCTTAAAATCACTTCACATGAAATCGTTTACTAAACTCAACATCTTTTTCAATAAAACATTTCTAGACTATCAATATATTTATATTCAATAGTATATTAACAATTAAATTTATTCAATAATACTAATTATATATTCATCATATCTAATACTTTATTATGAATATTATTTATTACATTGTGATATGATATACAATATGTGTGTGTGTGTGGTTAGGCATTGGACTTAAAACATTGGTATTACTGTAAATGATAGCATTGAAAATGTATTTCTCTAACATTAACTTTAGAGATCATTAACCGAATAAAGTTGAGCTCAAGTATGTGTATGTATATGTGCTGTCAACTAGATAACAGTGCCATTAGAAGCAAACAATTATCAAATAAATTCAAAATATAACTAAAATATTACTAAATTGTAGTCAACTAAATGAGCGCAATATAAAAACATATCATTTTGTTTATAACATGACATCTTGTGACTTATGGTTGGTTTGATGAGAAATAAGCAATTGTTGGCTAAAACTCATTAATTATACACTACTATATACAACACACTTGTCATCTCAAATGTTATCTTTAAATCTTCAAAACAATGCTATGAATGTCTGACACAATTGTATGTAAAGTATTGGTTGCAACAAAATAGGCATTGCTTTTCGCGCCATTAGTTTAATACTTGAAATACTAGATATATAATAGTTTTACTAATATTTTTATATTATAAATATATACTTTCATTATATAATTTCTAATATAAATTTTTTTTAAGAAGTGGGCGTTTAAGTAGTCGACCATCAAATCAACTAATATTACACACTATTCAAGCATTCATTCATTCAATTCATTGATGAGAAAAAAGTCAAAACAAAAAATACTAAACTTTTATCTAATATCTCAATGTAAACACAAATATTATAACAGTGACTATCATCACAATCACAAACATGAGACCATCTCAAGACAAAACAGATTCAATCGACTGTTTATTTTATGAAAGTATAGTTAGAGATGCCATGTCTCAAGTGTTTTTCATATAAATCGTATATATTTAGACATTTTAATGGTAACAATAAGTGACATAATAGTGACAAACCTGTGAAATATGATGTCAGACATGCAGTACTTTTCCAATCTATCGATGGGTTGGAGCGCATCGTCCGGATTAGTCAACTGGTCTTCAAAGTGATTGACATTGATATTAATGGTAGCATTACTTGGATTTGTGTCGTTGTTATCGTTGATACACTTATTTGTATTTGTACTCCAGTTTCCAGAATTGGTCACAATATTATTGTCACTGGTGTTGGACTGTCCCGACTCTTGATTCATATTTGGCGTATCGTTTGACGTGTTTTCACAAACAGTCATGTCTTCAGTCATTTGTGTGGTGTTTCTGATAAGACAATGAAATATAAGCAAAACAATGCCTAATGGGTTGCCATTTGGCGCGCATAGTGTCCAATGGTGTGGCCATTGGTGAGTATTGAGGGCAAAGGCATGAAAGGCATGTGTCGTATGTAATGACCGCTCAAATGTTTGAAACAGTGTTGTGTTGAGAGTCAATACAAAGTATGGACTGCTTTTTGGCAACAAAACTAATGCCTCAATGTTGGGAACAGTAGTGCGCCTTCACTTCCACTGAATGCCAACACTCCTACAGCACTGGCAGTGGAAGGGCTGCTGTACTACCAGTGCTCTCTCACATCACTATTGCTGTGACTCTGCCATTGCTTTCGGTCCACTCATCTAAACCACACTATGGCTGAGACTATGAGAGACGAGTCTAATGTACACAACAGTCAGCACAGGGAGAGGGAGAAAGAGATAGATATAGTGTATGGAGTGTTGGCTGAAACACACAAATACTGAAAAAGAGAGACTGTTTGCCAAAACAGAGCTCTAAATGAGATAAATAATTGGCATTACTTTGCTGTACACATAGCTATAGGAAAGGCCTCTTTTCAAGGACTCACACAATTACAAGACTATCGCCTATCACTTGCTATGAATGCCATCAATTCAACAAAATGGAGACCACAGGCAGGTCCTTATCACTCAAGCCATACCAATCCATACCATCACCGCATAAACCGATAGAAACAGTACTAAACTAATTGTCATTCACTTGTATTGCAATTGTTTTGATAATTAAAGGCTTTCCCTCTCTTAGTCCTAACAATTCATGTGTTTGTCATATGATATCAAAACAATAGTCCGAAAATGTCTACAAATTAATGATAAGCAACACATTGTTCATCAATGCTGTCATCAATTGTTTGCAATAACAGTCGTAACACTATATCGAGTGAATGCCATTGAAGGCCAGTAACCCTAACAGTGCTTATTATACAGACATTACTAAATGCATGCCTAATCACTATGACTATCAATAAATGGTCACACATTACATGACAACACTATGCCATTTGGTTAGACATCTCCAAGACATCACCACTTGAAATGGTTAAATCATAACTTATCAGTGGATGTGTTCATGTGATGGTGTGATTGGCGCCACACAACACACACATACATATCAAGCACTGTATAAGCAAATCATTTTACTGTATATCATATATACTGTGTTTAAAATGTGTAAATGTTATGTATATTTTGCTAATATTTACTTACATTTAGGATATAATAAAATAGTCGATTCAAATGTATTCATATAAATCACAAAACAGTTATATATTAATAAAATGAGGCAATTGTTTGGACACTGATTGCTGTAATGAAAACAATCGACACATTAATGATGTTATAAACGATATGATAGACTGATATCACACGTTATGTACGATCACTCAAAAAACACAGAGAGATATATATATACTGTATATTTGATTACAATTTATTAATACAAACGCTTATTGTATATCAAATCAATGGTCACACAAACGGTGATACACTTTACGAGAGAGAGAAAACACAAACAACATAACAGTTAATAATAATAACTAGAAAACCATTTGTATAAAACATATACCATTATATACATCACAACTACTGTATTATTATTATTATTATTATATTATAGCCTATTATACGTTCAATACGTTTATATATGTTTTAGAGTTTATTAGTGGAGTAGTGGCGACAAACTCACAGTCAAACCAAACACACATACAATTGAAAGCATAGGAGAAAAGCACTGAAAAAATATCACTAATAAATGCGTCAGAGAGTCACTAATGTACTAATACTATACACTAATGCCTAATGCGCGCCATTTTCTATATATTATTCAAAGTTATTATAGTTGTAATAGTAATCTATAGTCAAAATATAGTAAAGTATAGTAAAATATATACAACACATACAACACATACACTCACTCACACACCAAACATACAATAATTACGACTAACAACACACCCACCCAAACATTTTCTATCATTTGAATTTATTTTTTGAAATTGTTATTCAATTTAATTATAATATAGTTATTTATTTATATGATAAACTGTCCATGATAAATTAGCAAATTATAAATTTTCTAATATTTGATAAAAATTTGATTTTTTTTCGTTTTTTTCAAAAATTCATTTGTTTATAGGTTTGGTTACAAATAATTCAAATATTAAGGTCACATGTCTAGAGAAATATAGTCCAAATTGTTCACTGTTTGCACAGTTTATTGTTCGCCTGAATCGCCTCTCTCTATGTGTTTGTCGTTTACATTAGAAGTTTATTTTTTCGTTATTATTATTATTATTATTATTACCGATCCATTCATTTACACACCCAGTCTATATAAATACACTATTTTTTCAAACATTAATTCTGTTTTAAAGTTTTTTTTAATTGCTATAATAATAATAATAGTATAAAACATAATTAATATATTTGTATAAAATTTATATTTAATTTTTTATTCTGTAACTAAATAGATATGTTTAGCAATGACTTTAGTTTAGAATAGAAATTGTTATTTTTGTTATTAATTTTATCTAAAATAAATAAATAGCATAATTTAGTTTAATAAATATTTTGTTAAATAAAATTTAAAGTCATATGATTTATGCGGTCAATTCAAAATCAAATGTTGTTTACCAGTTATTTAATTGAATACCCGACAAAACGGGACTCGTATAGTACACAGGGATCGGGACTATAAAACGGTCGTCTAATTTAATGTATGTCTCAAAATCATGTGATGTCTCTCTGATGTGACCTCTGGTGGCAAACACTTTGTGGTCAATGCGTTCATTGCATCAAAACTTTTTGCAAACTTTTTTTTCTTTTTCTTTTTGTTGCGATCCATAAAAAGCAACTTTTTTTAACCACAATTTATGACTCTCTATAAAAATATAGCATTATATATACATTTGTTTTTTATAGTTTTGAATGTTGTTTTTTGGTGAACATTTATTTGTGAGAAAATAGGATTTAATTTTTTAGAAAATAAATTCAATGATCATTCACTTGATAGGCCATCAATTTAATGGGATTCTCAATAATTATTTATATAAATTATTTTCTCGTTTATATATATACTGTATATATACTGTGTGTGTAAATAAATATAAGTTATAACTAAATACATTTTACATTAAAAAAAATTGTTAGTTTTTGACATTATTTTTTTCTAATTTTATTATTTAATTTTTTTGTCATAAAAAGTATGACTGATTACCTAAAAAATGAACAATTTTATGATAAGCATAACTTTTTTTGTTTTGTTTACAACAAAAATATAACTATTATATTATACAGTATTTCTATAATACTTAAATACAATATACTTGCAACTTGCAGAGTTGCAATTACTTAATTAATTGCGATAAAAATTTCTAATTTAATAGTATTTTACAAATTTTAATTAAAATCATTACTATCACAAAATGTAAACAATTTTTTTGTACTAACAAAACAGTGTATTATTATTATTATCACTGGTATATAAAAAAAATGAAATATAAAAAATAAATACAGTATATTATTACTTTATAATTGATAGTGTTATATGGGTTTTATGAAAACATGAATAATTGATATATGAGTTGATTATCTCATCATATGATTAATAATAGTTATTACGTGAACTGACATACAGTTTTATGCACTTTCAGTATTATATCTGTATATAACATGTTGTATAACAAGTATATCATTAAATTGATGTCATATATTGAATGTGTAACGAATAATTCACAGAATAATTGTTGTATTTTTGTTATATTAAAATTATTTTATTTATATTTACAATAAACTAATTACTGTATTTGTATTAATTGTATATTAGTTGTACTGTACATTGTATATAGCATATAACATTAATGATACTAAATATATTTAATAATTTTAATAACTAATTTATATAATTTTTATTTGATTTAATTTACTGCTAAAATTTTTAATAGTATTATTATTAATAATGCTCACAGTATGCTGTAATGACTTTCAAAATAAGTTAGTCGTAAAGTTTTAAGTAATTTATTAAAAACTAAATTATATAAGTTGTGAATTATATTAAATAAAAATCGGCAATCGATTTGAAAATTAGGTTTAAAGAATAATAAAAGAAAATAAATAATTACTTTTTTACCGTTTATTAATTTTACAGTTAATAAAATTAAATAAAGATATAATTTACTTAAATAATTTTACCGTATTAATAATTAATTATTTTAATTTATGTTAGGTACTAGAAATGTTAAAAAATATTAATAGTTAATTTTATTTTTATTACTAGTATTTTTTATTAAAAAAAGTTAAATATTTTTTAATCTACGATAATTTTTACCTCAACTAAATAATAAGCGGATTACGAAAATTAAAGTTATCCTTTACTTCTCTTTCTTACACAACCACACACATACACATTAGAGCTAGGCGTTTGGAGGCAATAAACATATAAATACTTAATTAAATAAATACTGATAAATGGATTAATATATATACAAATATTTTATATAAAATAACACACAAAATAAATTTTTAATTAATATCATTTTATGTTTGAACTTATAATTAATATCATGTTATGTTTGAACTTATAATTAATATCATTTAATAATTACTATTACTATTACTATTACTATTACTATTACTATTACTATTACTATTACTATTACTATTACTATTACTATTACTATTACTATTACTATTACTATTACTATTACTATTACTATTACTATTACTATTACTATTACTATTACTATTACTATTACTATTACTATTACTATTACTATTACTATTACTATTACTATTACTATTACTATTACTATTACTATTACTATTACTATTACTATTACTATTACTATTACTATTACTATTACTATTACTATTACTATTACTATTACTATTACTATTACTATTACTATTACTATTACTATTACTATTACTATTACTATTACTATTACTATTACTATTACTATTACTATTACTATTACTATTACTATTACTATTACTATTACTATTACTATTACTATTACTATTACTATTACTATTACTATTACTATTACTATTACTATTACTATTACTATTACTATTACTATTACTATTACTATTACTATTACTATTACTATTACTATTATACTGCATTTTAAATGATATTAATTATAAGTTCAAACATATTAATTAAAAATTTATTTTGTATTTTGTACATTTTATATAAAATGTTTGTATATATATTAATCCATTTATCTGTATTTATTTAATTAAGTATTTATATGTTAATCGCCTCAAACGCCTAGCTCTAATACACATACACTATATAAGTGTCAAAATTTACAACAAAATAAAATATTTGTTTCAAATTAAGTAAATAATTTTTTTTTCTTTTTTCAATAGTTATAAAAGTTAACTTTAATTAGATTCAAATGCCATTTTAGTAAATAAATTATGGCAAACATATTGTTGGTAATGCTTTCAAATGTGTTTTCAGTCAATGTCCTCATTCATAGCATTTATACAGTATATAATTTACAGTATATATTATAATATATACCGTATATATTGCTTAACAAGTTTTTTTTTTAAAGTAAAGATCAAAAGCAATACATTTCATGAATGACTTGAAAGCTAAGTCACAAATTCCTATGAAATTCTCATAACTATATACTGTAGTTAGGAATACCTCGAAAAATACCATAACTTGTTATATCAAGTTATCGTTATATTAAGTGCTAAATTAGCCAAATATTTACAATTTACTTAAATCATCAAAACATTTATGTACTATAGATAATTGTCGATATCATATTAATCATAACGTATAAATATATACTGTATATATATACGGTATATACCGGTATAGTTTCTAAAAACTGATAAAATTTATTTTCAAACGTACTAATTATTAAGTACAGTTTAACTGTACTATAAATTAGTATAATATACAAAAAAAACTAATCAGTAATTTTATATGCAAATTAGATTATTGCTTTCAAATTATTTTAAACTTAGTTTATTAATTAAAAATACACAAGAAAAACAAGTTATTTAGTGTAGTAATAACTTATATATATGTTTTTTATATATGTTTTTTATGTTATGATATATTAATTAGTTGTTAGACACAATTAACAATTAAAAGTTACTAAATATAATAAAAAATATTTTAATTAAATAACAATTGGAATAAATTTAAATGCTAAAATAATTAACATAACAACAATTTTAATTGCCGGTACTATTATATTAAATCTAGAATATATTTAAATAAATGCGAGTTATTTATTAATAATATTTTCAACAAATTTATTTATTAATTTATATGGATTAATGCGTTTTTGTTTCACATTTAAAAAAATATAACAATATTTTATAGAAACAAAAAAATCATAATTGTTTATACATATATTTAAATATATACATCTGGAAAAATAATTAATTTAAATAAAATATATATAAATAGATAATATAATTTTTGTTTAATTTAAAAAATCATGATAAAAATAAGTGTAAATACAAACATTAAATTAATAATTAATATAAATTATTAAATACTAATATAAGCGCTAAAATAATCAAATGCTTATCAAAGGCGTTAATTTAATGATATCTTCATTTAGTTTATGGAAACCCTTTCTTTGATGTCTGACCGACAAAATGGACAGATATCCAACTGTAAGGCACAGGTATTACAAATTTTCTGTAATTTACAAATATATTTATTAATTTTTATATTTAATGCAATGTAATACATCTTTATGTGAATGTAAGCAATATTTGAAATAAATAAACTATTGTTATATAAAACTTACAGAATGTAAACATGGAATCAATTGTATTGTAGCCGTTCCATCAAAACATAGAGTACAACTGTCCTCACGAGTTGACGACAAGTGCAACAGTTTTAGTTTTATATGTCTATACAAACATATATTTAAAGAGATAATTTTTAAAAAATAAAATAAATATATGATAACAAGTAATCAACTCTTTTTTAAAAAATAATTTGAATACTTTGGTAAAATTATTTTATCGCTATCTGTCAGAAAGCCTTTTGCATTAAACGTTTCAAATGCTAGATCGGGTGGATATTTAAATGGTGTGCCACCAAAATTGAACAAACATTGCTGGTATGACATGAAACTGGCCGCTGCAAAATAACCATTTCTAGTAATTCAAACAATCAATCACAATAATTAATTAATTAATCACAGTTTTGATTACAAAAAAAAACATTTTAAATATTAACATTAAATACTAAACTTACTTTGCATTTTTAAACACATAATTACATGGCTCTAATGGAATGCCATTCAAATAAAAGATAAATTGTTCTAGTTCCAAGTCAATAAGACAACCTAGTACATCACCTAATTTAAATATACCGGTAATTATGGAAATTAAATTAAAAATAACAATTTATCGTATTTGTAAATAAAAACCAAACCTGGTTTCCAACACTTATGCTTATGAGGAAAACTGGAAGCATTGTACCAAATTAGTTGTCGACAACCATCGTAAGCAATTGAGTATTCATCGTCACCGATACCATAGCCTTCATGGTTAAGAAATTTACTGTCTTTGGTCGCCCAACCGATTTGCATAACACCTGCCGTTATGACTATTGCTTCATAATAGAAGACACCATCCATTATCTGATAAGTACAGCGAACGCTTTCAAATGATGAGGCATCGCATCGAGCCTTTGGAAAAAAGTGGTCAACAAAATCAAGAATTCAATTTATTTGATATATCATTAACAATAATAATTACCATCAATCCATTGGCTGATATCTTTAAGTACTCACTGGCATCACTTGAATTCAAAATAGCATTCAAATTGCTTCTATCGACATCTTCGTATGTCAATTGTCGACCCTCTTTGAGGAACAGATTGTCGAGAGACCATTGAGCACAAAAGCCAACTTGTTTTTTAAGATAATCCTTGTCATCGATGAGCGCTTCCAATTCAAACAATGCATTCTTATTTGTTTCCTCTAATCTCTTAGCAATTGTCAACTTGTTTTCCGCTAAAAATAATAATAATAAATATTATTATTATTAAAATCGTTAAAAAATAAATAGTACCGCAAATCAAATAAAAAAATAACTACTAACTTGTTTGTGCAAACTTTTCAAGTGCTATTAACGTAAATAAAACAATTGAATAATCAATTTTAAGACTCAGATTATTAATTAGATAGTTGAGGATTGCCGGCGTCAACAGTGTCATACTGTTAGTTCCGGCCAGCTTTTCGGCCAAACAGCCGATAACAGAACACGTGTTCCGATGTTTTGCTATAGATTGTCGTGAAATATGTTTGCTATTAATATTAGACAAATTCAAAATGTGCGTCAATTTCGTTATTGATTCCTAGGTTTGAATATAATAACAAAATTATTAAATAATTGTTAGAAAAAATAAATAAAATAATTATCACATACTTTGGTTGGAAGAGGACAGTCATCGAGTAGTAAAAGAATTACTGCCGGACCTAATGGGTCATCGATGGGAATAACATTAATCATTGAGTTGACAACTGTTAGCCATCCTTTCTCTTTATCGGCTATTATATGCAACTTCAACATAGATGATGGCGGGTCTAAATCGCTGTAATTAATGGATAATAAATGGTAAGACATGATAACCACTTTAAATGTGACAGTTTTTTTACTCACTTGTCGACGAGTGTCCTAATTAGTGACAGTGTCTCGAGTATAAGTCTGTCAACCATTGACGACAATTTTGTCGACGGATGGTCCGATGCGGCCATAAGTGTACTATTAATGGCCATACATTGTTCGTTGTCGTCATTATCTTCTAGCATGTGTTGGCCAACCATATGATTATTGGTGTTTGCGCGCGAAGAAGTGGTTGCCGATTGATGGCTTCGTTTATTGCGCTCTTTGCAGAGGCAAAGACCCATTGATTAGTTGACAATCACTATAATTAGTCATAAATTGGATGATCTGATCCACTTGATTGCGGTAATCAATTCATCCGACGATTGTCTTCTTATTTATGTTGTTGTTGTTGTCCAGCAATCATATAAATGAGTGTAAATGACAGCAAAAAACGTGTTTATTATATTAACATTTACTAAACCAATGATGGCATCAATTGAGTCACTAATTAATGTAATCAAATGATACGATTTTGTTAGTAATTAATTATTTTTGAAGTGATTTCAAGTGTTGTTATGCTTTAGTGTTGACACTCTCTCTCTCTCTCTCTCTCTCTCTCTAAACAACAACACAACACAAAACATAAGTCACATAATAATAATCGAGTGATGAATGAATGCGAGCATTGATTGGACGCACACTTGCACTCAATATACTGTATAATACACTATAATATCTTATATGTCTATTGTATGGCAAACACACTGTTATTATTACTTTTATTATAGCAGTAATTGTATCGCAAAACTAACATTCATTGTAAACACAATACGAGTGCGCATTCATTCATTCAACACTTGGTTTATGATTTCAATTCATTTCAATTATTTTTTTCATTTATACCGTAAAATATTGAATACTTTGAATATTTATATCATATGTCTATATACTGTATGAAATAAAATGATAATTAAAATAAAGTTTTCTGTCGAAAAAAAATATCTTAAAACAACTCATAAATCCCTTAAATATTGTTTATTATTATTAGTAATAGTATTTAAACATTAATCAATTTAAAAATATTTTTATTAAGATATACATAAGTTTTTATTAACTTAAATAAACAAAGTTTTTTTTCGGTCGAAACATATTTGAAAAAACACTACACTTTTTGTTTGGGATATTAAAAGACAGTAAATTATTTCTCATAAGTTTTTCTGGGAATTGATTTTTAAAAAGCATTAATTGTTTACACGTATTGACTATAATTTTTGTCATAATAATGATAGAAATCACTTAATTGCTAATTTCATTTGTAGTGATAACGTATTTAGTTTAATTTTTTTATATAAAAAAAATAATTTCCTAAATAAGATTGTCATCGTATATATATATATATATATATATATATATATTGTATATGATATTTAATATTATTTAAACCAGTTATTTAAATATACCTGATATATATATAATAATTTTATATAATATATATCATATACCTGTTCGACAGTTAGCATATTAATTGATTTGTTTAATCTGTTTAAGTAAAATGAAATAACTTTCTAAATAAAATTAATTTAATATGACTTAACAAGTTTATACCTTTAATTTGAAATAATATATATAAAAATTTATTTATTTATTTAATAAAATTAATTAATAACTAGTTTTAAAATACAGCTGTAAGTATATTTTTAATCTATAATATTTTTTTGGGGCATATTTATACTAAAAAATATTACAGTTGTAAAAACACTTTTGTTTATTTAATTTATAAGATAATGTTATTTGATATTTTAAGTTATAGTTGTTTTTAAAAATTGATATTATAATTTACAAGTAAAAAAGAAATATGATATTGTTAAAATTGTATTATTAGTGATCATAATATATATATATAAGTTATTACGATTCTGTTAATGTTAAAAAGATAAAAATTTATTACTATTTTATAAATAAATGTTGTAACAATAATTATACTAAAATGTTAATTATAATAAATAACATATTACTGCATTATATATGCAATGAATTTTTATCATTAAATACAGTAAATAATGTTTATATACGGTAAAAAATGCGATAATAATTAGTATTTTTAAACATGCAATAGTATTTTTATATATGTATCGTATAGTAGACTACATTGTAGACTCTACAATGTAGAGTATATTTTGATAATAAAAAATTATTGATATTTTATATCATAGACCACATAATATTAAAATAATTTACTACTACACTTAAAAATTACTACACAACAAATTATTACTACTACATTTGAGTATTAATTTTTAACAGTGAATTGATTTTGAAAACCTATTTTTACTAATAAGTCTATTATTATTATTTTAAGTTTTAAATAACAATAAATTTTATTATAAGCAAATTATATCCATAGTTGTTTTGATTTTATAAATATTTGCCAATAAGTTATACTGTATTTATACTATTTTTTAAAAAAAATATTATACAATTACATACATGTATTACTGTTTATACAAGTTTTGTATGTAATAAAAAATCTAATTTTATTTTAAACAAATAAATTTGAATAAATATTTTACATATGTTTGAAAATACAAATCAAACAAATACTCAACACAAAAATATTTGCCATATAATTGAGAGTTTAAGTTGACATATGCTATAATGTTATGTTAAATATTTGTCGTTACTATAAATAAAATATGTGCTAAAATAAATAAAATACTTCAATATTTTTCTTGTTGTTATTGCTAATCTCATAATGAAAATAATGTGTTAAATTAAGTTAAAAACTTTTAAAAACTGTCTTTTACTATGAAATTGTATGATTGAATTGAAATCCCAACCACACCCTAATCTATTCTAAGGCAATGATGCCATAGGAAAGCCTAACCAAAAACAGAACAGTTAGTTGCAGTAGTTGTGGTAAAGTCGGTGGCAAAGAGCAAACTCCGAGAGAAAGAGAGAAACATAGAGAGAGATAGAGACTATGGTTGTGGTCTAAAAAAAGTCGCACTATTTTTATGTAAAACCAACTAAAATAGGACTCTTATGTGACTCTCTATAGTTGTAATTGGATTACATAATCAACTAATTGTTTTTTTCACAGTCTGTCAGTTATATCTTTCATTTGAAATCAGTTATCAATTGTATTATTGTTGTATTAGTTGTTTCTTTTAAATCTAACCATTATTATTATTATTATTATTATTATCTTTCTATTTGTCTCTCTATCAACTATTTTCTTTAATCTAACAAACAGTTGTTTACCAATCATTTGACAGCTGATAATTGATTAGTTCAGCCACTATGCCCGCAACAGCGACAGTTCAGGTCAGACAAACCACAACAACGACCACTTCAAGAGCCTCTGTCTTAGTGATCAACTCGGGATATGTGACCTCAAAACTAGGATTACTTAAACTCATACTTTTGGTGAGACTTTTAGCTTAAATTCAATATTTTTATTTGTCTGGTTATATAATATTTCAACAATTTTTTTAGTTTTACTAATTTTTGTTTACTTTAATTTATTCTTTTATAAATATATTTTAGTTGTAAATTATTTAATATTATTTTTTTATTAAGATTTTTATTGTTATTTCAAAGCTATTTTAGTTTAGATTAAGTATGTTAATCACTAATATATTTAGTAAGTTATTTAGTATTATAATCTTAAAAAGTAGTTTATAAATTGTTAATACAATATTTTTATGAATTACAAGCAATTAATTTATGAATTACAAACATTTTTTGTAGAACTTGACATAATATATGTTATATACTGTACAAAAAATTGTATAATACAAAAAAAATCATTATAATAATAATAAAATAAATTTTGAAATAAAATAATAAAACTATTTCGAAAAGTTAAAAAAATGTTGTATATAGTATAGTATAGTAATAGTATGAATAAAATTTTGAGAAAAATACAAAAAATAAATAAATAAAATTTGCATTATAATCAAAAAATATTTAAATAAATAAATATCTTTGTAGTACTTACAGTAATTTCCTATATACAGTATATAATATGATAATAACACCTCTGTATTATATGATATCAATTTAGCGTTTTATAATATATAATTATCAATTATTTTTGCAGATCTTGTCATTGATATGTTTCATATTGTTATTATTGGAGGCGTCCCACTCTTATGATCGTTATTGGTATCATGGCTATTATTATCCACCATCGGATCAATTTCTGATTTTGGTCTGTTTTGCCAATTGGTATACCATAACATTAATGTTAATTGCGGCTTTACTATCACTGGGAACTGCTAGTATATTACCTAAAACAAGTTTTGTAAGATATCTTTTTTTTATATTTTATTTTATTTTTAAATTTTATTTATTTATATGTCAAATATAACACACATATACCATATATATATAACTAAATGATCTAATTATTGACTCCCAAAACAACTCCTACCACACAATCACAAGGATTTTATATTTCACTTCATTGGATGTGTACTCTTCCTTATCGGTGGACTTTGGGTGGCTGTGGGTGCCTTCAAACATGACAACCGCAGCGTTAAGATACAGACCGCTTGTGTATGTTATTTATTTATTTGTTTGTTTATTTTAATGAGTTTACAATTTTAACTAATTTTGGTTTTTTTTTAATATTTTTTATGTCAGATAATTGCACTCATTTGCGGAATCATTCATTTAGTTCACGGAGTTTTCTCCTACAGACTGTGTATTACAAACTGATAAAAATTAATTAAACAGTACTTTCAACACACTATTATTTAAGCATTTTTATTAGTAATTATTAATATAGTTTTGGTGAATATTTATTGTTTTTTTTTGGTGAAAAAATATTCAATTTTTAAATAATACAATATTTTGATATTATTATTATTATTACGTTAGTATTAATTAAAAATTGAATATTTTATAATACTTGTTAAAAAAAGTATCTTTAAAAAGAGTGTTAATGTTTTGATCATATGGTTTATAATTTTTTAATATATTTATTTTAAATATAGTGAGAATGAGAATTCAATTTTTGGATGAATTTCTGAGTTAAAAAAAATCGAGAGATTCTTCAATAAGTGATGGCTTTATAAATATTATATTATTTAATACTCTTTTTTATATAAATAAAAATATAAAGATTATTTAGAAAATTAAACAAAAACATTATGATAGTTTTATTTAAAGAAATAAATATTTTTTAATAAGCATAAAAAATATACTAAATATTAAATATTGTGTTGCAATTTTGTTATTTAAATATAAATATTATTGTAGATTAAGTTATAATGTTTTTTCAATTGATTTTTGTGTGTATATATACGTATATTATAATACCTTTAAAATATAATATTAATTACTTTGTTATTATTTATTTTGTTGTTAATATTATTTTTAAAACATAAACACTGCAGACCTATAATATCTTAATGTTGTTTGTATTAAATTGTTCATAAGTTATGATTCATAACTACAATAATTTCACTATTTATATATTAAATAATAATCTCATTTTTTTTATTAAAAACAATAATAATGTACCTTAAAGTCAAAGTCAGTTAAGCTATAACTTAAAATGAAAATAATGTAAACTTTTATAAATTATTTATAAATAAGCATTGTTTAAATATTTATGATATTATATAAAATTAGTTATTGAAATAATAATGTTTGATATGCTATTGTAAAAGAAACAAAATATAATGAGCTTAAACCCTATTGTAATTACTAAATAAATTATATAATTAAAACAAACAAATTGTATTCAATAGATATTATAATAATACAAGAATAAAATCTATTTAAAAAAACAATTCAAGAATCACGAGTCAAACATAAAAATATTATACAATTTTTTGTTTATTAATTCATTGAAAAATCACAGAATCGTTATGTCATTTATGAATGTTTGGTAATACATGTGTTGACTGTGTGTTCAACACATGTAAAGGTATTATAAATATTTACAAAATATTTTTTATTAACACTTTTTGTGATACTTTACGACAACTTATATCAGATGTGATAATAAAATCAGTGTTTTGTTTAAAAATTTATTGAATTAATTGTCTAAAAAATGTCTGAAAAGAGAGGCGTTTTGTTTGTGTGTTTGGGAAACATCTGTCGGTCGCCGATAGCAGAGGCAGTCTTCGCACACGTCGTCAAACAAAGAGATCTCACCGATCAATGGTTTACCGACAGCGCGGCCACCGGTTTGTAGACATTTGTTTGTTGACTTATTTTTGGACACATGTATTGACATTATTGATGGTCAGGTTCGTGGCACACCGGGTCACTACCCGACTCACGGGCCAGAACTGTATTACGAAGACACGACATCGAAACTGATCACAGAGCCAGACAATTATGCAAACAAGACTTTGACAAATATGACTATATCTTCGGTATGGATGACAATAATATTGATGACATCAATGGTGTAAAACCCAAGAATAGTAAAGCTGTTGTCGAACTGTTGGGTAAATACGATCCGCAAAAGCAAACCATTATTGAAGATCCGTATTATCAAAGAGGAGACAAAGGATTTGAGACCAACTATGAACAGTGTCTTCGCTCGTGTAATGCTTTTTTGGATCAGTTTCACAAATGACTTATTTTTGTTTTTTATTTTTTAAGAGTTGATCACTTTTTCTGTTATATATTTTAAAATTATTTAAATATTTACTGATACTTAAAAAACAAAGTTAATATTATGTTATTAAACAAACTGTTTATAATTCAAATAAAATATTTATACCCTATATCTCTATATTTTTGTTTTATTCAAAAGTTAATAATACATTTGATACTCTAATACAATGTTGTAATTAATATCTGATTAAACAACAATTAAAAAAATATATTACCGGTATATACAAAAATCAGTAAAATGTATGTAAATTTAATAACTAATATGTAGCAGTATTTAAAGGTTTACATTTTTAAAAACTATTAAAATCAAATTTACGGTAAACTATTTTTATTTTTTAACAATTTGTTATAACATCATCACAGCAACCATTATAATGTATTATTTAATAATTAATTTAATTAAAAAATAATTATAATTTTTGTTAAAAATTATAAATATTAAGTTATTATGAGTTTAAGCTCGTATATTACATATTCCTAATATAGTATTATAAGTAATTTAAATAAATTTATATGTTTATGGATATATATATATACACTAATTTAAATAAATAATTGAAATATTAAATATTTCAAACAAATATTTAAACACTAATATATTATTAAAAACATAAACTTAACATTTTGTTAATTATTTGATAAATTGTCAAAAATGACTGAAAAAATGCGTTTTGTTTGTGTGTTTTGAAAACATCTGTCCGTCACCGATGGCAGAGGCCGTCTTCGCACACGTACTCAAACAAAGAGATCTAATTATCAATGGCTTACTAACAGCGCGACCACCGGTTTGTATAATTTTTAGTCTTTTTTCTGACAAATGTATTGATAATATCAATGACCAGATTTGCGTTTTACCGGTTCGCTACCCGACTCGCGGGCCATAACCGTATTGCTGAGACACGTCATCGAAACTGAACACAAAGCCAGACAATTATGTCGACAAGACTTTGATAAATACGACTATATCTTCTGTATGGATAACAATAATATTGAGGACATCAATGATATTAAGCCCGAGAATAGCAAAGCAATTGTCGAGATGTTGGGTAAATACGATACGCAAAAGCAAACCATTATTGAAAGTCTGAATAAACAAAAAAGAGACAAAGGATTTGAGACCAACTATGAACTATGTCTTCGCTGTTGTAATGCTTTTTTGGATCAGTTCCACAAATGACTTATTATTTCTTAAGAGTTGTTTTTTGTTTTGTTATAATAGCTTTAGTATGTTTTAAATAAATTTAATAATTTAAGTTAATAAACAAACTTACAAATATGTCTTTAAGTATATTTGCTTATAATTCAAATGACATAATTATATATTTATATAACAAAAATGGGTAGTAAATAATAATAAATCTAACTAATTAAATTAAATTAAGTAATCAATTAAATTAAAATAATTAATCAATTAAATTAAAATAATTAATCAATTAAATTAAATTAATTAATCAATTAAATTAATTTAAATTATAATTAAAATTGAATATAAAATAAATATATCACATGTAAGTAAAATTCCAAACAATTATATAGTTTAAAAATATGCAAAATAAAGCACTTTATATAACACTATTAGTAACAAACAAAGGTTATTAAATGGCTAAATATATATAATTGTAATATTAAATCAGTTTAAAAATGACATTTTAAATGTTAATTAAACACGAATTATTACATATAGTTAAATATAATCAATAGTCAATTTTTACATTCATTTAATATCACAAGAAAACAATACTATCTATTAAAATTGTAAGATAATAATCGATTTTTAATTGCAATTTCATGTAAAATAATAGTACATATCATAGAAATTAAAATTATGTAATATATAAATATATATTTTACATTTTCTAATTTTATTTTTATTATTTTGTTTGGATAAATATATTTATTATTTTGATATACTAAAAATAAAATATATACAGTATATATATGCATATATATATATAATATATATACAATATAAAATGCTTTTAAAATTTATATACTATATATATATATATTATATATTGTTAAATTTATAAATTTTTTTTTTGTTAAATTTTGAAATATATAGAAAACATGTTGAGAATATAACTGTATAACTGTTTCGCACTTTAATAAATTTGAACCCAAAAAAATCATTCTCTTAGCACATGTTCGTCACAATTATGCTGTCTATCATATTAATTATTTTTTTATATAATTTTTATAAATATTTAGTATTATATATATTATCAATTGTATTATGCAATTTCAAAATGGGATGATCACTAACCGGACCTATCGGTTGACTATATAATAGAGATAATATAAGGGTGTGTCAGGTATGAAGTGCATCGAAAGACATACCAAATAACAGTTCAAATGATATAGTGATGTATAGATATATTCAATTGATATTTCAATGCGAGTTTAAGATTATGTTAACATTAATTTTAACTAATTTTATGATAACAATTGTGTGATAATAATTAATTGAGACATAAATAGAAAAAATAATGTTTTTTAAAATAATAAATTTTAGTAAAATCAGATAACATACTGTATATTAGCAAGAATTCTAGAATTTTTTGTTGTTAATTATTACCTTAAAAAATGATTATTAAAATATAATAACTAAAAAATAATAAAATAATGGTAAACAATTTATTTATTAAATTTATAATGTAATTACCGGTAATTATACAGAAAAACTAAACATACAATATGTGCAATACTGCTACTAAAATATGTTACACAATAATTATACTGTAAATGTTTAGTATAATGATTCTGTAAATTATAAATTACAGTACAGTATATACCGGTATAATTTATTTATATTATGAATATACACATGTATAAGGTATAAAATAAATTAGAAATCTCAATGACTTTTATTTAACGGTTTGATTCAGTTTAACTGTAAAAACCGAAATTGAAAACAATTTTGTTTTTAGTTTATCGTTTTGTCATATTTTTAAAATATTAGTTTCACAAAAATTTTCGGTTTTTAAAATACAGTTTTTAGATTACTGTCTGAGAGCTAATATTTTTAGAATGTAATTAGTATTTTTAAAAAACATTTTAATATAAATCAAACTGCATTTTAATATAAATTTTTTAAATATATTAATTATATTTCAAATTAGAGATACAATGATTAAGTTATACTGAAATGATGTATTATTTAGATTATTCTTTATAAAAAAAATCATTGGTAATTAATGAATTAATTGATTGTTTAAATGTTATTTGTGATCATCAAAAGTAACAAAACATTTATATTGTGCAATATATAGTTAATATAGTTTGTATAAAATATTAATAAATAAATTTTAAGAGTAATGTCTAAAAAAATTGTTTGATTTGAAGTCAGTTTGTTTTTTTCGATAACAGTGCGGTTCGGTTCCTTAAAAACAATTCGATTCTCTTCTCTAGTTTATTATATATTAGTCATTATATTAATTTTGTGCAAAATTTTTATATTTTATTCACATAGAAATAGATATCATTTTAACAACTGTTTAGTATTCATATGCCCTTTGATCGCGAACTTGAAGAGTGTATATAAGAATTGAATTTTTTTGTTAATTCAATAGTTGTTGTTATTTGATATCCGGACTATTAATTGAATATTTTTTTTAAAATGTCAAAAACAAGTAATAAATACGAAAATTTTCAAGAATTTCTCGATGAAGTTCAGTACTCAAAAAGCGGAGTCAAACGCTACGAATGGATCTTCGGTGAGGGATATCTGTCGACTGGTGGTCTCGAGACTACCAAAGAAATTATACCAATTCTTGAGCTAAAAAAGAATCAAAGAGTGCTCGACGTTGGATGTGGTTTAGGAGGACATGACTTCTATATGGCTGAAAACTATGGAGCAGTCATTGATGCCATTGATTTGTCAAAGAATATGATGTCCGTAGCTTTAAGACATTTCAATCGTAAGCCTCATATTGCAAATAATATCAATTTCCGTATCTGTGATGTAATGACCACACCGTTTGACGACAACTATTACGATGTTATCTACAGTCGAGACGCGTTGCTTCACATCAAAGAAAAGCCTCAATTGTTTCAATCGTTTTATCGATGGCTTAAACCCGGCGGTAGACTAGTCTTTACAGACTACTGTCGTGGAGATACTGATAATCAATCGGATGAGTTTGAAAGCTATATTAAACAAAGAGATTATACACTCTATAAGATCAAAGAATATGACCAACTAATGAAAAATTGTGGATTTGTTGATGTATTGGCACAGGATATCAATGACAAGTTTGTCGACTCTCTTAATAGAGAGCTCAAGAAGTTGTACTCCGAAAGAAAAGAGTTTCTCCAAGAGTTTAATGTTGAAGATTTCAATGACTTGGAAGAGGGTTGGGTGGCAAAGATCAAGAGAGCTAAAGATGGTCACCAAACTTGGGGTCTTTTCAAAGCTTTTAAACCACTTTAACAACAAAATTGTCGCTAAATATCATTATAATTAAAAACAATTAATAAATAATATTTAAATATAAATATTTTATTTTTTTAAATTTTTATTTAGTGATTTCTTAAACGATAATAAAAATAGTTTTAATGATAAATTAAATGTATGTGTATTTCTATTTTTATGTATTTCCTAAATGTTATTAATAATTTATAAGTAAAATCTGAAATATATTATCTTTTAAACATTACTTTAGACATTGAAATCAAACATTGATTTAATTAAGTATTACGAATAAAGTTTAATAAGTTGTCTAATGATTGGCAGATTTGTTGCCATAACTATTGATTTTTTTAGATTTTGATAACTACTGTAACTTACAATTAATTAATTAAGTTAATTAAAATATAAACATTTTTTAGATATCGTTGAAATTATTTCATATAATAAGTCAACAAACCATAAGTTCGATAAAATTATTTATATAATAAATATTTAAATAAATTTAAATTATCTGTAAATTCTTTTGTGATAATGAAACTAAAACTAATTAAAATTAAAATAAAAATATGATATTAAATAATAATTATTTGAAAATTTATTACTAAATCTAATTAAAACTGTCATTGTAAAATGATCAAGTTAATTTTTTTATTTAAATTTTATTCCATCAAATAATAAGATTATAAAGCATAAACTTAAATTGTACTTAAATATCATTGAAAGTAATATTTAAATAATATTAAATAAATTTGTCAAACATTTAAACAGTCTATTACTACAGTAGTTTTATCATTTCATTTAATATTAGACACTTTATATTTAATATATTAATACATAATATACTAATTATTACAATTTTAATGTTAGTCATATGAATAAATTAATGTAAATTTATATTATAAACAATACTTTAATGACAATGTAATAGTAGTAAAACTATTTTCTATTTAATTTGATATTAAAAACATTTGATAACCCTATAAAGTAATATAATCTTTGATCAATTATCAATTTAGTAATAATAATAATAATAATTTTATTAAGCAAATAATATAAAAAATAATTTAATTAGTTAAATTATACAGTAAATTATATATAATAATAATTGTATAATTAAAATTCACGATTTAACTACTTTTTATTGTACAAATTAAACAAATTTATACACTTATTAAAAATTGTAACAAATAATACAATCAAATTTATGGTTTAATATTTCGTTATATTGTTTACTTGTTAATTGAAATTATTACATAATTTTTATTATTTAGTGTAATATTTTTTTAGTATAATAATATTAATTATTAAAAAATAATAATATTTTATTACATTAAAAACATGTGATCAAATTAGCTATCAATGTTAATATATAAATTTATATAATACTAGCATTTAAATAATATTATACTGTATACAGTATGCAGGTGTAATTTTTTTGCTATATTTAAAAAAAGTCTAATCAATCTTCTAAACAGATATTTTTAGATACTATACCCGTATGTGTGTAACTTAACTATGGATGCATTAGATGACTAATAAAATATATTTAACAGTAAACTAGAGAAACTAAAAGTCAATAAAATAAGTTTTTATCCCCTAATAGTTGTAAGGATTTGTCATTGAGTGTAATGAACTTAACAAAAGTCATACATAAATCTAAAATAATAGTTAAGATGTTTATGAATAATATTATAGAGTTTTGAGCGATAAAAATCAATTATAATGACAAATATAAAGACAATTAATTCGTTTATTTCAAATAAAGCGTTTAATTTATTTTAATTGATGACGAGCTGACACATTAACACAATATTGTAATTTCCTATCAATTTATATCATCACTCATTTTTAACGATTAAAGTAAATAAAAGTTTTGGAGTCTTTCCTACAATTTATATATTAATATTATTTATATAAAAACTTAAACGATAGTAATATTTACTCTAATAATAATAATAATAATAATAACATAAAGATATATATAATATATTTTTTCTTTAAGTAGTTTTAATAGAGCATCAAATTTAAGTTGATATCAAATCTATAAAAGTCACTAATTTTGTTTCGTTTGTTAACTTAAGATTTCAATAAGTTTTTTTTCTGAAAGTAAGTTTTGTTTAGCTTAAGGCATAATTTAAGTATATTTTATTATTTTGATTTACTAATAATTGATTAATTAGTTATTGATATTATATTGATACGAACAGTTTATACAATGTTGAAAATAATTTAATATAAATTTTGATAGCAATATATGTGTAGTTCAGTGATATAAAAAATTTACCAAAAAAAAAATATTTATTTAATAATATTTTAATAAATTGGATAAATGAGTGTTTTAACAATTTCTTAATCCTTAATAAATAGAAGTTATTTACAGTGAATAATAAGTCAAAATGTTTCTAATGAAGTGATTCGTACACATTATTGATGTGAAAGTTATAAAAGTTTCTGAAAGTTATTTCCAATCGATGAGAAAAGTTAAATAACTTTAATTGGATGCTCTAATAATTAAACAAAGATAAATTATATACAGTAAATAATAAACAATATTAAATAAACACTATTTATATATGCATTTATCAATTGCTATAAATTTTAATAAATTAGCAATTAAGATTAAATCGTTTGAAAAAAAAAATAATTTAAATATGATTTTTTAAAGCAAAATAAAATATTTGTTATTTTAAGAAATTTAGAATAATTATGTTAATAAAATAATATAAATATGATTTTTTGTTGAATATTTTCACTATATTATAAATGTTGCTAGAATAATTATTAATTTAAAAAATACTACTGCTATTTACAATATATTATAACTATGAATACAGTATTATGGCTAATATAGTCAATTAATTCAATAATAATATCTTAATATAATTAAACATTTATTAAATTAATTTCTGCTTAATGTATAACAATAGCAGTCATTTTAGTTAATAATTATTATATTTTCATTCAATAGTCACATGATATGAATCACTAGAAAAAATCATGGCTTATGTCAAATATAAATTTCATTTAAAGTATATATTATAAAAAGCATGACTTGATTTAATAAAACACTCGATATCATTGTTAATTGATTGACTAAATATTGTATTTCAATCAGTAAATTATATATGAGATGTATTACTTGACAAAAATATTTTTAGCTACATATCAAAAAAGGCTATAAATATTTGGTTAATGGGCGCCAAACACTCGTTTAACTTTTAGACTATAAGTTATAAATTTTAAAAATATATATATTATCTTTTAAAATGATTATTTAATGATAAAAGAGGTATAGTAAAACATTTATAGACTGATTAAAAATAAGTTTAATTAAACTTTTAATTAAATTTTATTTTTTTAAAAAGTACTGTTCAATAGTGATAACTTTGATCTTTAAGAAAATCAAATATAAAAATTTTTAAATTGTATACATAAGAAAAATACCAAAACTTTGTGCCAATCATAAGTTTACTGATAAAACAACAAATTTTAATAATAATAATAATAGTATACTTTGTATTATAATTATTATTAGATTTATTTTTGTGAAACAGACTCATTAAACATTTTTAAAAGTTATGTTTGAGACACGAGAGTTAGTTATCGATAGTTATCAATAGTTACTACAATACTTATCGCAAAAATGGACAAATAAAATGAATTTACAGATATTATTAAGGAGTCATTTAATATTAAATATTCATTTTTTGTTTAGACTTGAATTAAGTTAGAAATTAGACATGAAATATATTTTTTCATAATAAAATATTTTCATAGTTTGTGATATTTAATTTAATTTATTTAACTTAAATACAACAACAAAAAAGTTTGTTATTAATAAATTAATGGAAAAAATAAAAGTGATATCAATTAATTGATGCTAAATTGTGATCTCTTTTTTTGTTGTTGATTGTGATAAATTGTTTTCAATTTTGTTTTTTTTATTAACCCAATTAAAAAAAAGGTTTGAATAGAAGGAAAATATTTATTATTGATTTAATACAGACATTTAATTTGACTAATGTTTTATTTTTCGCGCATTGAATGAAACGGTAGTTTTTTTTTAACAAATTATAGAAATACATAACACATAACAGTTATGACGATAGATACAGTTCAAGGGCGAAGACAGCCCTCAACCATCCACAGCAAGACTCACGTTGGGATTGGGAACGGCTTCAGTCGACAGCACAACACAACTGAGTCGAGTCGATTCATACAGAATAGTTACGGACATAAAGACTATCAGAGTATTAGTACACTCACTGTGAGCACTGGGATGTCTGCCAAGTTAGACAAGTCAGTCTCCGGCAGCACAGAGTCAACCAATAATGCTAATGGAGTTCAACTTAAGAAAGAGTTGGGTCTACTCAACGGTGTTTCTATTATTGTTGGCATTATTGTCGGCAGCGGTATCTTTGTGTCGCCCAGAGGTGTACTACAAGAGGCCGGTTCTGTAGGTTTGGCGCTAATCGTATGGGTTTCATGTGGTGTATTGTCGGGTATCGGTGCTCTATGTTATGCCGAATTGGGAACCTCTATACCTAAATCTGGTGGTGACTACGCGTATATTCACGAAGCGTTTGGACCATTGCCTGCATTTCTGTAAACTAAATACTATATATTTATTTTCAACTAAAAAAAACTTATACAAACTTTTTTGACAGTTTCCTATGGGTAGCCCTGCTTATCATAATGCCATGTGGCAACGCTATCGCTGCACTCACTTTCGCTAATTATATACTCCAACCGATATTTCCGACGTGTGAGCCACCGGCCAATGCTGTCCGACTGATTGCAGCCGCCGTTATTTGTAAGTAAATGAACTAAAAAAATAAATGGTTACACCATTTAGCTATACAGTAGTAGTCATAAAAACTCCTTAAAAGGCTTTTTTCCATAAAAATGATAATGCAAAATATGTTATGCAATGAATAATTATTATATACTGTACTATATGTGTGTAGGTTTACTAACATTTGTTAACTGTTATAACGTCAAGTGGGCGACAAAAGTGCAAAATGTGTTCACATTTGCTAAAATAGCAGCACTTCTTATAATAATAATCACTGGATTTTATTATCTAATAATCGGAAGGACTGAAACATTGAGTTATCCCAAATCATTTGACGGCACCTCCACATCACCCGGACATATATCACTTGCTTTCTATTCCGGCCTATTTTCCTATGCGGGATGGTAGGTTCAATTCATTTATTTGATTATATATATATATATATATATATAATATCGTAATACAATACAATAAAAATATTAGATTCATTTTGTTCAAAAAACTTATAGCTAAATATCAAATTAGATATTATATATAAAATATTATATATATAATTTATTACATTAGCCTTTTATTATAGAAAATTTGTTTATGTAATATAATAGACAAAAAACTGCATTATAATAATTTATAACAAAAATTTATTTTCAGTGTCTCTCTCCTTGTTTTTTTTGTAGTCCTTTTAATACTAATTATATTATTTATTAACAATATTTACTGTAATTTTTTTGCTGAGTTCATTCAACCATTTAATAGTATTAACTTATTTTTTCTATGACTTCTCAATAACTTATATAATATATTTTTATATATAATACTGTATTTATGTTATATAATACAGGAATTATTTGAATTTTGTAACGGAGGAATTGAAGGAACCGTATAAAAATTTGCCCAGGGCTATTTATATATCACTACCATTAGTAACAATTGTCTACTTGTTGGCTAATATCGCCTATTTTGCTGTATTAACTGCCGATCAAGTGTTGACATCCAATGCCGTTGCCGTGACTTTCGGTGAAGAAGTGTTGGGCATATTTCAATGGATAATGCCTTTATCGGTGGCTCTTTCGACGTTTGGCGGCCTAAACGGCGGTATATTTGCCTCGTCTCGACTATTTTTTGTGGGCGCCCGTAACGGACATCTCCCCGGAAGTATAGCAATGATTAATGTGAAATATTTCACTCCAATGCCAAGTCTTGTATTTTTAGTAAGCATTTGTTTTATCAATAAATTATCATTTTATTTGATAACAACATTATGTTTTAGTTAAATTTCAGTAATGCCTAACAAAACATGTGTTATTTTTTTTGAATGAAATTTTATTTTTAGGGCATTCTATCGCTTCTGTATCTGACAACCACAGAGGTCTATGCGCTAATCAACTACACGGCATTCATTGAATCACTTGCCGTCACATTTTCAGTGGCAGCTCTTCTATGGTTACGCTATAAACAGCCAAACTTGAAGCGACCGATTCGTGTGAATCTCATACTTCCCCTCATATTTTTCATTACCTGTACATTCCTCGTACTCTTACCATTCTATGTCAGTCCGTTTGAAACAGGTATCGGAGCCGCCATTACATTATCCGGTATTCCTGTTTATTTGGCTACCATATCGTGGCGTAAAAAACCACTTATTTATAAGCGGTTTATCAGTAAGTGATTCATTCATTCATTCAAAAAAATTGTTTACATATAATTGAAATCAATTAATATAAAATACAAAAAAAATAATATGTTATTAAATCAAATATTTTTTTTAATTTCAATATTAGGTGCTTTTACACGAACCGTACAAAAGGTATTGTTTAGTTCAAAGGAATACGACAAACATCTTAATGAATAAAAATCTATTTATAAATTAATATTTCAATATATATATATTGTGTACACATAAGACACTGTAGATATCATAATATAAGTTATAAAACTTCAAACAAATTACACATAAAAAGACATGTTTTTCTACTAAATAATAATAATATTGTCAACAATTGATGTTTTCTTAAAAGATAATTAAGTTTTAATACAAATGATTAAACCAAACAAAATTGTTGACTAAAGTGATGAAAAAGAGCTGTTAGGAGTTTGACGTTATTATATGATATGTTATTTAATGATAATTGTTTGCAATTGTTTATTATTATATTTTTAATAAATGTTTTTTAACATATACTTATTTAATATATTTTTAATTTGTTACATCTATCTATATATATATATAAATATTGTAACTTTGAAAAAAATTTAATTTTGATAAAATTCTATTTAAATGACATTATTTTTATATTATTTGTTAAAATTATATAAATTTGTAATGTTTAAAAATGATTATTTAATTTTAACTACATTATATTATTAAATATACAGTATATATTTTATAAAATAATAAATATAAAGTTTTTATTTTATATACCGGTATACTCCTATCATAAATCTTCATTTTTTAATCGTTATTTTTTTATAAAAATTAATCTAAAGATATAAATAAATAGTTAAAATATTTGAAATAAATTAATCATGTGATTCGTTATTTGAATGATAAATTGATGAAATTTAAATCTCAATGTTTTTTAGGTATTTTCAAACATTTGAAACAGATATGCATTAGTCTTAACACTATATTTTGTTAAAATCATTTAAAACACAAAAAAACTTCATTATAAAGCTTCGTAAATATAAAGGGATGTACGGCTCATATAAGGCCCTGAAATTTAGAGGACTTGAAGGTCTTTCAAACTATAAGTTAGTTTTTTATGGGATTCCGTGAACAAGAAATTGTTATCAATTTATTGAGTGAACATAAAAATATATTAACACAAAACACGAGGTTAAAGATTGTATTCAATTGTAACTTAATATTTATATAACACTTGTCAGTGCTCTCTAAGGATGTAAATGATTGTAAAATTAATTATTTGTAAATATAGTACTGAATATTCATATAATTCTATTGAATATTCATTACTATCAAAATTGATTACAGTATTTATTTTGATTTAAATTATTTATTTAGATTTAAATTATTTATTTAAATTGCATAATCATAATTCATAGCTTATTTAGTTTGATCTAAATTTTAAAAATATTTTATATTAATAACTTATAGGTAAAAATTATATTTATTCCAATAATTTTATTTTGTTATCATATATATTTTTAGTGCATCTATGTAAACAATATGTTTAAGTAGATTAATTAATAAATATATGTTTTGTTAAAAATATATTATTTGCTTAATAATATTCTAATATTGAAAATAAAATTTTAGATTTTATTTAATTTTAACAATTATTGAATAAAATAAATTTGATTTACTTCAACAATTTTAGATATTATTTCTACTTATTTTTATTGTTAGTGTTAACTTTAAATCAAACTTATAATAGTAAAATGAATACCAATTTTGTTACTATTAATATCTTAACTATAGAATTTAAAAGAATTATTTTCAATATATTATTTTTAAAACTTTTAATTAATTAATTATATTAAAATAAATTTAACTCAATTTTACATCACTAATACTTTGTAAGTATTAAATCCAATATAATATCATATGCTATAAGCGGTAATTTAATACTTAGTGTTATATAACTATTAGTATTGAAATCCTAATTTATAGCACTTTTATTTATTATACAAATGAATTATCTTTTTTTTAATTAAAACAAAAAATATTAATTATAATTTATAATATGATAAAACGCTATAAAATTTACAGTATCTAAGTTACATCTATTGATAATTAATATTTTTTTTATTTGCATAACTTGTTAAAAGAATATTATCATATTTTTGTATCAATAGTATACAAAGTTAAGTGTAAATATTGAATTTGGGTCATAGTGTGCCTCTAAATAAAATAAATAAATGCTAAATGAATTGCAATAATTATTAAATAACAGCATTACTAACACATTTTTATTACAAAATTAGTTAATTAAAACTTATATATTTACCAAAAAACAATACTATTAGTAAAGTTATTATTGTTTTATTATAATTTTTTTTAAATTTGCATTTTCATTATATACTGTATTCAAATTGTATGCAATATAATTGAAAATATGTACTGTAGACAGTTATAGAAATAAATAATTGTTATTTTAGTAACTAATTTAAAACAATATATATATATATATACCAATAAAAAACATTTTGGGATCAACTAAAGTGATGTTTAATGATAACAAAAGTAGAAAAACAAAAAAGTATCAAAAGTTTTGATGAAATCGCTGATCGATTGTATTGATAATCGTTTAGTGAATTGCAGTGAAGTTTACATTATTTTTTTAGAGTCGAGTCGAGTGACAAATAAAGCGCTAAAAAAATACATGAGTTTTGCAATCAATTAATGGCTAAACCATTGATGATCTCTGAGATTATCATCACTTCATTATTGAGTGCCATTCAAGACATTCATCGAGATGTCTGAGTTTGACATTCACAACGATGTCAATCAATTGATGAAACTTCTCGAGTAAGAAGACATTATTGCATTTGTTTTTGTTTTGACCATTCATTTGATTTGTCATTTGTTTTGATTTGATTTTGATTTGACAACAGAATTGAGGAGAATATAGCCGAAGGAGTGACAGCCGATGAGTTGACCGATGTATTGGCAAAGAGTGTGGAACAACGGTCTAAAACAAGAGGTGCCAAAGATACCTTCTTGAGGACATTGGAAATCAAAAGTGATCCAGACTTCAGAAACAAATACGAAGATTTAAAGATTCACAAGTATTTTGGACACCAATTACCCGTCATTTTTGTGATTGTGATCATTGTTTTATAACCACTATTTTATTTGTTTCGTAAATAGTGTTCTTGAATTGGATCCATTGGTCCATTTATTGGCCCGAATTAACGACGATAAAAAAGTAGATGTCATTTGTTTATATTAGATATTATATGTTTTTTACCATAAATTTGAATTTAAAAAAAATATAATTTATTAATTTCAGATCAAATATCTACTGAATATGCAAAACAAGATATCAACGAAAAAGCAGAACAATCGACAACCCGTGGATCAATTGGATGGCATTTCACCGTTGAGTAACAGAGTGACTACGACGGCGTCCGCGTCGTCGACTATTGACAGACATTCGTTTCATTCGGCGGCCACTCATAGACTAAGCACAACCGATATTAATTGTACGCCAAATATTGACGAAGATTTTATGGACAGACGATCGGTTTATACAAAATCACCAAAAGACATGTCGGCCAAGAAAAAGGGTAACCGAAACAAAATGCATGACTGGAAGTTCCTGACGTTTGACTATCAATTTAATGATTGGTCTCAAGAAGACCCGATTAGGCCTTTAAACAGTTTATCAGTGGCCGAACAAGAAAGTGCTCTTATAGAAGATCTTCTATTTGTTCTCATTGTATGTCTTAAAATCACTTAAAATGCCTAAAATAATAATAATAATAATATGTCTATAATACTGTAAATTTTTTTTATTCAACAAAACTAGGGTATCGAAGGCCGATACATACGATTACAACAACTTAGGGATAAACCTAATAAACATGATATTGTGGTCGACAAGGGTGGCGATGAACTACTCTACACATTAGCCCAAAGGATAATTGCTTTGTGTCCATACTTTTCGCAAATCAATCATTTTATCGATACAATTGACAACGGTTTAGTAAATCAGGCTCTCGTGGCTGCCATGAGAGCACAGATTAAAGATTTTTTTACATTGATTAGTCAACTCGAGACACAACACAGAAAGTCTGATTTGACTCTACAAAAGATGTGGTATTATCTTCAGCCAAGTTTTACCAATTTAGCGATACTTAAGGATATCGCCAGTAAAGTTGTAAAGGTATTGATTTTTTGTAGTAATTAATTTGATTATGAATTTTGATAATATTTTTTAGAGCAATTCAATTGGTGGAGCCGTTCTTAGTATTCTTCATGAGAAGACAATATCAATGACAGGTAACACAAAAGCACAGGAGTTCTGTTTGTTACTAACAAGAAAAGCAAGCGAACCCTACTTTGAAATACTCGACACTTGGATTTATGAAGGAATTATTGACGATCCGTACAAAGAGTTCTTAGTCGAGGACAGAGCCAATGAAAGCGATGATATCATTCTTGACGAGTATGTTATTCAGACGGTTCCCTTCGCTTTATGATTCATTCAACTGATTTCATTGAATTTTTTGTTTAATTTTTATATTTTAGTCTCTTTTGGGAGAGTCGTTATGAAGTAATTAGATCACGTATTCCAGTATTTTTTGAAAGACATACGGATATGATTATGAAAACCGGAAAGTATTTAAGTGTTATTCGCAATTGTGGCCGAAAGATATCGCGACCGCAACCACCAGAACATCTTTGTTATACAACAGAAGAACGAATTTATATCGAAAGTATTGAATCCGCCTATAAGTTTGCTTCAAAAGAATTACTTCATCTATTGGTCGACGAATCGGATCTAATGGGAAGATTAAAGTCAATAAAACATTATTTCTTTATGGATTTTGGAGACTTTATCGTACAGTTTATGGATTTGGCCGGCGATGAACTAGAAAAAGATGTCAACGATATAGCACTGAATAGGTTGCACTCATTGCTTGAGTTGGCTTTGCGGACAAGTTTGATGAACTCGGATCCGTATAAGGATGACGTCCGCATTGAATTATTGTCCGATTCATTGCACACACAAATGTCGGAAATTTTAAATATCGGTACAAATTCGCCAAACTTTGAGATAACAGAGCCGTACACACTGAAAGGTGCCGAAGCACTGACATTGGACTTCCAGGTGTCCTGGCCACTTTCACTTATCATAAGCCGCAAAAACATTACGTGCTATCAAATGCTTTTCCGACATCTTTTCTATTGTAAATATGTTGAGCGACAACTTGAAGAGGTCTGGAAAAACAATAAAATAGCCAAACGTTTTACATTCAATGCTGTCATCGGTTATGGAAAGGCATTTTGTTTGAGACAAAAAATGTTGAATTTTGTCCAAAATCTTGAATACTATATAATGTTGGAAGTAATTGAACCAACATTTCATCAATTCTTGGAATACGTTCAGACAAAGGTATCGAGTGTTGACGATATGATGAAATCACACGAAGATTACATACAAAAGTGTTTGCGCGACGCTATGTTGACATCTGGAGAACTATTAAAAGCAATCGTTCAACTATTAAGACTTTGTATTGTTTTCTCCAATTTTATGAAAGTAATTACAGATATTATTAGTTTATTATTTTTTGTGAATACAATATCAATGATGTTTTAAAAAATTATTTATTTTACTCGTAGGACTCGCAAAGCCATTCAACACAATACGAGTTATTGGATTCAAGTCAAGTATTAGACAAAGAGTTTAAGCGAATCAATGAAGAAGACGAGAACGTTAGCGACACTAAATCACTTCAGAACAGCTTTGAAGATCACATCTCTTTAATGCAATCAGAATTCGATGCAGTTCTCCATCAATTACTTCAGGCAATTAAACTTAAAACTCAAGAAAGTTATACAATGATTCCAGTGTTGAATAGGTTTGTATTAGAAACTGATAAAAATCATATTATATCCAATTTATTGATTGTTTTTTAATAATTTTTTTCAGACTTGATTTCAATGGCTTTTATCAATCATTAGAAGCTCGAAACGATTTGTAAAAAGAAATCATATCATTATTTTTTTGCCAAATTTCATAAATAATACCAAAATTACAATAAAAAAATAATAATATTGTATTACTGGTAATACAGGTATATAATAGCAATAGATCTGAATGATTGTAAAATTAAAAAATATATCAGTATTTCTTGTATATAGATATTTATTATTGATAAGTATATATACAGTATATATATATATAAATATATATTATAGTAATATATATGTCTAGTCTATGGCCATATATTATTTTAATTAATTTTTTAAATAATAATTTAATTTAAATAATAATAAATTAAATATTTAAATAACTACTACACAACTAACACAAAAAAAAATAATATGAGTATAATATGTAATTTTTTCTATCAGATGAGTAACTATTTTTTTAATACTTATATCAAAACTATAATCTGATTAATTGTTTTTTTAAAACTAATCAATTGAATTAAAATGAATTTATAAATTAAATTTTATAATATTAAAAATATTAATAACGTTTAGTAAATAAGTGTTACGTTTTAAGTGAATAGTGACGTCACGTGACCGTCAATGTTAACCAATGAGAGTCGAGCGCATTGTTTGATTGGTTGACAGTTTTTGAGCGACCGTTTGATTGAATACATTGAATGAAATGTTGTTTTGTTTAAAAATATAAATAGAATTGAATTTAAATGTAAACACAAAAAGTTTATAACAAATAATTATTTATTAATTGTTTGAATCAATTGAATGATTGAATGAATTATTAGGTTTTGAATTAATTGATTGATTGATTGCAATGACAGCCAAACCATTGAAGTCAATACTATCGGAACCGACGATTGATTTGTTTGAAGACATTGATAACAACAGACCGATAATCAACAAACCAGTGACCAATCGGGCGGAACAGCTGTTTGACAATCTGTTCGGCAAATGTAACAAAAAAGTGGACACTTATGCCAACAGATATCGCAAACCGTTTACCAAAATCAATGCCAATGTGTTGGCCACTGACCGTACAATTGATGTGTACGACGACACCGACGATGAAGAAGATGGTAATGAAAATGATAAAGACTTTGAGCCATCGATAAAGACATCAAAGTCTAAGACAAAGGCCAAAGCAAAAGGTGTGAAGTTTGCCGTTGATTGCGATCAAAGGGAACGAAAGAAACCGTTGAATAATAAGAAGAATACGAAGAAAAAGAAAGACTATCCCGACTGTACTAAAGATGCTTTGCTTCGGGCTTTTGAATCGGCAGGACTTCCAGACTTTGAAGAGATTTCTAAATTTGAATTACATGTCACTAATGTCAAAGATGTCGTCAGAGCTGATCCGCCGACACCTCCAATGCAAGACATTCTTAGGCCATTCGAAGACCTAATTGATTGGCGAAAACAAGAAGATTATAACATGAATTTGATAACAACTAAACCATCTAAATCTCAAAACAATGATAAAAGGAGTTCTAGTGATTGGGAAACAGCTGACTATCAAAACGATTCAATTGAAAACGATAATGTCTTCATTGATTCAGATGCTAATAATAGTACACAAAAGTCATCGGTTATCTCAAACAAACAAACAAATAAAAGAAATCAAACGAAGAGATTAACGAATAGTCGAAATCGAAGTAAAATAAATGCATCGATAAAATCTTCTGATAAAAGACGAGAGTCGGTAATAATAACCGCTGGTTTGGGCGCCTCTCGAAAAGCCAGTACTCCAGTTAGACGTAAACATAACGTTACCATAAAAAATTTGTCACCAATTCTGTCAATTGATACACCAGATGATTCAGATTCGAAGAAAGCGAAAGTTATCGAAAATGAGACCACTTTTGTGGCACCATTTCCTCCACGACCAGCTAAGACTGTTAATAAAAAGTCATATAAAGTTCCTAAAGTATCGTCGATACCAAACACTAAACTAGAGATTGTGAAGCCATTGCTGTCAGATGTGGAATCAATCACAGGACAGAACCGTTCGAAATCGATCTCAAGAACTTTGATTGATTTGACTGAACCAACTTTTATTCGATTAGATTCTGAAGAATCGGGAACTCTGGTTAATATCACTGCTATTAACAAGAACTCTAACAGTAATGAAAATGTGTGTCCAATGATTTCATCGGTTTCAACGAAAAGTGGAACAAACTATAACTTAAGAAACACAACAACTAATGAGTTGTCCAGTATTTTTGCACCAAATGTCAAAAGTACTCCATTAGTGACATCAAAAGTAACAAATTTATCGAAAAAGTATGAATTGATTGTCGACAGATCTCTAATGGATAGGACTCTATCAAAGATGTGTCACTCTAACAGTACATCCAAACTGATTACAAAACCTAAGACGACAACTATAGTTGCAGTGTTGGACAATACAGTTGACAGTACAACCAGAGCTAAAAAGCTAAGTCAACACAACGCCAGTGTCTATCATATGTACCGAAAGAGTATCGCTTCCGTTCAGTCGTCGTACCAAAAAATGTCACAATTTTGTCGAACTATAGTTAAAACTGATTCCTCAATTTGTTCGCATACTTTGGATGACTTGAATCAAACCGTTAGAACTGATATTTCAAATGCTGAAGATCTCAAACAATTTATAAATATATCGTTGAGTCAGACAATGTTCTCGACTTCCAAACTGATAACTAATGGAAAGCAAACTGTTTTGAGTGCAAAACAAAAAGTGCTTCTTCTTTGTGAACCTAATGATGTCATTGAGTTTAATGATGTTTTTGATCGAAATATTCTCAAAAATTGTCGAAAAATAGGCGAAGGCTCTTATGGTGAAGTGTTTGCTTCTAAAGACAATGGATTAGATATTGTGATTAAAATCATACCACTTGTTAACAGTGGAAAAAACCAGAGTGAAGAAGAACTTTTTGCACAAATATTGCCTGAATTAGTCATCTCTAAAGAGTTTAATCGGTTAAAGAGTGATATATCAACAAACTGTGCGCCAAATTTTATTGATATGTTACGTGTGAACACTACTCGTGGACTTTTCCCGACAAAATTGATTAAAGAGTGGGACATATTTGACGCCGAAAAGTTCAGTGAAAATGAAGACCCGCGAACTTACGATACAAATCAATTGTATATCGTCTTGCAGTTGGCAAACGGCGGCACCGACTTAGAGGCCTATAAATTCAGCTCATCTGTCGAAGCCATCAGTCTATTCGCACAATTGTGTCTTGCATTGGCCGCAGCAGAAGTCGAGTACGAGTTCGAGCACCGGGACATGCATTGGGGTAATGTTTTGATTGCCAAAACAGATGAAACTCAACTCAAATACACCGTCAATGAGATGGACTATTGTGTCAAATCTAATGGAGTTCTTGCGTCTCTAATTGACTTTTCACTATCGCGTATGAAAAGCGATGGTTTCATAATATATGACGATTTAGCCAAATATAATGATCTGTTTGAAGGCAACGGTGACTATCAGTTTGATATTTATCGTAAAATGCGTGATAATAACCAAAATGATTGGCAAACATTTAAACCAAAATCTAATATTTTTTGGTTGCACTATATATTAGACAAAGTGATCAAATCTAAGAAGTATAGCTCCAACAGAACTAAAGTCCATAAGACAGGCATTCAGTTATTGAAAAGCATTTTCGATGCAATACTTAAATACGATTCGGCCTTTCATTTGGTCCGAAGCCATCACTTCAAGCAGTTCTGTGTCGACTCTGGTCTCATGTAATCCACTTTTTTTTGTTGAATATTTTTTTTTGTGTATATAAAATAGTCTTTAAATTCTAGTATTTAATTCACACACTATTATTGTATATATCATTAATTTCATAAAACTTTTAATCTAATTATTATCTAATTTAGTCTTTTTTTTATAAATAAAGTTTTTACTATTTATTTATTACTAATTTTTATTTATTTATATAAATATAGTCACATCTAATCTAAAATATATGGTTACTATGGTATCTATTGTTTGGTTCAAAACAATATTTAAACAATAGTTATGATAATCAGTATTATTATTAATATTTATACATAAGATTTATTAACATATCTTATAAATAAATAAATAAATTAATTAATTAATTCCTAAAACAATGTCAAACCGATTGATAACATTAATTCAATATATGTTTATAACGGTTGATATACTATGCAATGCATTCAGTGATTATTTTTCCGATCATCTCATAAGACAACTGTCCATATTTGTGATGCAAGACCTGTGTCTCGTCCTATCGCTTATTATACTATTGCTCTACTATTTCAATGTCGATGCCTTAAGAACCGGTACTCTGGCACTCATTTTTCGCAGATATTGGTCATCACTGGTATTGACCATCGTATACATTCTACTAACCATTACACTACAGTTGCTATTAGTGAAACTTAATTGGAGTCAATACAAGGGTAGAGGAGAAGGAGGTGGTGGAAGAAGTGGTCGACACTCGTGGAAGAGTCAGTCATCTATAGTCTCGCTGTTTGTCATTCAACGAGTTTTCTCAGCTTTTTATTACTTTTCATTTGCTTTTACTTTAAGAAAACTTCAGAGCAAACGACTTATTGAAAAATTGACTCCAAAATCATAGGAAAAGTATTTATAAATACTTTACAAAAAATACTATTCAGTACTTGGCTTACAATTAGCAACAGATAAAAAACAACAATTAGTTTGATTTGAAAATCTAAACTAATATAATAAAAAATATATTAATTGAAGTACGGATTCAAATTCAATGTGATGTCAATGTTATTGCAGTTCATTAATGTATTAATGCATTGTTTTTTTGTTGTTTGCATTGAAGATATTGATTGGAAATCAGATTATTTACCAACTGATCAAAACATATGTTACTTCAATACAGTCACTGCTATAGTAAAACAATAACAATTATTAATCAATATATTCGAAAAAATATCGAAATATTTGTAATAATTTATTATTTTTATTTAACTTTAAAATAATACATTAAATCATAATTTGAATCATTAAAACATTTGTTACATTAATGAATTGAAATACAGTATACAAAATATTCGAAAATATTAATGAAATTTAAAAATAATGATTTTTCAAGGATTGACGACAATTCGCGGTGCGATTTGCATTGACATGAGTTCCTGAAACAATAGTTTACAGGCATAGGGCACCCGAACCTGTGATATCTGTGTCTTATTGCGACAGTTTTTACATTCAAACGTATTGTTTCTCAAATTGGCAATACATATGAGTCCACATAAGTTACAAATATGAACGCGATAGGGATCGGATACTTCAAATAGTCGTTCCCTTAGAAACTGTGCGGCGCCGTGCGATATCTGACAGTCTCTTTCCATTTCACCGAAACGTAGTCCACCATCACGTGCTCGACCTTCCATGGGTTGTCTGACCAGTATCTGTACGGGTCCTCTCGCTCGCGAATGGATCTTGTCGTCGACCATATGTTTGAGTCTCTGGTAATAAGTGGGACCAATAAATATCTGAGCGCTTACTTTACGACCGGTGTGGGCGTTGTACATCACTTCATAGCCACGCAATTGATAATTATATTCCTAATATTACGATAATTACAAATTATATTTTGTAATTATAATTTACATATAATTTATTTAATGGTTAAATAAATAAAATTTCAATAATCGATACTTACGTGAAGCAAATCTGAGATCTTTTGCACGTTTACGGTATCATTGAAAGGAGTGGCGTCACCGATCTCTCCCTTATTTGCCGATACCTTTCCCTGAAGACATTCAATTAAATGTCCGATTGTCATACGAGATGGAATAGCGTGCGGATTGATTATAATGTCGGGTGTAATGCCTTCACATGTAAATGGCATGTCTTCTTGTCTATAAAATTAAAAGTTAGTTTAATATAAAAAACATATTTCGATGTATATTATAATACGTACCGATATGTGATACCACAAGTACCCTTCTGTCCGTGTCTTGAGGCAAATTTGTCGCCAATTTGCGGTATTCGAACCGAACGGACACGTATTTTACAGAATTTATAGCCTTCGTTATTGATGGTAATCATCACCTGATCAACAATTCCGGTCTCACTGTTCCTCAAGAAAGTACTGGCATCTCGTTTGGTATATCTCTTGACTTGACCCTCGAGTTCATCTTCATTTTCTGGCAACAAAGCCGTCTTACCAATGATAACATCATCGCCTGAAACTCGAGTTCCCGGCGCAATGATGCCGTCGTCTTCAAGTTTGTCATATATGGCATTCCTCATACTCTGACATGTGTCACGTGTGGGTCTCTCAAACTGTTCCTCATTATCACCCATTCGTTTCTGTTCGGAATCTTTATAGGATCTGTAAAATACAGATCTAAAAAATCCGCGATCAATGGCCGATGCATTCAGAATAACAGAGTCCTCCTGATTATAGCCAGTATATGACATAATAGCAACAATGGAGTTGATTCCCGCCGGAAGTTCCCTAAAGCGCAAGTATTCCATAGATCGGGTGGTGACCAAAGGTTTTTGTGGATAATAGAGCACATGAGCTAATGTGTCCATTCGTACGTGAAAATTGGTGATATAGACACCCATAGCTTGTTTACCCATAGCAGACTGGTATGTATTACGGGGCGATTGGTTGTGATCAGGGAAGGGGATGATAGATGCACAGACACCTAATATCATTGATGGATGAATTTCACAGTGTGTATATGTGGAACAATAGGCCAGTTCGCTATCCTGAAGATCGTCAGGAGTCATAGCAATCATAACAGTTTCTTCTTCAAGTGTGTCGATATATTCGACAACACCAGAGGCTACCAAATCGTGCCAACTGTAGCTGTTGTACTCCCTTTCCTTAAGCATCTCTATGTGACGCTTCTTTAACAATAGTTTTTGGTTTTCTACAATAAGAAGTGGTCGACATATTCTTCCGGCATCCGTATAGATCCTGATTTCACGATCTCTAATATCGCGAACCATTGATACCTCAGAGACAATGATATCCATCTGACGCCTCAATTTTCGCAATGTGTTCATCAAGAGATCAGGTTCACGATGTATTCCAACCCAACAGCCGTTGACAAAAATCTTGGTGGCCTCTGATATAGCCGACGGAGCAATCTCTTCGAGATTTTCCATTGACCATTCTTCTAAAAATTCAAGAATTGGTGACGGCTGGGAACCGACAGATATATATGCCATAAGTGCTAAATTTTTGACGAGTCCGACGGCATGACCTTCTGGTGTCTCTGCGGGACAAATCATACCCCACAAAGTGTTATGCAATTGTCGAGGTTTGGCCAACTTTCCGTCTCTTCCAATCGGCGAATTGACGCGTCGTAAATGTGAAAGAGTGGACGCATATGTTAGACGATTCAATACTTGCGAGACACCGGCTCTGGCCTGATGTGCCTTTTTCTGATCGCCCCAATTGCCTGTCGCTAATGAATAGCGAAGACCATCGGATATAATACGCGTTTTGATGGCTAACTCTAACTGGAAATCTTTTCCTCTGTCGATGAACTTCTGTGCATACATTTTGACTTCTTTAGTGAGATTTCTGAATAATCCTCTAAACAAAAAGGCCAACAGAGGTCCGGCCAAATCTAGTCGTTTGTTTCCGTAGTGATCGCGATCGTCGAGCTCTCGTCTACCGAGTGCTGCCAACAATAGCCTGTGAACCATATATCCTAAATAATAAGCTTTTTTCGTTTCACAGAAGTCACTGACGCCGACGTGTGGAAGCATTTCCTTTTGAAGGATTTCTCGCGCATATTTGATACGCTTTTCTTTGGTAACACCGGGTCGAGCGCCCCGAACACCAATGAAATTAAGAGCAACGTTCTGCTCTTGTACTACAAATGCTTCGTCAAGCGATGGCTTAACCATTTCCATCATCTCTGGGTCTTCGAAATCGTAAATAATATGTTCGAGAATATCTCGATCGGCCACAAAACCCAGTGCTCTGAAGACAATCATAATCGGAATCTCTTGTTTAATATAAGGAATAATAGCGATAATTCTTTGGCCAATCGCCGTCTTTTTAGATCCTTGTGTACCGCGAGACAACATATTGACCCATAGAGTACTCGTGGGTCGGGAGGAGTGCTCAATACACGACCGACACTCAGCCTTATACACAAATTTAGAGTCTTTCAAAGAGAAGACATACACAGTATTGGTGGCCATCTTTTCTTGAGCTATAAGAACTTTTTCGGAACCATTGACAATGAAATAGCCGCCCGGATCTAATGGACACTCATTCAATTCTGTCAAATCTCGATCAGTGAGACCACTTAACAGACAATAAGTTGATCGCAACATAATCGGTATTTTGCCGATAAATGTCTTTTGGTGTTGCGTTTCGATGGGATCATCGCCTTCTTTGATGATAGTTTTGGTTATATCGACATAGAGTGGCGCCGAATACGTCAGATTTCTAAGTCGGGCCTCATTTGGCATCATAGGTGTGGGGGCGCCGTCTTTCTCCCAATGGGTTGGTTTAGACAAATAGATTTGTTCAAACTTGAGGACATATCGCGGAGGATTCTCCACCTCACCCGATGCGTGCTGAGCCTCGGCCTAACCGGTGTCACCAAAACATATTAACTCTTCTAAACAGACAATGTATTACTAGTCAACTAACCTGTAATTCAATGGCCGACGAGTCTTCGACAATCCTTTGGACAGACATCTGAATGAATTCATCGAAAGAGTCGAGTTGTTGTCTGACGAGACCTTTTTCATCGAAATAAGAGCTGATGACAATCCAACATGCTTCTTGCCATACATCTGATGTTATCTCCAGTGACTCTTCTTCGGCTAACTGGTCCTCATCATCGTCTCTGCCGTACATCTCTTCAATTGGACATCAATTCAATTGACAATCAATTAATCAATAAATCGATTCATTATTAATAGGAATTGCAATCAAAAAACGTTTCGTTTGTTTGTTTGTTGAAACAAATGCCGCAAACAATGCAAACATATTATTGTGAACATCAATGACGTCTTCAAACAATTATTGAAATTTTTCATAAGTTATCAAATGGTTTATACAAATCAATTGAAACTATTATTAATTGCTATAATAATTATTATCTTATAATTTGTTTTTAATTATTATTTCATTTAAATGACTGATTTTTTTTAAAGATGAGATTTCATTATTACATATTTGTTTTCAATTATATATTAAATATAATTTACAATAGATTATGATTATACAATTATACAATTTAAATTTAATTATATATTATATTTATATAATTTATATATATATATATATATTATAATTTAATACAAATTTAAATTAGAGACTAAAATAATGAGTTTTTTATACTGTAGCAAAAATTATTTGTTAAAAAAACAAATCAAATTTTTAAAAATCAAACATAAAATTATGGCTTTAAGTCAAATATCATGCCATCATATACTTCATCTCCATATTGTGCTAATGAACTATCATTTGATTCATCAGAAGACTTGTTTTTATTATTAAGTAATACAGTTTTGAGAGCCATTGACGCCAATACCCCAAACACTAGTGCATTGCCATCGGGGGACAGTCGACAGCAACTTATTTGACTTTCTGGTGTGTAAACCATTAAACATGAGCCTAAATAATAATAAGTTTATGGAAAATAATTAAATTTATTAAACATTTTAGACCATTATATAGATATATAGATATATATATATACCTGAGTCGAGTTCCCAAATTCGTATATTAGGATCGGTACCACTCGAGTCATATGATAAAAAGTAGTTGACTTTTTCAGTAGCTTGCAGTACATCGGGTGCTGATGTATGTCCAGTTAAACTGTGTCTGTATGGAGATAAACAAAAATTTTGATGATTATAATATAATTTTTTTGTTGTTGAAAATAACAAACAATAATTTTGATGCCATCACTTACTTTTTGGTACCGGTAGTTAAGTCCCAAACTAGAACTTCTCCCGATTCGATGCCATTGAGTACACAACCAGTTTGTGTTGAAATGGCTAAACTAACTGAATTGCATTCTGGTTTCCACTTCTTAAATAATGTTCCGCTTTGAAGATCGTAAACAATTATTGAATTGGGAGAAGTCGTGTTTAACTCCTTTAAATAAATAATTCATATTAAACATCAAATATTGATATTTATTTCAAGACATATATTATCATAATTACTGACTTTACAAACGCTGACCACATAATGTCCGTCATTACTAATTGCTGCTAATTTTGTGATGAACTCGTGATGAGGTATTCTCAGATCATATAATAATTTACGATTTGTTAGATCCCATACCAATAGGGGAAAAGGTTTTTGAGTTTCATCTCCACAAACACATATCTTTCCATTGGCACTGACCAACAAACTATTAAGAAACCTATCCTCTCCTACTTTAAAAGTTGTTTCTAAATCCTAAATTATTAATTTTTTAAATTTAAAATACTAATAATATACAGTACTTCTAATATACGGTAATTTAAATTATATGTTTTTTTTAATCAAACAAACAAAAATATGTTACCCCAGTAGTGGTGTTAATCATATTAACATACATCCTGTTACGGGATAGTGCCACCACATACTTGTCTTCATGTATGCCATAAAATGGCATTTTTTGATTCATAACTCCTTTTAATTTGACTTCAAAAGTGCCTGAATTAAGATTATAAAGTTTAAGTTCGCGATCGCACAACACTATAGCCCGATATTTATCAACCATTTTGACGTCTCGCGGCTGACTAATGCCTTGAAGAGTACGAACTACTTTCTCCTCATAAATATCCCAAACAATCAACTCATTTGAATGCAATGATATTGCAATTAAATGCCTGTTATCGTCTTTAATTGAAAATAATTGAGTATAACATCTATTGGCATAACTTTCTGGCGATGTATTGCCAGACGCCGATTCTGGTCGTGAACTGGCAGCTGATAGAGTATCGGGACTTCTAGCTGGAGGTGGAGGTGACAAAGCATCGGGAAAGGCAACGTTGGATGTGTGAGTGTTGACAGCGTTTGAATCATTGATTATAGCAATCTTGATCTCTGGTTGCAAGTACTCCGTACTACTGGCCTCCTCTGCGGTCTTCTCCGGCACCGACTGTAGCTCTGATGCAGTCGACTGTTCCCTTCCATAAGGAATACTATCGGCTGAACCTTTCCTCTTGTTATCATTTTGTCTGTTCATTGCATTTCAAATATATATATATATTGCAATTATTTACATATAATCTTGGTTTAAATTAATTCTCATTATAAATATTAATAATAAAATATATTCACCCAAAAATAATATTACAAAAATATATTCATAGTTTTTATTAGTATTACTATCTTTGATGAAAATCCTAATTTATTTGCAAAAATCATTGTTTAATAAATTTTTATATAACAGATAAAGTAAAACAAAATGACAATACAATAACAAAATATCTCTAATACAGAATAACGTCTAATAAATAATGATAATAAATATTTTTATTATCGTGAATAAGATAAATTTCAGCAATGCTTTATACAACCTATATTAACAATGATGAGTTCATTATTACAATCAAACACAAGCAATAAATAAAATGTTAATGAAAATAATATTAAAATATTCACTTAATTATATACTAATATCTTTATATCGTAACTAAGATACTGTATTATTACTATACAATCAATGAATATTTACTATTATATGATATTTATTAATATCCGGTTATAAATTTCCGACTATCTATAAGTATTTTTAAAAAATAACTTAAATCTAAATTAAGTGTATATTTTTGGGGCAAATGCCAAATGATGGGATAAATAGTTTAAAACATATGGTTTGAAAAAATATGCAAAAAAAAGTTTATATATATCAGTCAGTAAATAAATTGAGGATAACTTGAATACTCTTAAATAAAATAATAATTATTAGTTTGTGTTATATGTGTATAATATATTGAAAATAAAATATCAAATGTGAAGAATAGGTAAACTTGACGTCAATAATACACTGGAGACTTATAATGAAATATTAAATGCATTTTATATATACTATATTTTACACAAACTTATTATTTATATTATATATTTAAAAAAATATAAATAAAATTCATTTCATAAATCTAATCAATATTTCTTTCAAATTAAATATGTAAAAAAAATCTTTATTTAATGTTAAAATATAATATAATATTCAATCTTATTATTTACTAAAAAAACTAAATAAATAAATATTAAATAAAAGTACATTAAAAAAATCTCTTTTAAATTCAATTTATTTAAATACTTTAAGCTTTTTTATATATGGTTTCACAATATTTTATTAAAATATTTTTATACTATTAAATGCAAACCAAAACTACTGGTAAACAAATCAACATTTGAATTATATTTCATTATAAGAAAAATAAATTATAGGTAATAAAAAAATAATTTAATTTAATTATTAAATATTAAATATTATTACTAAAATAAAAATTATTTTTTAAAATTATTAACTAAATACACTGTATTTAACTAATAATCTGATTTAAACATAATATTAGTAAATATAAAAATATTTAGTTAAAAAACTGATTAAATTAAAATCCTTATGATTTTTAGTAAAAAATTAAAATATAGCTAAAAATCCCAATTATTTAAATATTTTATGAACATATTTATTCGTATACATTATTAGTAATTTTTTGATAAAATTTTTTTAACAAAAAATATAAATTGTATGAAATGTTTAGTATGCCTACCGGTCGTGATCCCTGTCCTCGTCCTCCTTGTCCTTATCGTTCACCACTTTATCTTTTTTGCCATTTTTTCCTAATGAGGAACAGTTGGATCCCATTGTTGAGACAATTTATCAAATGATTAATAGTTTTGATGAGTTTCAGTGATTTTTATTTTAATTATTAAATGTGTTGAATATGTGTCCAAATAAGTGACAACAAGTGATAATTACATCACATTTTTTTCGATGAAAACCCAAAGCAAACATATTATCAATTGTCTAATGAAATCATGGTTTCAATGATTTTTTTATAATTTAAATAATAATAAATACATTGATTTGTTGATCACATCACATGTTTATATAAACAGTTTAGATGTCATCGACTAAAGTGAAGAGTCGGATGACTGTCATCACAAAGATATGGATTACCGCACAAGTGGTCTAATGTGGTGATGATATGGTAGATGAATGACCACTCTTTAGATACATAACTCATCAAAATAATTGTGACCACAAAATGTCAGACAATTATGATATATATTATAAACAAATGACTGTATATTTGACAGTCAAATGTATACAACAAATGATTGATTCAAATCAAAACATTTCAATTGAAACATACATTCAAAACATTGATTCATTCAAATCGATTGCTTCACTCAAATGCTTACCTGTAATGCAATCGCTGTTTGAGGCGAAACACCATTTGGTTTAAAGCATTCATTCAATGCTTAATACAATAATGTTATCAACAAAAACACAACTATTTATATGTTTCGCCAATTTATGTGTCAATCAAATCAACTAAAAAACTATTGGAAATAATCATTTGAGTCAATCGATTATATGCTCTCAAAAATGTTCATCATTTTCATCAAAACCCATCTCTAACTATACAATATTCTCACACACTCTCCCTCTCTATACATAACTATAGCTCTCTCTCTCTCTCTCTCTCTCTCTCTCTCTCTCTCTCTCTCTCTCTCTCTCTCTCTCTCTCTCTCACTCACACACACTCTCCCTCTCGTCTCATCTCAATCTCAATGCTCTAAACATTATTATTATTATTATTACAGAGAAATACTACAGTAATATACAGAGTGTCTACACATAGACTACACATACTGTATATTAATAGAGAGTCTCTATTAATATGAAAAAACATTGGACTCTAAATCACAGTCACAACACATGAATGACGTTCACTAATAGTGAATCTCATTGTGATTTACGTCAGATTTACATACAGTATATTATTCTGCAATCAAATGTAATTTCATAACTAATAAACTTTTTAATTAATTAAAAAAAACAAATCTATCATATTTTACTAATTTGTTGTAATATATTAATTATATCGATATATAAAATATTTATTTTTTAAAAATAATTAATCAATTTGTTCTATATTTTTTATATTAAAATTTTAGTCAAAAATATTTTTTTAAAGTGTCAAACTTGTAAATATTTTTTAATGTTGTGTTATTTTGACAATTGTTTTGTTTTTGTAAATTTGAAAATTTTAAACTTTGGATAACAAATGATTATTCAGTATAATTTTATGATTAAAGTAATGCTCATATTTTTAAAAAATCACTTAATTTTTGTTATTTGATAATTTAGGTATTGTTAAACTAATAAAAAAAATTAAGTAATTTTATAATTTTCAAACAAAATTCACAAAATATCGATATTAATTAAATTAGTTAAAATTTTAATATTATTTCTATTTAAACAATAATTCATTTAAATTTATTCAATTTGAAGAATTTAAAAAAAAATTAAAACTAGTACAATTTAATTAAACTTTACTAAAATTACGATATAATAAAGTACAGTTATACCTGAACAATTTACAGTATATATATGTAAAAAATTAAATAATAAAATAAATTATATAAAAATTTAGAAAATTAAACAAAAGTTAGTGACGTATTGCTATTTAACAGCTGCTTATAATAAACGTCTATAAGTAAAATAAAAACAAATATAAATAGCAAACTTGGTTATCGTTATACTATTACTACTACTACTACTACTACTACTACTACTACTACTACTACTAATTATTATTATTATTTAATTAATTAATTAAAAAATATTTCACAAAAATTATCCTTATCAATTTAAAAAATTATTTTTTAAAAAAAACTGTACAACTGTACAATTTTTTTGTTAGTCTAACAAATTAAATACTTTATAAATAGCATTGTATCTTATATTGAAAAATTGGTCCTTTTTTTATTTGTATAACTCAATGGACTTCAATAGTCTAAAAAAGTCTTACATTTGTTATATATAAATAATTTATTTATTTGTCGATCACATGATTGCTATTGGATTGCATTTTTTGTTTTGTTGTCAAATTGATTGCAATAATAATTGTTAAATAAATGTTTTTTTTGTCAATTGATTTACAATTATAATAAACAAAATATTTTTTGTTTGTTTGTTAAATAATAATATATGAATTAACATTTAATTTAATATATAATTTAATTTAAGTCAAACGTATCGTTGATTTAATATAATGGCACAAAACGGACAAATGGTCTACAAATCCATGAATTTGTAAATACTTTAGATTTTTTGACATTTGATTTGTATTTTAGTTATAATAAAATCATTGATTTACTAATTGATTGTATTTTTATTAGGTTTGTCTCACCGGAAAAGTTTTATTTAAGACCCAATGATAATGAAAACGAGTTATTGATTATTGATAGACAAACATTTCATATATCACTTGAAGGTGACTATTGATTGAATGATTGATTGTCTTATAATTTAATACAATTTAATCGGATTATGATATATCTATAGTCAATCGCAATCAGATCCCAAGTATAGCCACATCTAAGCTTATTCATGGCATCTTCGGTATCGTCAGATTGATAGCCGGTATCTTATTATATCATATATTATTTACAATTTTTTTTTATTAAAATGTACTTAAATTTTATTTAAGATATTTATTTATTACATAATTTTCAATCACTATTTTTAGGACCTCATCTCATAGTAATTACCAAAGTTTCAAAAATTGGCGAAATCTATGGCCAATCAGTGATAAAGATCGATGAAACAGAAATAATACCATTTAGTCGGACAACACTTCACTTGACTGAGGATCAGATTGTCTACAATAAGAGTTATCTAAATATGATTAAATTGGTGTTGGATTCGCCGTATTTCTATCTTTCATATTCTTATGATTTGACACATACACTACAAAGTCTTTATAACTGTGGACCAGATTTTATGTCTAAATCGCTTTTTGAAAGAGTATGACTTAATAACTATCTTTTTAAGTTAACAAATGATTGAAAAAATTTCTAATGTTATTAAATATTTTTGCTAAAAAAGGCCGACAAACGATTTGTTTGGAACCTCTCTTTATTAGCCGATTTGTATACCAAACCCGAATTGAGCGCCTATTGCATCCCAATAATGCACGGATGTATGTATTGATTCATATGATGTCAAATTGTTGTCAAACAAATCCAGTGATTTATTATAATACTTAATGTAAATTTATGTTGTTATCAACAATAATAGTTATCACTATAAACGCCGTCACAATTAACAGAAAATTGTTTATATGGACACTAATATCTCGACGGTGTATCAATCGGGCCGGTACTCGACTTTTTATGCGTGGCATCGATGCTGATGGAAATCCGGCCAACTATGTGGAAACCGAACAGATTGTAGAATATGACTCATCTCAGAGTTCTTTTGTTCAGTTGAGAGGATCGATACCACTTCACTGGACACAACTTCCTGATCTTCGTTATAAACCTCCACCACAATTGATTCAATACGCAAATCATATGCAGAGTTATACTAAACATATTGATCATCTAATTAATAATTATGGAAGAGTTTGTTTGATTAATCTGATCAATCATACGGGACAGGAACAGCCATTAGAAAAGGCATTCAAAGAGATTGTCACCCAATCTAACAATCAATTTGTACGTTTCGAGTCATTTGATTTTCATCACGAATGCCGCAAAATGCGTTGGTATCGGTTGTCAGTTTTGATGGACAGAATCGATACCGAACTTAAAGAGTTTGGTTACTTTCTCATGTCTGCCGATCGGACAGCTCTCTGTCTACAAGACGGCATCTTTAGAACCAATTGTATCGATAGCTTAGACCGAACTAATGTTGTTCAGGGATTAATTGCAAAACATTGTTTAGAGAATATATTGAAGCGCTTCCAGATTATCTCTGGTTCTGATAAATTAGATGATTACGATGTATTTAATAATCTTTATCGGAATGGTATTTATTTTTAAAATAATATTTATTAAAAATTTGATTACACATCTAATTGATTGATACGATAGGTTGGGCCGATAATGCAGACATTTGTAGCATTCAATACGCTGGAACAGGAGCTTTGAAAACTGATTATACACGCACTGGTAAAAGATTACCAATTGGTGTCGTCAAAGATGGCGTCAATTCATTGATTCGCTACTATAAGAATAACTTCACCGATGGCTTCAGACAAGATGCCATCGATTTGTTTTTAGGATATTATAAAGTGGATGAAAATGAAGGAAAAGTTGTGAAATGTCCGCTTAAAGATAGACAAGAGTGGAAGTACTTGACGGTATGGATATTTTTTTATTTGTAATTATTTATCTAAATTAATAAAAAATAAGTGTTTTATTAATACTGATAATTTCAGTTTTGCAATTTACTAATACATGATATTTTAATTTTTAATAACTTATAATCTATTGTATTAGATATTTGATAACTAATTATACATTTATCATCTGTTAGTTGAAGTGTGATCTCATATTGAAATTGTAAACATTAATTGATAAAAGTTAATTTTAAGTACTTATTTGTTGTACTTATACTAATTTAATTATCAATTTAATAGCTATTACCGTAAATGATTTAAATGCCACAAATATTTTTGAAACCACAATTATTATTATATCCGTAATTATATAATTAATGATTTTGTTTTTTTGTTGTCAAACAGTTACCAATATTTTTCTTGGCCTCCATTGCTATGTTCTTCTTTAGTCTACTCATTCCAACCGGTAAATCATTTATCAAATATTTTTTTGGCTAAATATTTTATTTTTAATAATAATAATAATAATAAAGTGTTAAAACCAAATTCAATGTTAAAAATGTTTTTGCAGAGCATTCCACGGAAACGCTATTATATTTGTTATTTTGGTTGGCAATGGTCTCCACAACACTTATCGGTATCTTTTATTACGGCTCCGAATTGGCTGACTATCCAAAGCTGAGGGATGTGAAACCCAAACGACAATCAGATTAATTTATCAAAAATGGTTTAATTAGTTTTTACTGACTTTATATTATTATTTAATGTGTTACCTTATCAAATACATTACTTATTATTATTATTTTTTAAAACATTTAGATTATTTTTTCAAGTTTGTTTGTAATGTTAAATAAATAAAATATTGTTTTAGAGAAGTTTTATTTTTAATTAATGTAATATTTCAAAAAAATAAATAATTTATGATTAATTTATTATAAAATTAAAACAACAAAAATGTTAATATAATAAAGATATATTAGTTAATATATATGATATATTGTTACAAATAATTATTTAAACAATTTATAGTAATTATAATTATTATAGTTTATTATCGAAAAGATATTTAGACTATTTTGTAATAAAAATTAATAACATTTTTATCTATTATGAAATTTTATTTTTGTCAAACAATTATCATAATAACCATAAAGAAAGGAGTTTTTCAATATATGATTACTTTATCGGATGCTTTTAAATACATGTTATGTATAATTACGGTATTATTATTATTATTATTATTATTATTAGTGCTTATTTTTCAGAAATAATTATTTGTTATTAACCTAAAAAAAATGTTTATTTTTTAAATGGTAATTACAGTGAAAGAGATCCACTCATTAGACACTTGAGTTGATCTGAAATATATATACTGTATATTAAAAAATAAAATAATAATTTCTAGTGAACCTCTTGGCAATTAAGTTTAACTACGATATAATACAAGTAGAGATTTATTGTGTGTTTTTAATAAACACAATTATCTGACAATAAAAATAAGGGGAAAAATCAAAACTACAGGTATTTTGTTGTTGTTGTGTGTGATAACAACTTTTCATTTCAAATCAAACATAACTTTTACAATGAAATGTATTGAAAATACTCAGGAGTTTTATGTGGAGTTTTAACGTAAATCCGTTTTATTAAACGGTATTATAAATATTTATTGTTTGATTTGACTTTAAAAAAAAAAATGTTTTTCTTTTCTCTTTGACAACAATTGATGGCTTAGACAACAAACTCTTGTGTTTTCTTTATAAATATACATAAATGAATGTCTAATCAAAATTCATTCAACTCATCAAACAAACAAAAAGCCGTTCAACATATCGATTGTCTCCCAAATTGATCTAATAATATGTACTGACGATTACAATATAAATTTATATACAATGTATTATATATATATTGATATAATAGCAACAGGTATTTGAAATCTCATGTATTTTTTAATTTTTTGAATATAATATGATATATGATATATGACTACAATTATATAATCATAGTTTTGAAAAGCATTAGATTTAAGGCTTTATTTTTTTTGTCAAAAATTTTGTTAGGATTCATATGAGAGATATATACCGGTATTTGTGGCGTTACTGTATGTAAGCAGTGATAATAGCCGTGCGTTTGTTTGTTTCAATGTATTTATGTATGAGTTGTGTCACAAACACAGCCCACACCTACAAAATATACACGATTTAAATATATGTAATATTAATACAGTAATAGACTGTAAGGGGTTTCATGAATGGCAAAAACATGTTGAGTATAGTAGTACTGTATGTACAGTATGTATACACTGTATATGATATAAACTGGTATTACTGTAGTATTATTATAGCAAATGTTTTTTGGTGTGAAACGCCTTTTCCTCTCATTTCTCAATCTTATGTCTCACTCAATGAAGTTTAGTGTTGTGTTTGTGTGATGTGTTTGTGTGCTCTCTATTGCCATTCAATGCATTCAATTTGCAGCACATTTTCCCGACTCTCCAATCCTATGATATTATTATTATTATTGCATTCAATAATATAAGCATTGATTGACTCATTTCATTCATTTATTCATTTATTTCAATCCATTATTATTTTTTAGTGATTTAGCGCTTACTTTGTTTTTGTTTGTTTGTTTGTTGGACACCATTTCATACAATTGTTTTACAATTAAATCAACAAACAATTAGCAACTAATCAAAAAAAGTGTCGTCAAATCAAATGTCAATTGAAAGCCACAAAACAATCGGCTGTTTGTTGTTATTGTTGTTGTGATGTGTTTGCAGTGTTTGTAGTGTTTGTAACACAAAAACAATGTTTAAATCAAACGTTTGTTTTGATTGTTCACTTCATATGACAAATGTTTAACACATATATCATATTATATTAATAAATATATGATATTTTGTTTTTAATATTTTTTATTCATAAAATATTTTGTATCCCTATTTACAAAACCAAATATTATTTAATTGTCAAAACATCTCATTAATCAAGTGTTTGATTGAATTGTGTGAAACCATTGTCTCTGTCTCTGCAATGATATGTCCGCCTAAACCTAATGTCATAACAATTGATGAGTCTATTGACGATTAAATATAATAATAATAATAATAATTGTTTATTAAATATTATTAAATGCAAAGTTATTTTTTTATAAATATATGATAATAACTAACATAATTAATGTACAAAAAATCAAATCCTAACACAAAAAGTAGTGGTTTTTATTGAAATATTAATTACAACAACAAAAAAGTGTTATTTATTTAAAAGTCATATGTATTTGCATTCCGTCCCTTTAAAATGTGGTTAAATTGTTGTTAAATTATTGTTACATTTTTAGAAATATATATATAATTATATGTGTTTTGCTGTTTTATTTTATTTTTATTTGATCTCAACATTATTTAACTGTGTTTTTTCTCTCAAATTATTTCAAAATTAAATATTTTATTTGCTCAACACTTGAAAAAGCTAATTTTTACACATAATTATATTTAACAAATAATAATATTATATCAAAGATTAAAAAAATTATGTTTAAATAATTGATTTTATCATTTAATGAATGCATTCCCTAATCACTGTATTAATCAATTGATTATATTTATTCACTCATTTACAACCAAATCTAATTGATTTGATTTTCAATGTGTTGTTAAACATTAATGAATTTTATTGATATTATTAATAATAATAAAAGTAGTTATAAATTGGTTTAATAAATGATAAGACAAACTGTGGTAACACTATATTGTGTGCGTTGATTGTCACCAATAAAGTCCGTCCCATGTATTTGAATGGCAATTGATATACAAGTATATTATTAGCACAAATGTCCCAAACATTTGAGTCCATTATTTGACGACAATTGAATTAGCCGTTAATTAAATGCCATTTATATTATATATAATTATTTTATTTAGTTTTTTTTCCAAAATCTATGCACTAGTTTTGGTGACTGAAATGATAACATATTTAATGCTAAATGTTATATAGTTTTTAGATATTAAAAAAATAATTAGTGCTATAATTGTTGCTACATTTTAGTGAAACTAATATTATTAATAAGTGATAAAAGACAATAATAATTGAAAAAAAGACACAAACAATGGCCGAACACTCGGAACTGGTATCCGAGATGCCGGTCCTTGAAAAGCTAAGTACTCAGGAGAGGCTTAAGTTGGCCCGAAAGAGACGGACACAACAATTGAAGAAATGGTCACAAAGAGAGAAGGAGTTGAACAGCAAAAGACGCAAATCTGATGCCAAACCCGGGAATAACAAGAAAACCGAATACAAAGTCCATTTTGTGTCATCTGTTATGCTCTTAGAGGCCGCGGCTCGTAATGATGTCGATGAAGGTATTATACAATTAATATATCATTTAAAAATATTTTTATTACAAATTAATATAAATTTATTATCGGTATTTGTTTTATTACTTTTATAGTAATAGTGATTCATAAATTTTATTATTAGTTTTACGATGCTTTTAATTGTTATTTTTTGTATTAAGATATTGTAATTTGATATGATATTAGTGATTTAATTTAACATTTATATGAAAATTTTAATACATTTTTTCTCTAATTTTAATTAGTGAGACGGTTATTGATGTTAGGTGTGAGCTCTGATTCTACCAATGAGGACGGATTAACTGCTTTACATCAGGTATGGCACCTATTATTACATTTTTCTTTTGAATATTTAAAGAGTTTTTTTTTTGTTAATTAAGACAACCGTTTGATTTAAACAATGATATTTAGTTTGTGTCAAAACAAATATAGTCTCATTGTTTGCCACAATCTCTCACTTGAGGCATCACTTAATCTTTAGTGCAAACATCAGTGGTTTTTAGACCTGTTTCTGATGAGTTGACTTAAAAAATGTTTTACTAAATTAATAATTTTAACGATAAATATATATACAGTAGTTTCACTGATAAACTGACAATAATTTTATTGCTTTCGGCTTATGAGACAAAGTTCGTTACATTTTATAATGAGTTATGATTTTGATGTCAAAAAATGTTTTGATTAACATATCTATTCGCTAATGATTTTGTGAATATTTTAAATTATTTAAATATAATAATAATAAATATAATATATTATTATTTTTAGATATATTTCTAAAAAATTGCATATAAAATTAATAATTAATGTATTATTATAGTTTTTAATAATTTATTATATTTAGAGAAATTTTCAAAATGTTTTTATAAGCAACTATTATGCAAACATAATTAGGTTGTATTTTTAAAGTTGTAATAATTATGTTTATAATTTAGTTTATTCATGTTTTTGTGTTAACTGTTTTACTTACTATTAACTCTTATAGCATAAATAGATATGAATTTGAAAAAAGCATCAAATTTTGTAAAAAATATTTAAACGACTGACTGAATGATCGATTTATGAAACTATCAAATCATATATATTTCATTAAAATAGTTAAAATGAATTTCTATTAGTTTAGAGACCTATTTATATAACTATGTTAACTGTTAGTATATTTGTATACTTTTTTGTTGCTTAAAGGCTATGATATATTGTGCCCCAAGAGGTCATAATATAAGAAAGACATTGCATTTTATTCAACTACTAAACGATACCTTTAAGAGTAGTTTAAGTCTAAAACATTTCTTTAAGAGTTCATTACTTCCTATTGTTAATTGAAATTCATAATTATTTGAATGTCATTAACTAAATAAATTAAATGAATTATTTAAACAAACTATTTTTATTGATCACCAATAAATTAAATTTATCTAAAATTGATTTTTTTATATTTAATTTGAAGTGTTGAGAACAAACGGTTATTGTTATTATCATTACTCTCGTTAATAATTATTATATCATATATATAATAATAATATTATTATTATTTTAGTGTATTTATTACTTTAGCATACTATTAGATTACTTATTATTATTATGTTATTTTATAATATAATATATAAATAATAATATGGTTTTTGTTTTATAATGTATTATACTGTATATACAGTATATATAACACACCACACATTTATATACTGCATATAATTTTATGCAAATCAAATTTTATATAATTATAGCAAACGAATCTCTAAATTAAGCATAAAATCAAATGCCCTGTTATTACTAGCCGTATGCAAGGGGTCTCATGTTTAGAGACACAAACACATGCATAACTAAATTGCCATAACTTTCTCATAGATTGTTAGACTATTTTTTATGTGTTGTTGTCTTTCCCAATCACCCCATGAGTCCTATGAGAAGGTGTACTTCATTGAAATTCTCTGTATAATTGTATTAAATAAAAAAGGAGGAAACAGTTTGCGCCCAACCATCACAACAACAATAACAACAGCACATCCCATGTCTTATCTTTATAACTATTACTTGAATTGTATGTAAATTACAAAAATATTTTTTTACGAAATGTTTTTGTAAAATTCAAACTATGAAACAATTCATTAGTTTAGCGAAATAAACTTTAAATAATAGTTATGATAACATGTAATTTAAATGATAAAATTTAAATTAAATTAGACTTAAAAAGTAATCTTGTTATCTGAAAATTTTTAAGTTTATATTTGAAGCGTAAATTTATATATATTTAAAAATAAATTGAAATATTTATTATGTTCATCAATGTTCAGTCATATGAATTCAGGATTATAAATAAATAAATAGTGAATTAAATTAAATTGATTAGAGTTTAGTTAAAGTTATGTTCAATTTTTTTGTCATTACTTTATTATATTGATTTAATTTTGTTTTAGTTTTTTCTTTAAATTAAATACTGATATCAGGATATTATATAAATTTTTTATTAAAAAATTGTTTTTAACTACAATATTCAATACTTATAGGAATAGAGAGAAAGAGAGAGATTTAAAAAGATAATTTTTTTTAATTAGTAAAATAATTTATTGTAAATGATTTATGTAGCATCTATTAGAAGATATATATTGTCAATATTTTTGAAAGTTATTTTTATATTTAAATCTTCGCAAAATTGTCAAAAATTTTAAATGCATAATAATTGTATTTTTAGTACTGTATCTATCATTCATACGGCACACATATAAATAAACTCTAGTGTTGGTGAATACTATTAGTAATTTTTAAAATTAGTTTTTGAAAAATATTTGTGAAATAAACACTACATTTATCTTTTAAAATTATATTTAATTTACTCAATTTTATGTTTAAATTATATCTATAGTTATAATAAGTTTTATATAATACTAAACTAAGGCATTTAAATAACATAAATATGAAATAATTTTTTTATATCATAAAAGTTGTCAAAAACAAAAATAAAATTTTAACATAATCAAGATTTGAATTGATTAGTTTATAATTTTGGGACAACAATAGCTCTAAATTATAAATATTATTATTATTATTATAAATTTAGATTTCCGGCCCAATGTTTTCTTTACTAATTAAGTGTTACTATTTATGTAACATGTAATTGATGTTTATTTAAATTTTTATTTTTATTAAAAATCATCTGATTTTAAAAACTAGATCTCATATAACTTGATGATAGAGTGGTTCTCCGGTTACCTTTTTTTTTATTAATTTTTGTTTGAATGTTTACATCAAATATTTGAATAACAACTTTAATAATAGTATAAATTCAAATACAGGTAAACATAGGAAATTAATTTTTTTAATTAAATTTATATAAAATATAAATAAGATCTTGTAAATCAAAAGTATTAAAAGAAATATTAATCAACTTAATTATTCAATAATAAAACATTAGTTTTAGTATCTATTTTAAAGTTTTAAAATTATCAATTTGGAAAATGTTTAATTTGATAATATTGATAAATGGTTTTTTATCAAGTTTATGACCAAACAGGTATTAGTAATATATAAAAAGTGTAAACTGTTTATATGTTTTTCTAAAATAAATTATAATTTGATAATCATTTATTTTTTAAAAAAATTTGCAGTGTATATTGAATGATAAATTAAAACTAACATTGAATTTATCTGAAAAATAATCAATTTAAATTTTTCATATATTTGTCGACATAATATATATTCAAAAATAAAGTACAAAATTTTCAAAGTTGGCCTTCAATTGGATTTACAGCAAATTTATCATCGGTTGCTTTGCTTCTCATAAATTGAATAAATCATTTCAAATACAGTAGTAAACCTTATTAACCGAAAATATAACTGAAAAATTAGCGAAATTATAGTCAAAATATAAGATATAATTGTTAGTAATTTATTATTTTTAGTAGACCTGTAGACCAAACAATTATAAATTATTAGTGAAGATAATTGTCATTGATTTTAATCTTAGAGGTGAGTCTATAGACTTAATTAATCAAATGTTATGGCAAAATGCTTGACTCTTCATATAATAAATTTGATTTTAAACGACCAAATGCTTTGATGACTTCAAATGTTAATAATTTGCGTCAAAAAAGTAATCACTTCACTTGATTATGATTTCAAATTAATAAAAAACAGTAAAACTAGTCTTATATATATTATAACTAATAATTTACAGTATAAGTAAATTAAATTATAAAATACTAAATTATATTATATATTATAATTATGTTGTATATGTTATGCAATTTAAATGAATTTTATAGTTACATATGTAATTGTATTTATTTATATAAATGGTATTATAAAGTTAATTATAATATAAACATCACAATAGTTTGACACATTTTAATACTTTCACTATACATGTATAGTCTTATAAATTTAATGAATTTACTAATGATATAACAAATGCAATATTTATTATCACTTTTAGGATTTATTTTAAGCTCTAATTTATTGTGGTTTTTATATACAAACTGATACTTTATTTGACGTTTTTAAGCTCTAACTCTTATAATTATTTGTGTATAAAAAGTATTATAAACTCGAAGCCTATTTTAATTACAAGTTTTATTTGGCCATAAAATAAACATTTATTAGATTAAGATCTATAAATAGACTTTTCAAAAGCATATACACCGGGAGTGATAAATGAGAAATTTTAATGCCAAACAACTATTGATTTAAAGATTAAATTGTTAATCACTATTAATAATCAATAAATAAATTTTACTTTCTTTCACTTTTATTAGTGCTGTATTGATGATAGCGAGGATATGATGAAACTATTACTAGATTTTGGCGCAAATGTCAACGCAAAAGATAGTGAACAGTGGACACCATTGCACGCGGCGGCCACTTGTGGTCACTTACATCTCGTTAGATACCTGATCAGCAAGTAATACATTGTTAATACAAATTAGTTGACAATATTTTTAAACTGTTTTTTCTAAATACCTATTCAAAGGGGTGCCGATCTCCTAGCAGTTAATGCCGACGGAAATATGCCTTACGATATCTGTGAGGATGAGCTGACACTTGACTTTATTGAGTCAGAAATGGCTAAAAGAGGTATCACTCAAGATATGATAGACCAAACACGTGCTACCAATGAACGAAAAATGTTAGAAGATCTCAGAAAGTTGGCCGCTTCAGGTCATGACCTCGAATATAGGGATAGTCAGGGCGCCACTCCGGTAGGCGTTACTATTAACTATATATTGTTGCCGATTATATAAATATATTTAATAAATTGATTTGTTTTTTCACCAATAGTTGCACATCGCCGCTGCCAATGGATATATAACTGTTGTTGAGTTTTTATTAGACAATCACGTGTCAACTGATGAATGTGATAACGATCAGTGGCAGGCCATACATGCGGCAGCCTGTTGGGGACACGTATGTCATTATATATATATATATATATATATGACTTTTTCAATGGTTAACTGTCTTTTTATTTCATTTAAATAGCTCGACGTCTTAGAGCTTTTAGTACAAAATGGCTCCGATGTCAACGCCAAGACTAAAAATGGAGAGACACCTTATGATATCTGTGAAGATCCCGAACTTAAAGAACGCATAATACAATTGAAGAATGAATTGGAGACTAAAAAGGCTACGCATCCAAATCGACTGAAGAGGTCGCTCAGTCAGAACACTAGAAGTCATTCAGTCCGCAGGACTAGTATTAGAGAAAAGTCGCAAATTGCCAAAAGAGAGGCTCGAGAAGAGGCTCGTATTCGTCACCAAAAAGAGAGTGAAGTCGACGACGACGACACGCAACAGACATCCGATGCCAAAGATGGTGACACCAGTGACTCATCACCGGCGCCGTCAATTGAACACACTTTGCCAATACATACCAATGGATACGATCCGAACAATGTTATCGATTTGAATAACATTGAGCTTAGAATCGATTCTCACAAGAAGTCTATTGATTCCGATTCAGACGCTTCTTCACAAAACAACATACAGTCGACTCAGTTTGTAAATAATGTCAACAATAAGGAGGCGATTGTTATTAAGAATACGGGTTATACGGATCAGGACAACAAAACAGAGTTAAACATTTTGACCAACTCTACAGAAAGCCAGTCATCACAGTTGGAATCGACCCGAGGGTCTCTATCTGGAGAGTCACTTAAAGTTGAGATTCACGTAACAGTCAACACGTCCAACAACAGCAACAACAACAACATAACGTCATACAATTCGGGCACTTTAGCCGATCTTAAAGAGAAGCGCCGGGAAAAACACCGCAACAGTCTATCTCAGTCTTCATCGTCTGATTCGACGGTCAACCGCATGATTGAACCAAATCGTAGTAATTCAGTGACAACTGTTCCACAAATTAATAATTCATTCAACAATGGCTCGCAATTGAATCATAAATTTGGTTACGAGAGCCCACCATCACCAACGACTAACATAAGGAAATTTAAGGGAAATGCCAGCGATATTGTCGGCGAAACACAAAAGAAAGGATGTTTCGGATGTACTATCGTTTGATGTCATTTTGAAGACACCTTTCACTTCCAACACTACTAAGCATTACATTATATTTCCTCATTTTGTTGGATCACTTCATGTTTATAAAATTTACTAACATTCCTAATGGACTATTACTAAAGATATTTTTTATTCAGTATACCACTTGTGATAGTTATTATTATTATACAGTAATATAAAAAATGTGTAAATATTTAGTTATTATTATTATTATTATTATTACTAATGTTATTATGATGAAACTATAAGTTTTATGATATTTAGGAAATTATATCTAAAAAATTACTATCTAGTAAAACAAAATGTTAATTTTTAATTAAATACTGTAAATTAAATGCACTAGTTTATATAACAATTATATATACAGTATATATATATATGTTTTATGCAAATTTCTAATGGAAAAGTCCTAATATATAAATTAACTAATTCTAAAAATTTATTAATTTTATATAATGATATATTTTGTTAATTTGTAATTTAATTAATAGGACTTTTGCCTCATTAATATAATAATATGTAATTTAATTTTCCAAAAAGCACAGTGTTATTTATGTATAAATAAATAAAAACAATGGTTTACTTATTTAATTAAATAATTAGTAAAATAAAATTTGGTATTATTTATCTGAAATAATTTAATTGACTTCAGATTTTCCTAAATAGAAAAATCGTTTCAATTTTTCTTTGTGTGTTATATTTCAAAACTAATTGCATAAAAGTTTGTTTGTATTAGTTGAATGTGAAGATCCATTAATAATAATTATAATTTTAATTTATTTTGTATTTTTGTGTAATCAGCAACTTAGCTAATACAATTTGAATTATTTATTTATTTTTTTAAGTAATTTATTTATTACAGATTTTTTTTTATAAATCAATAAAATCTATTATACATTTTGTGATAAGTATTGATAATATTATTTAACAACATTTATTTTTAATTCCTTTATTTAATTTCGACTATTTTCACACAAATTATTTTTTTTAATAATATTTAAATATAATTTAAAATTATTATTTATTGTGTGTGTGTGTTAATAGACGAATAACATACAACTCTTCAATAATCTATACAATTAGTTGTTAAAATAATTGTATGCATAGTAATTAATACAGTAATTAATAATTTTTTTTAAACATGTATTACAGTCATGATTACAGGGTTAAGCAGATTTGTCAATAAATTATAAATTTATTTTACAATTAATATATTATTTACACAATAATTAAAAACAATGATATTATTTATTTGATTACAAATATATCGTTGTTTTCTGTCTTTTTTTTTTGTAGATCAGACATCATCGCTGGGCTCTTCGTCTTTCATATTGAAGAAGAATCGTTCAAAAGGCGTCACTTTTCTGGGAATGATTTTATGAAACTTTCTGAGTTCTTCTGCCGGAAACCAAGACGCCTCCTCATCGGGCAATACATGCACTCCAAGTACACGAAGTATTGCGATTCCCGGTATCCATAATACCGACATCAGTATCAATACAAATATGAGTACTGTAGCCCACGGCGGCCACTCCTTATGCTCTGTCATTGCCTTTATTGGTGAATAAAATATATATATATTATTGTTAATTTAGGAAATCATAATGTATTAAACATTTTGTCAGAAATTTTATTGAGAGTATTTCAATTAGTTTTCCCCATAATTACCGGTAAATATTATTAAATAACTATATCTTAATAGTAATATTTATAGTTTTCAAAAACGAAATGCATTAATGATTTAATATAATTTATTGAATATAATATTAACGTTTTATGGACTGTTTTTTATTATTATTAAAAGGTTTTTTGAGTTTTAGTATACTTTTTAAAATTTATCAAAATTTTATATCATATACAATATCAATTTATATATTATATCATATAGTATTATCTTTTATATATATTATGATATACTAAAAATATGAATTATAGATGAGTAATAAACAGTATATTTTTGAGATCAATGTTATGATTTTAGACACTATTTTCTTTCACTTATAGACTTATAGAATTAATATCAACTTTTTTTTTAACAATTGATTAAATTTCTGAAAATAAATTCAATATAAATGTGTCAAATACAGCATATATTTTTGGATACACATTTAAAACATAAATTAGCATAAAATTTAAATTACTAAATAATCCAGGTCAGTTATATCATATATATACATATTATACATTATTTTGGTCAATAAGTAAAGTAAAATATATTACTATAATATATGCTGCTATATATAATAAACATTTAAATAAACATGACTTTACTATTTATTTTGCATTTTAATATACATATTTATATATATATATATATATATATATATATATATATATATATAGAAAGTAAGTTTTAATAAAAAATAAATTACTAGATATTTTAGTAAAACATTTAGTCTTAGTATATGTTATATGTAAAAAATAAAAATTATACACTTTATAATTGATGTATAAATTATTATTATTAAAATTTTATTTATTTATTAACATACAATTTCTCTAAACTCTTCCTTATTTTTGTATTTTTAATATTTTATATATAATTCCATTAAAATAGACGTATTTTCAGTGATATAACTAATCAAAATTATAATTTTATATTTTTATATTACATTAAAAAAGTTTAGTATTACAAAACATGCAGTTATGGCAACAAAAATATTATTGAGAAAACTCTAAGTATTGAGAATTTATTAAAACAAACATTTTATGATATAATTTAACAAATCAATTGAGGCATTAATTTTTTTGGTGAAATCTAATCACTAACAATATTTGTTAGTCGACTCATATATCAATCAATAAATTAACAAAAATATTTCATATTATAATAATAAATGTTTGATAATTTAAGAATCTTTATCTAAGAGTTTTTATCTGAGAATCGATATCACAAATATTAGTATATTAATCAATAATAACAATTAATATATATTTTAGTTTTTTATTCAATATTATTAAAATAAAGTTATATATATATATATAATGTATAAAATATATTGTGAAATATTTTGTATAATTTAGATTGGATTGTGATTTGGATAATTCTGATCTCAAAATTAATTATTATTCAGTTTTAAATTATAACATAAACTTATAGCAATCTATTCTATACTATAAAGTATCTATATATTGTATAAATATATTTTTGATCAATTATTTATAAAATATGATATCAAATATTAAAAATTATATTTAAAAAATCATTTACCGTAAGTGGATTCCAGGCATCATAACCACTACCTTTCGATAGCTTTATGAAACTGGCGATCAATATTGTGGCCATTACTAGTGGCGATAAATATCGCCAACTTTAAGAAAACAGATAACAATTAAAAAATGAAATTAATTTTAATTATATACTACATATGCACAAAACAATTTAGTTTTAATAATATATTATTTATAATAAAACAATACGACTGCAAATTTACAACAACTAATTTATATCCTGCACATATGGTATAAAATTTTTTGGACATAATTTTTAAATACATCGTAAATTTAAAATAAATTTGACAAAAATGATGACAAGCAATAAGCAAAACTATACTTAAATAATAAATAAAAATTATAATAAATAAGTGAATACTTACCAAAATAAGTACCAATGACTGACTCGACGGCCGGTCATTAACTCAATTTCATCACTAAATCTTTATAATAAAAAATTGAAAGAGAAAATCATTTTAAATGGCAAACAATATTAATAAAAATAGTTTTATTATATCCCAAAAACAACAAAACAATGGTTTTTGTTTATACTTTTTAAGTCCATAAACATAGGAGACGGCAATACATTCGCAGAAAGCGACGATAAGTAACGGGAAATTGCCGGCAAAGTCATCGAAAAGTGTGAAAATATAATTTCCAGAGCCGTTACAAAAAATAAGTGAAATAAAAAATGATATCTAAAATAGTAGTTTAATAGAGAGAGAGAGAGAAAAAAAACAATAGCACTTGAAGTCAATCAACTCAAAGATTGAAACCATTTATATATATATTTATATATACCAAACATATGGCACCTATTATTGAAAAAAGAAGAATAAAATAGAAATATTTATATATAAGTCAAAGATTTAAACAAATATTTGATGAAATAATAATAATAATAATAATATTTCACACACTTATAAAGTTTATATATTATATAACAATATATTATTAAAATAAAAGTGTGCGTCAAATGACACAAACAAACAGATGACAGACCTGTGAGGATCTCCTTTCGCAGGTTTGGGAAGAGTTTGAGATCGACTATGGATGTGACCGCTCCCTCCAATGTACCGAATTGGGAGTCAATTCCTATCAATCATTTTCAAAAACAAGCCATTCATTTATCACTTTTAAAATACTATTAGTTGTTAGGATTTTTTGACAACAAAACAGAAAAATCATTAAACACTAGTTTTTTTTATAGAAGAAACTAATAGCGAAAATCTCGTTTCACTAAACATTAAATTTAATAAAATCACAAAATAAATATATCGTATATACTGTATATATAGTGTATATAAAACTTTTAAAAAAATTAAAATGTTTGCTTCAATTAAAAAATGTTTATATTAAAAATCTATTTAAGACTGTATATAAATTTTCTAACTCTATTAGTAATTTTTTTTATTAAAAAAAACTTATAAATTAAAATATCCCTTTCGGTGTAATCTTAATATTTGTTGAAAAGCACTAAACCATTGGTATTTTATATAAAAAGGTTTTGTATAAATTGATAAAAAAGTTTTTTTTCTTCAAATTTCTCACCTAATGTGAAAAGCATTGAAAAGAAGAGAAGCGACCAAAAGGCAGAAATACCAGGAAATTGATTGATAGCGTCAGTGAATACTATAAACGCCAGACCTGTGCCCGAGGCTCCCTATATGTTGATAACACGGTTAGTCTATACAAACTTATTGATATAAATGATAAAATATCAGTTTTATTTGATAGATATATTGCATGCAATTGTATTACATAAATAAATTATGAATTTGAAAATATAATTAATTAATTAGCACATTATATACTACATTATTACATTAATGTTGCAATATTACACTTATATAATATAAATATTAATGATGAATGAAAATTAATACTAAATATCTGCCAGAATTATATATTGCCAAATATATTGATTGAGTGTTTAAGTAATCTGAGAAAATGATATTATAATAATACTGTAGTATAGATACATACATTCACACACTAACACACACACACACACACATAGTCTAAGTTATATTAAGAAACTATATATAATATATATATATATGTTAGACATGCCTTATCCAATTCCTTTTGTAAATCGCATTCAGGAATAATGGGTTGAAGTGTTGTCACATTATATAATGAATTCACAGATAAATCATTTGCCATTATTAGTCTATCTCTTTCTTCTAAACATTGTTTGTGAATATGATTAGCTTTGAATCCTGTATTAAAACAAACTTAAAAAGTTAATATTTTATCACTAAATTGTTTAAGACATTTATAGTAGTGAAATGGGAGAACCTACCCATCACTGAGAAGACAACGATTCCGGCGAACATAGAGGTACCACAATTAGTAAGCGCCACAAATATGGCGTCACGATAGCAGTTGTTGTGAACCGGATTATAGGAGGCAAACGCTATTAGACCGCCGAAGCCCAGTCCCAGCGAGAAAAAGATTTGAGTTCCCGCTTCCAACCAGACAACCGGATCAGATAGCTTTGACCACTATTTGCAACAACAAAAAAAACAAAATAAAAATAGTATTACGTAATAACACAGTATACTGTTATAATTAAAAATAAGTTTTTTTATTTATAGACATTAAGCTTACGTCAGGAGTAAATAGATGTTTAATACCGTCTCCCATACCATCGAGAGTAATGCCGCGGAAGAAAAAGATAATGAGAACCAAATAAGGAAAGGTGGCAGTGATGTACACGACCTGTTCATCCATTACAACAATATTAGACAAACCCTTCAACACTATAACATTATTATCGCCATTAATGGCTTAAATCACTTATAAAAATGTAATTATTTGTATTTAAGTAAAGTATGTTTTTATTATCAATTTATGTTTTATATTTTTTTTTTAATTTGTTCTTACTTTCAGAAATATATAAAAATAATTATTAAAGATATATAAATTGTGGGCAAAACATAACAAAGTATACTGAAAATAGTTTTTATATAAAATTTTGACTAAAATCGCATTTATTATCTAAATATTCTCCTATTATTTTTCCCTATTTTTATTGCATTCAATATTAATATTAATAATAATAAATAAGATATAATAACAAATTATTGTTGCTTTTATTTCTGGTTCACCGCATGTTTGGCAAATAAAATTATAATTTATGTCACTTTTAGTAAATAGCCTATTGATTTGTATTTAGTTTTTATAATCAATGATCTGATATCAAATTCATGGCATGCAATGCCATTGCAGTGGTTAAGGCATAAAAGCGCCCATTTGTCGGCCCATATATATTGTCATAAAATACAAAAATGTGAGGTAAACGATAACTGTTATATGAAAAATGTTTGAACGGATCAATATTTAATGATAACATAAGCACAGACAGTATTATGGCTTGAGATAAATGTTGATATCATCGATAAATAGTTACATCAAAAGCGATAAATTTTTTTCTTAAAATGTTTGAAATATTATAGATATTCTGTATTTCGGTTTTTATTATGCTTTATATGAATTGATTTTATTAAAAGCAAAGTTTGATTTTTTAAAAGCTCAACAATTTTATAATAGTTGTGTATATTTAACAAAATTATAACAAATATTGATAGAAATGCTTGTCATGAAAAAATAGTATTCATATTAAGTAAATAAATAGATATTTTACTATAAATAAAATAGTCATTAAATTAGGAATTTATAAGAATTGTAAGGAATATATGTATATATATATTAAAAGTAGATCTCATTATTTTAAAGCATAAACATAATGACTACACACATAGTGTTTTAAATTGTTTTTTGATTTTGTTTTTATTGTCTGTAAATAAACTATAAAATAAAGTTTTATGTAATATATATATATAAATATAATTAATATTTATTAGAGCAGATTGGTTTGGCATACTTTTCCAGATGAGGCGATCCCTTTAATCATACAACAGTAACATAAGCACCAGGAGATCATTAGGCAGATAGCGATACTTATGTTGAAACTTTCCGGTTCGTTAATGTCCGATGAGATGTCCAAAGTTGTCCGGTACCAGAAATATTGAGTCGGACTGCTTTTCTAATGGGTTTTCATAAAACAAAAAAACAAAAACAATATATAAATATTAATTAAATAATCATTTGTTTTTTGTTTACTGATATTTGCTAATCAAACTCTTAAAGTAAGTATAACTAAATGACTAAAACACAAAAACAATGATATTTTGTATTAGTTTGTAGACATAACAATTGAATTTAGCAAATGTCAATTGGATCGTTAAACTTGTAATATATTAAACTAAATTTTTTTTCAGTGGTCTAAATAATATTTAAAATATTATTATTATTACTTCAATACTATAACAATGTTGATGAAGTGATATTCAGAATATTCATTGTATACAAGTAAACCTTATATTATCTAAAGTATATAACTTTATATAATTTGTTATATAAATTGCATTTAGATTTAACAAAAAAATAGTATTGTAATCATAATTGAGATTAAAACTTGACATAAAAATAATTACTATATTTTTATAATACAATTCTTTTATTTTGCTTTAATTTACTATTATGTTAACTAATTTTAATTTGTAATTAATCTTTAGAAAGTAATTATATATTATTTCATATTTTTTTTTGTGAAAATCAAATTAATGCATTATTTGGTATTAACTAACTCATAGTGTTTGTGATTAATTATTTTTGTCTTGTTTTTTATATATTAATGTAGTCTTAAAAAATAAAATATTTGTTGTAATATTTACACAAAAATTAAATTAATGTAATAATTTTATATGAATCAAACATTTTCATAAGTAATTTAGTTATATTTTTGGTTATATTTTGCAATCGATTAACATTTACTATAACATACATTATAAGAATAAAACCATTTTTATAACATTTATCAAACTTTGGTTAAGTCTCACCCAATGTCAGACCGTATATATTATATAAGATATATATAAAAGTAATATTTAATCTGATTTTTAGACCTTAAAACAATATTTCAAACACAAAATACATAAAATACTAAAAAACAATGTTTTCAATATTTTATTTTTTGACATATATGTGATAATACTTGTATTTTAAAAAATCAAATTATAGTATTATCTTTGAATGTAAACTAACATTGTTTGTCATATTTATCTTTTTTGTTTCTATATATAATTATTGTGTATCACTTTGAGTTGACTTTATTTTAGACTTTATTTTAGAGATTCAGTGAAATCAATAATCCGCATAATTATGACATCTTTAATAAAAAAAATATAAATGATTTACAATTAAGTTTGTATTCAAATTTTAAAAATTTATTTTTCTATATTAAAAATTGTCTGAAAACTGCTAATCATTTAATACAAAAAAGTATTTTATTTAGAATTGCACTAAACTATTAAATAATTTTTAAAAAACTTAAATCTTGAGATAAAAATTATAATTTATAATTTATTTAATAAATATTTTTAAAAAATACAAACTTTATGTGTTTATCACTAATTATATTAAGTAGTTTTATTCAATTTGTAAGATAATTCAATATATCATAGTTGTCGACCACTTACAGTTAGAGATAGGCAAATAGAAATTTCTAATAAATTTCTCTAAGAAAATTTCTAGAAAGTTTCTTAGAAACAAATTTCTATAGAAATTTTACTTTATCATTATATACTATGGGATCCTCATATCTATAGCTATTGTAATACTGTACTAATGAAACATAATATATACCACACACTAGTACTGTATATTAATGGGATTCTTATTTATAAAATTATTTACTTTTTTTGTAAAATTATATTTATAATTGAATTTATTTTAATGTAATTAAGTGAATTAGTTTTTTACTTTGAATATTAATTAAAATAATAATAATAATAATTTGTTAATATTTATAGTTATAATGAAGTGTTTTAAAATAACAAATATCGAGACAATGAAATTAATAATATTGTGATCCTATAGACACAAATTTCTCTAATATTTTAGAAATTTCTCTTTTATTTTGTCAACTCTACTTATAGTATATACTGTACTATACTCTATAGATTACAGTACAATATAGATAAAGGCGTGTAAAAGGGATAAAAGCTTTTCACTTAATAATAAAAAGCACTATTATTTGCACTCATACTATAGTTTCTTGTGATTTGTTAACTATATTAGTTAACTATAACTTATATATAAATTGTAAATTATATATAAATAAAACTAGAATATTCATATTAACAAAAAACTTGACTAATTGAATTGAATTTGAATTAATGATTTTTAATATATACCTATATATTATATATACCATTACTATTGAGCTTAATTTAACTATGATATTAAAGTATAGTATGTTTTCTCTAGAGTATAATACTGTATACAGTATACTAAAGTAAATGTAATATAAATAAAATGGATTTTAAACGAAAAGTTTTTTAGATGACAACATTTTTATTATTTCAAAAAAAATTTGCTTCAAGACTTAAAATAGAATAAACTATATATTCATAAAATTTATTTTTAATTTGACTTTTTTTTAAAAAGGAATGTAAATATAGTGTCACTAATATTATATAGTATTTATTTAACTTAAATTTGTCACAAATTGTATAATGAAACAGATGACGGATTTAACAATTAACTTCATTTGAATGAATACTACTGTATAAACATATACAACAAAAGATATTAGTTATGAATAGTTATTTATCTTTAATATTATAATTCAAGTATTAAAACATTTGCATTAAAATTAATTTTATAATTTTAATTAGTTTTAATTTGATTAATATTTAATTCTACAGTAATTGAGAAAAAGATATATTAGCACAAAAAAATAGAAAATTCTGAGAAACTCTGAGAAATTTTCTAAAATTAAATTGTTATTTAATAGTATTTCACTTAATTTTAGATTAGTTAGATTAGATATATCCCTTATGTATAATTTGTCAAATTTTAGTTTTTGTCAAATAATCTTATTTTTGTTGTGTGTAATAGAAAATCTTTTATTGTATCAAAAGTTGACGAAATCAATAAATGCCACATTTTTGTCAAAACAACTATATATATATATATAATATGTTTCGTTTTTTCAACATTTAATAAATAATTATTTGTATCAATTGGAGTTGTAAGTCAAATGATAACTAATAAAATTTTTTAGAAACTTAATTTAAAAATTTACTTATTGTAAGCTTATTAGAATTTTCAATATATATATATATTCTTTTATATATAAATTATTTATGTAAATTATTAGTTGATATTATTAACAAAACAATTTATATTAATAATAAACAAAATTAGTGTTTTAAAAATACATGAAATTGTTCAATTAATGATCAGAGATCTGCTATTTTGTGATAATAAAGATAAATTTTATGTTAGATTTGCACTATAATACTGTATATTAATATACAATAATAATTAATTGAGATTAATTTACCAATAAATAAAATAATAATAGCTATAATCTTTATACAGTAGTATCGGATATTTATAAGTTATTTAAATTATTAATAATAAAAATTATTGTATTAACATCTTAAGTATTTTAAAAATAAGTTTATTAAATACAATTTAAAGCGTCTTTTATTAAAATTTAATATTATGTTTAGAGAAATGAATTATATGAATAAATAAATATGAATAAAATAAATTTAACAATTTAATTCATTGATAATTTCTTTAAAAAACATTGAAAAAAATGTTTTATAATTTTTAAATTTATAATATTTGTTTTGTTTTTATTATATATTAATTCTCCATATTATATTCATTATATGAACTAAAAATAATTTTTAAAAATATAATGTATCACTTATTTAATTAAATACTTATTATTTAATTATATTTACAAAATCTAATATATTTTTAATATATTTAAATATTTTTTTTTATTAATATGAAAATAAATATTTAATTTAAGTATTAAATAATTAAATAGTATTAATGTTTAGAATTAAGTAATATTATAATTAATATTAATGTTAATACTCCACTATTTATATGATAATTTACATTAGCATATGTACTGTATTTAAATAAAAATATATCATAATTTTGAAATGTCAACAAAACTATTAAGTCATATAAAATTATACACTAAATCATAATTAAATGTGATCTAATAAATTAATTTAATAATCAATAAATAATGATTATTATTATTATATAATTTTAAAGGTTAAATGTTGAATTTTATAAAAATTTACATTAATTTGTATAATGGTTTATACATGTTTATACCGTTTATAATTTTTATGATCAAATTATAGGTAAAACAATGATATAATACTATACATTAGCGCAAACACACGTACAGTATATTAAATGACTATAAAATAAAAGGATAACTAACTTCACATTCTGGTTGCTTTACAAATGAGTCGTTGTTTAATTTGAGTGGTGGACAGTCAGTCCACGGTAACGGCATTTTGAAGCTGTGGTAAAAATAAAATATACACCAAGCGATGATTGTGTTGTAATATAGGGCCACATTGAATGAGACGACAGCACTGGCCAGACCTATGCCGCCCGCATAGACTGATATCAAATTCCAGGCACCGATAGCACCCTTACGTAATCTCTGGCCAATGGCTAACTCCAAGTAAAATACGGGAATTCCTTCTACGGCTAGCATTATAAAGTATGGTATGAGGAATGCACCTAATAATTGATTAGAAAATTTTTATCTTTATATCATTTACTGTATTATTAGCCATAATATTGTCGTAAAAATTAATTGATAAACAGTTCAGACAAATACCTCCGCCATTCTTTTGGGCCAAATATGGGAATCGCCAGACCTGTAGTCACAATATTTATCAAATATTATGTTATTATTATTATTATATCTAAAAACTTTTAGTATAAATTTATAACTAGTATACAATATATTATAAAATTGTGTCAAAAAAAATACTAAATATTTTTCTCACACATAAACCTATTTATGCAAATATAATGTAATTTACTGTATTTTTTCTCTAAGATAATATACAGTATATATATATATATATATTATAAATATAATGCAACTTTACTTTTATATAAAAAATATATATATCACTCAATTTATGATATGAGATGAGCTCTGAATAATTAATCTCAAGATCTTTCTCGCTATCGATCGATAACTGATATTTGATATCTGTTTTTTAAGTCAACTGTTTCAACAATTTCATACATTGTTGCAGACAGATAAACACAAACACACACACATACACACATACACATACACACATACACACATACACACATACACACATACACACATACACACATACACACATACACACATACACACATACACACATACACACATACACACATACACACATACACACATACACACATACACACATACACACATACACACATACACACATACACACATACACACATACACACATACACACATACACACATACACACATACACACATACACACATACACACACATACACAAACACACATAGACACACACACACACACACACACACACACACACACACACACACACACACATACATACATACACACACATACACACACACACTTATATTGATAATAATAATGCGATTATATCATTAATGCACTACAGGATTGGTGACACAATTGTCTTAACAGTGAATTCCTTTAGTTTCTATGATATCTATCCTTTTATATGAGTTATAACTTCTAATAAATATAATTTCTTTAAGATTATTAACTCATTGAAGTGAAACTAAGATGAAAACACTTTTATTGAATTGTCTAATCTGATAGTCATTTACACCATAAATAAAATGAATGCCATTGTTATCTCTAACTAATAGATTCTAACATTATTATTATTATCAACTTTCTCTCTATTTATTTAATTACATAATATATTAATGTTTTATAACAATAAATTATATAATTCTTTATCATGTATTGTTAAAAACATATTGTCTATTAGTATATATATACTGTATATATATATATATATATTAATACAGTATCAGTATATTAAATGACTTTTTTTGATGAAAAACTCACTAATTTGTAAACAACAACTGTTTTAATATATTGTTTTTCCTTTAAACTAAAAATCATTATTTACTTATAAACAACACAAAAATGTTTCATTAAATTCTGGATTATTTTTTTGCTACATTTGTAAGTCAAGTCAATCGATTAAATGTTGTGTTTCTTCGTAAACTATATACAATAGTTAGAGTATATATAAAATTTTATATAACTTTTTTTGCAAACTATTTTTCATTGAGAGTTATGCTCTTTTTAGTAGTAAAATGTGAAATGAAAGGGAAAGTTATGAGTATTTGAGAGAAAAAAATATAAGCAAAATATTAGAAGAAAAAATAGAAAGAAATAACATTTAATTTGGATTAATGTCTTAGTGTCAGAAAATCCAAGATTTTCTTCATTGAAAATAAAATATTGATAAAAAATTTTACTAAAAATTATTATTAGTTTTTTATATGTTATATACAAATATAAATTTCAATAAAAAAAAGTTTCCTCATTTTGCTACACTTCAAATAACATAATATCTTTCAATTATACATTTTCAAAAAATAATACATTTAAGTGACTATAAAATCTCAATCATTAAATGTTAATCACAATAAAGATAACAATAATTGTTTCGTAAAATAACAAAAAAAAACATAATTAAGTTTTTTGTTATTTTAAAATGTCTTTTTATTGAATAGTTTTTTTCAGTAAAAGTTATGTTATAAAAAATGAGCGATTAAATGAAAAATACAAATAAAATATTTTTTGATCAATAATTTTGTTCAACAAATAACAAAAAGTCACCAGAAATTTACATTTCCGAGTCCGACCGCGTATCCGATGGTGGCCAACATAAACTGCAGTTTGCTGTCCCACGACTCCCGGCCGTCTTCAGGATCGGCCAAGAAGTGTCCCTTATCGTCGGCCACTGCCATATCTGCAGTCATTATTTTTGAAGGCTTTTTTTATTTGGTGTAAAAAATAAATATAATGAATGAATAGATAGAAGATTTTCAGTTCAAAAAAGTCAATGAATCACAATAACAACAATAAGACTTTTGGTGTGAAAGCAGAAAAAAGTAGAGAAAACAGAAAAAGAAAGAAAGAAAGAGAGAGAGAGAGAGAGAGAGAGAGAGAGAGAGAGAGAGACCATAAAAGTGATTACATAAAGACATTATAAGACTTACAGTTATATTGCTGTCAATGCTAGTGCTATCGTCATCGTCTTCAAAGGCGACATTAGTGGTGCCATAACTCATAGGTCTGCCGTTTTCCATAACCAACCGCCCCTTCAGTTCCCTTAACTCCAATTTTTCGCCGATTGGGAGTTCACTACGCGATTGTTGTCTCCGCACAATATTATGCATTGTGTTAATCAATTGATTTATTTATTTGTTACTCAAATAAAAGCTTAATTATAGTGTATTTAGCGTTTTTCTCTCTCTCTTTTTCTTAAACTTTTCTCAATATATTTATTTCATTGTTTATTCAAAAATTAATTATCACTTATTATTTTTTAAAGATAATTATCATTAATATATTTTTTTGAATAAAAGCTAATAATTAGTTTTACAACAAATAATTGTTCTCATTTCTACATATTATTACTATATAAAGATATATATATTGAGATATAATATAATATTAATAAAATTGATCGAAGTCTTATTACTATTGAAAATAACAACAATGTTTATACAAATTTATATATTTATATATTGAAAACACACATTAATCCAAAAATCTATACATCAATCAATATTTGCTACACAACTAATATCTTTATTATTAGATCATATATAAACTGATTGAATATTTATTTAGATATATTAGTATTCACTAAATTTATATACACACTATATAATAGTTCTATAAAATCCAATAATTTTTTTTTGTATCATTTAATGCCAAACCATCACGTAATCAATCTATAAAAGAGTGGGAGTATAAATAGTTTATATTAATTAAGTTAAAAAGTTTTTTCCAAAAAAATATAGCCAAAAATTATTATTATTATTTTTATTAAGTGATGCAAAACTAATCAAATAATCAAAGCGTTTAGAAAGTGGACTCACTTATTAAAGTGTCAACATATCAGACATTACCACCAAAAAAAAAAACAATTATTTTATTGTGTGTATTGAATAGTGTTTTGATTGAGAAAAAACAAAATCATGACTACAAATAAAGATATAAATAAAAGGCAGCAAAAAAGTCTATTAGATATCCAATATATGAGTGATCACTAAATTGTGATTTTGGCGTCTCTCAAGAGATTGTATGTGTAGTTGTGTGTGTGTGTGTGTGTGTGTGTGTGTGTGTGTGTGTGTGTGTGTGTGTGTGTGTGTGTGTGTGTGTGTGTGTGTGTGTGTGTGTGTGTGTAAGTGTGAGGGAGAGTTACCTCTATTGATATCTTCAAACAAAAAATAAAAATTATAAACAGAAAAATAACAAAAACAAACGTTAAATATATATATATATATATATATATATATATATATATATATATATATATATAGTAAAAACATGAAATATAAAAAAATAATGCACTTTTATAATGAAAGCTTACAATTGAACATTAGATGTAGTGATGGATGACATTGTGATCACATCTATCACATCCCATGCAATACTCATACGGCACCAGAACTTTATGTCAGTACTGTTTTTTCCATTCACTGTCCAAATATAACTAAAAATTTTTATTATTTATTTTTATTTATGTCTTCACACAACTTTTTATGTTAGTATCAAAATATAAAAAACAACTCAATATATTGCATACATGAAAATATATCAAACAAAAAATTTTATTTTCAATGATTTCACTATTTTATATATATATTATATTTTTTGTGAGTTTATAATATAAGATCATTTTTTTCTCCACTTAAATACTTCATGTTTTTAAAACTATAGTCCAAACTCACTCATAATTCAAGCGTGACTTTTATTGACTTTCTATTAATAATATGACATACTTTTATTATTATTATTAATATAATATATAGAAATTTATATTATTGTATATACAATAATTGAATTCTGTATTCAATTTGGTTCATCTCAGCTAAAAATTACTGACAAATATAATATTGGTTTTTGTATTTAGTTGTCATATTATATCATATGATTCATATAATATAATGTATAATATTTACAATAATACAATATAAACAAACAAAAATAACTTTATATATATTATTCTATATATTCTTGCAGTGAATCGAAAACTATATTTTATGTGAATTTATATGATATATGTATAAAAATTTTTTAAAAATATCAAAAAATAGATACTGTTTAATATTGTTTATGAAAAAATTGCACAAAACTTATAGTTTTTGGATATTAAAAACAATTTTTTTTGTGAATAAATCGATGATTTCATGATGTAAACAATTGATGTGACTGTTATTATGTTTATATAAAAGATACTGTATTTGCAAAATTGACAATTTTGTTTGATATCAAATATTTGTCTCAAATATTTTTCCAATAGCTTTTTTTCTGACACACCATTACACTTAATATTATAAATTTACCATAAAATCTAATTAATTTAATTAATTTACCAAACATACTATATTTATTATATAAATAATTAAAATTGTTATTTTTCTAACATTTATCATATATCAACAAAATTAAATAAATTGAAATTTTTAATTTGACAATTTTTTTCATAAATAGATAAATTTCGATACAATTATTTCATTAAAACATAAAAAAATAAATTACTATATAAATTATCAGTGAGTATGACATAAATTTAAAATAATTGATAGTTTAATATTTAATATTATTTTAATATAATTGTATCCATAAAATAATAATTTTTTAATGAAATATATTGCAATAAAATATAATGTTAAAATGAAATTTTTTGTTAAATGGTGTATAGAGTAATAGTATTAAACAATTTTATATTTTAGACATTTGTTTAGTACATTTAATAATTGCATAGTATTTCATTTTTGAATTTATTTACACTGAATATACTAAAAAAAATATTTTTATAATATTTTTCTTATTATTATAAAAGTCATATTAAATAATTGAACAATAACATTAAAACATTTGTCACAATATATTTTCATACAAAATTATTAAAATAAATGTATTATATATAATATTCTGATTTATATTTATATCATTTTCAAATAATATAATTTAAAAAAGTTTTATCAAATAAAACAATATTTTTAAATAAAATGTTTAACATTGATTTTTTGTCCATTTTTTTGATTAAATTAAATTAAGACTTCTGTATTTGATATATTAAACAAAATATAATGAATAAAAATTGAAAGTTTAACTGTCATTTTATGTAATATATTTAGATATTTGTATAACAAATAGTTGATATAGTAATACCGTATGTCATATTGTTTAAGTCACCCATTTATGTTAAATTTGATGCATACTGTATACTGTATAAAGTAGTAATGTTTAGATAATAGTAAAAATGCACCAAAATTGACATAAAATGTATATTAAAAAACATATTATGACAAACATTAGCGACAACTTTAAAACCCAAGAAAAAATTGAGTGTTTTTGAAATATATTATTCATTTGACTGTTTTATAAAAATAAAAATATAATTAAACTGATATAACAGTTAAAATTATTTGCAAACTGTCTGTTAAATAATGAGATCAACTTTATTCTAAAATTTATTATATATTTTTTAATAAATCAGTTTATTATTATTATTATTATACAATAGTTAAAATTTTCTATACGTTTTATTGCAAATGTAATGTTAAAAAATTTTTATTAGATTTGACTGAAAAAATTCTGAATCACTATTCATACAATAATTTTATGAAATATCTCTTTTGAAATCATTTTATTTAAAGATTTACTTATATGTTAGCGATATTGATATTCTTGTATAATATTTTATACTCTATAAACTATTTTATAAAATAATGTATCAAAAACTTTTTTTAATAAATTTTAATTGATTTGTTTACTCAGTTTATTATAATTTAATTGTTATATTTAATACATCAAATTTCATTGCATTAAAAATAATTTTCTATCATTGATTAATTATAACTAACATTATGAGATAAAATTTAATTTTTAACTTTTGTCATAAAAATCAAATTTAATTAATAAGTTAAAATTTTTGTTGATTAAATGAGTTATTGATAAATTTAAAATTAAATTAGATTTTATATAAATTATTGAAAATTTATTGAAAATATTATTTTATAATTAAAAAGTCATTAATAATATTAATATTTGTATTTATTCTCTAATAATACTGTATTATTACATTAATGAATTAACATTTATCTGATACTGTATTATATAAAAAATCTATTTAATTATTTATTCTTCAATAATATTACTTATTTTAGTTATTTTTAATAATAACTACTTATAAGATTATATATTTTTAAATTTTCCATTTTTTCACAATATTTGCAATACATTAAAAAATCAATAACAATGAATTTACAAACAACAATAATTTTATCAAAATTCTTTTTTAATTAAATATTTATAATTTTAGTAAAATACAATGTATATAAATATTATAATGCTATAAAACTATATCTTTAAATAATACTGTAATATTAAAAAAAAATATGAACAGTAATTTATTAACAATAATGTACAATACGATCTGAATTATAAACTATTTTATACATTATCTGCATTATATGAAAAATACTTTATCATATTTACAGAATATTAATATTATGCAATATTATTAACAAAATATTTTCATGCATTATATCACTATAAATATGAGATAATCTGTTTTAGTTTCTAATAATATTATAATATAATTATTTAAGTTATAATAAATATAACACAAATTCTCTGATATCAGCAAATTCTTTAATAGACATAAATTTAATTTTTGCTAATTTTATGCAATGAAATAAATACTATATACTATTTAATGAGTATTTTCAAAAATGTAATATAATATTTTTAGACATTATTTAGTTATTTTGCATTTTATTTTTTCCCCATTAAAATGATAATATTTTTATTAATTATTATAACTCTTTTGGTATAACTTTAAAAATTTTAATATTTTTAAATATTGCAAATGCATTATCTAATAATCTAATACTAATCTACAAATAATCAAATATTTTTAAAAATCATATTTACAAAAATTACTTACTATAATAAGTATAATAATAAATTAAATTAAAACATTAACATATATTTATTTTATTAGGATGTGTCCAAAACAGAGCTTAAATTAAAGAATAATATCATAGAATAGATAATTATGTTATTTTAAATAACATTATTTTTACAGAATAATAACATTAATGTATTAAATAATCAAATTTCTAAGTAATAAACCAGATATAAAAATAGTAAACATATTTTACTACAATATATATATTTTATATATATACATGTACAGTATAATGTTTAATAATTAAAGAAATAAATACAGTATATGAAAATTAGAAAAAAAAAATTATCAAAACTGTTTATAAAAATATCTTATGTTATAATTTATCAAATTAGTATTTGTTAAAATGTTAAATTGATATAAATACTCTACAATTTATAAATAATCATTAGCAGTATAATTGAATTGCTTTTTATCGATTGTTACATAAACTATATATATAACAAATATATTATATATTTATATTTTTATACATATACTAAAATTCACAAAAATATCAGTTGACATGAGTTATACTATTATGATATATACATTATATTTCTATATATAATGTCATTGAATATATCGGACATAAAACAGAGGATACGGCTTATGCATAAATTGTTGTAAATAACTGTTACAACATATACATGACTAATGAATTGGTACCATATATATGGTATAGTATGGTATGGTTTTTAGATATTTCTAGTCGTTTGCAACAATCAGGTCATTATTCAACAAAAAAAATAGTCACTTACAAGTTGTGTTGCAATTTGAGATATACTGTATGGCAAACTTAGCGATCAATAATATATTTGAAGTCACTTAATAGATATTAATCCAAACCATTATACAAAAACACATATACAGTACAGTGTATACATGTATATACAGTAGTATGCAATACATTGAACAGCTACTGACCATAACTTGTTATTTTTAAAACCATTGGTTAATCTCATGGCAAACAATAATTAGTATTTTCTTATACTTTTAATTCCTCATCAAATACTTTAAGTCTAACATTAAATCGACATTTATTAAAAAAAGACAATTAATCTTTGAAAATATGAATTATTTAAAAATTAATGACTTTTTCTGGTTTCCTTTAAAAACAAATAATCTAAAAAAAAAATTTTTTTTGAATGAATATTCTGTATTATTTTAACTATCGATTTACAATATAAGTATTATTATTGTAATTTAAATATATCTCTTTTGAAGCGTTAAATGTAAAAAATAAACCGTATAGAGTAAAGCTTTAAAACTTTAAATATTTCGTGACTTTTAATAATTACAGTCTATATATAGATGATATTATACATTATATTGGTATTATATAATAATATTAATAGTATTACAGTAATATTGGCAAAACATATGTATTTTGCAAAATATTAAACACAACTTCCCTTTTAAATTTCAATTCTTTATGTATTACATAAATTTAGACTAATACAAGTTATTTGAAAAGTGTATTTAAAATACTTGATTGATTAGTTTTTATTGTATTTAATAAATATTGATTAACAAAATATAGATGAAAATTATATCAGATATAAATTAGTAAGTATTGTATAATGTAGTATATATTTTGATGTGTATTTGTTTGTCAGTGTCTATGTATTTCTATATTATAAAGTTTAACAATATATACCTTAATATTTATCGCTAAAATATCATATAATAAAAGATGTATATATTAAAAAAACTAATTTAACAAAGATTATAAAAGTAAAATATAATAAAGAAAATTTTGGGCAAATTCTATATGAATTTAATAAATTTTTGCTAAAAATAATAATAATAATAAGTATTAAATCTTTTATTTACTTACCTAAACAATATATATATACTTTATATATAACACAAAAAAATTCCTCTTTTTATGGTTAGTGTCAAAATATATAACCTGAGGAAAGGCTTATAAAGTAAGTGTCTGTTCTTTGTTTAAGAAAAACACGTCAAATACTACTATCGTATTACTCACTCTTTTTTTGAATAAACAAGAATTGTTGAATTTTTTCACAAAATAGTATCTAAATTAAGTCAAATTTATCTAAATATTTGAATAAATATATTGTATAATATATAAAATATATAATTGTGCGTTACTTTCAATAAGCACTTTACTACACACACAATGCAAAAATCAAAGCACAAAATGATAATAAAAACTTTTGAATGCTTTTTAAATGTGAATCAAAGCAAATGGAAAAACAGAATCGAATGCATCAAACAATGCATTGAAATGTCTAACTGTTTCCAAAAATGTATGACAAAACTGCTGCCAACAGAATATTCTTGTCATATAATACTATAAATATATTGTGTTAATAACACAACACTAGTGTCAACACAATAGGCCTACCAAATGCAATGCCCTACCAATGCCACTATCAATGCAATACCAGTGCACTCGACTTAGTGCATGGTATTCGCGCACAACGCACACAACAGTCTCTCTTTTCTCATCCCTTTTCCCATACAAACCCTAACAATCCTATCTAATGGTTGCAAAATAAATGCTTTTTTGCTTTTCCAGTGAATTTTCAACTAATACTTCACCTCATTATTGCCCTCTCAATGCTCTCCATTCAAACACACATTACATGCATTACATTGATATTAACTTTAATTCTTATATCACTTTAATACAGAATATTCTGTAAAGAATATGCTTTACACATACATAAAGTATACGTATATAATATCGTGTAGTAGTGTCTAAATGTAATAAAAAATAATATTTATAAAACTCAAAATAAATTGAATTATATTCTAAGTTGTTTTTTATTTACTTCAAAAATTTCAAATTATAAATTACTTGATCAACATTTATTGTACTGTATATTTACAACAAAAAATAAAATTACTATTATGTCAAATCAATGCTATTTATTTTACAAAAAACTAAAATCGGTTCAAAAAAGATAAAATTTACAAAATATATTTCTCTATTAAAATTATTTAATTGAATGATTAATTTTAAAAGAATAGAGAAATTCATTAAATGATTAAATCTTTTTCTAAAATCAATGTTGTGTCCATTTGATTGACTTAATATCGATGCCCTCCTCAACCATTTCCCAGAGAGGACTCATAGCCCTTAATCTCTTGACGTGATGAATACAATTATCTACAGTATAGTCTACCTCTTCAATTGTGGTAAACCTTCCTAATCCAAAACGAATCGATGAATGAGCCAAATCTTCATCAGATCCAATGGCTCTTAACACATATGACGGCTCCAATGAGGCTGAAGTACAGGCGCTGCCAGAAGAAAGAGCCACATCTTTCAATGCCATTAAAAGACTTTCTCCTTCAACGTAAGCAAATGAAAGATTAACACAACCCGGATAAGTAACATTCGGGTCACCGTTTCGGATAACTTTCGGTAATTCTTTCATAATTTTATTAACCAATTGATTGGATAGAGATTCAATCCACTGATGATCATAAGCCATCTCTTTCTTAGAGACAGAACAGGCACTTCCTAACCCAACAACTAGTGATGTCGGAACAGTTCCGCTTCTAATACCTCTTTCTTGACCGCCGCCACTCTGAAGGGCTTCTATACGAATTCTGGGCCTACGTCTGACATACAGAGCACCTATACCTTTAGGTCCGTATATTTTGTGTCCACTTATAGACAACATATCGATATTCATTTCATTGACATCAATAGGAATTTTGCCGACGGCTTGTGCGGCGTCTGTATGAAAGAAAACACCTTTGGATCGACAAATAGCTCCGATCTCTTTAATCGGTTGTTTGACTCCTATCTCGTTATTAACTGTCATAATAGAGACCAAAACTGTTTGATCGGTTATTGCATTCCTTAGATCTTCTATATCGATAACGCCTGAAGTCTGGACGGGAAGGTAAGTGACTTTAAAGCCTTCGTTTTCGAGATAACGACACGAATCGAGAACACACTTGTGTTCAGTTTGAGTGGTAATTATGTGATCTCTTTTTTCTTTATAAAACTTTGCACAACCTTTCAGTGCTATGTTATTAGATTCGGTGGCACCGGAAGTGAACACTATTTCTTTAGGATCGGCGCCTATAATATCGGCCACACTTTCTCGGGCCTCTTCAGTGGCCTTCTCTGCCTCCCAGCCGTAGGCATGTGTTCTTGAGTGAGGATTTCCATACTTGGAGATCATAAACGGCAACATTGCGTCCAAAACTCTTGGATCCATAGGAGTAGTTGACTGCGCGTCCAAATAAAGTGGTCGCAGAAGTGATGGCGGACTCTTACCGAAGTCCGATGACAAATATCGAGCATCTGTTTGAACCAAATGATAATATTTATAAAATTAAATTAAAATACTTTTAGACATAAATATTGAAAATAAGATATAAATACTTGAGTTGTGAAAAATGCCGACAACTGACGATTTATGTCTTGATATTAACAATCTGTTCATTATATGAAACGATTGATTGCAATGTCTTAAACAACAATACATTTTGTTTCTTTTGGTCAACAAATGTCTTAAGTTATGCTAGAAATCAAATGACAACAACACCGACAACGACAACAACACTAACAGAAAAAAAAATTTCTTAAGTGTGGTTCGCAAGTGATGTCGTAATACATCTAATGATTTGTTATAAGTTTTGTTTGATTAATACAAAACCACTTTTGACTTTAATGTTCAAACATTTGTCGGAAATCACTAAATGTTTTGGTGATCACAAACTGGTCATTCAAACGGACAGTTGTTTTATTTGTTGACAATTAATTGATTGACCGATCAATTGATTGACAAAATTTTATCACACGATTTGCAAAATGCAATACAAATCCCATGTTTTCTATTATTGTATTTATTTTTTTTTTTGTAAACAACACATCATTTATTGGTGAAAAACATTATTAATTATTTGTGGGGAACGGTATGTCTCACTATTAGGTACACTATCTATAGAATAATAGGTGTATCACAGGTAACGTCACTCAGGGTTTGCATCAATTTATGCGTTTGTTGTTTGAAAAGGGGTTTCACTCGAGTGTTGTGTCGTTATTGATGTCTAATAATAATAATAATAATAATATGATTACAGTATTGTTGTACTCATTGACAGTGAGAGACAAATCATTACTTTAAAGTTTGTATGTATTTCTCTATGCATTTGAATGTGTGTTAAGCACTACTATAGTATACTACTCATTGGACACTCATTTATATACCGATTGATTGATTGGCCACACATTGAGTACACCCGAAACACATCCCGATTTAGACAACAACAACAAATGGATTTACAATCAGCTATACTGTCGAGGTATGGATCCATTTGGTGATGATTTGAAAATTAGTTACCATTTGTTGACATTTGTAATGCAGATGTCATACAATTTTGATGAATCAATGCATTGATTGCTTATAATATATAAATGAATTGAAATAAATAATAAATATTTGTAATGATATGCAATAGTATTGTTGTGAATATTATTCATATATTATAGTATAGTATATCATAAATGTTTAACAATTTGTTTGCATTTATTGAACTAACGATACAATCATTTCATAAGTGTTTTGATTCAATATTTGCTGATTTAATGAGATAAGCAATGAGTGTATTGACTCGTTGTCCATAAAAAAGTCTTAATTAAGATGCAAGTATTGGATACAATACTAACTGAATGGACGGCCAACAGGTTTACATCAGCGTTGCCGACGCCGATGCGTTTGCGGGATCTGATCCGTCAGATACGGGCCTCCAGGACTGCTGCCGACGAAAGGGCTGTCGTCCAGAAAGAGTGCGCTTACATTAGGTCGACGTTTCGTGAAGAAGATAATGTCTGGCGCTGTCGTAATGTCGCCAAACTGTTATACATACATATGTTGGGATATCCGGCACATTTCGGACAGGTATTTGGTGCTTAAAATTTCTGAATAATTATCACCCATTAAGTACTGTCTTTGTTTGAACAGCTGGAATGCCTTAAACTGATAGCCTCTCCCCGATATACCGACAAACGGATCGGTTATTTAGGAGCAATGCTTTTGTTGGATGAGAGACAAGACGTCCACTTATTGATTACTAATTCACTTAAAAAGTAATTTAAATTTTAAAAAAAAATAATTATCCGATTTATAGTTGAATTGATTATATTTTTATTGTAAATCACTAGTGATTTGAACTCTCAAACCCAGTTCATCGTTGGATTAGCGCTCTGTTGTTTGGGTGCCATCTGTTCAGTTGAAATGAGCCGTGACTTAGCCGGAGAAGTGGAGCGTCTGATGAAGTCATCCAATACTTTTATTAAGAAAAAGGCCGCTTTATGTGCCGCAAAGATTGTCCGCAAAGTACCCGAACTTATGGAAATGTTTTTACCGGCGGCCAGGAGTTTGATTACTGAGAAAAATCATGGTTTGGTTTTTTTAAATAAAAATCTTTTATTAGTTTTATTACTAATTCAAATCATTTCACATCAATAGGTTGTCTTATAACTGGTATTATATTAATCACCGAAATGTGCGAACAAAGTAGCGAAACGTTGTCTTACTTTAAAAAGGTTTGCTATTTTGTAATTGTTTTGTCATTTATTTTGTTTGCTTGTCTTGTGTCCAATAAATGTGAAATTGCTTTTTGTCTGCTTATAAACAAAACGCTTCACACATATACTAACTCTGGACTTATATGTTCAGTTCACTGAGGTTTGTCTTGTTTTGTCACTAAATATCTTCACTAAAATCACAAACATCTGACTTTCTAACTATTGCTTACTATTTTTATTAATAAATTTTCTGTCAGATGGTTCCAAATTTGGTACGAATACTGAAGAACTTAATAATGGCCGGATATTCGCCCGAACACGACGTTTGTGGTGTTAGCGACCCTTTTCTTCAAATCAAAATATTAAGACTTCTACGGCTTTTAGGACGAAATGATTCCGAAAGCAGTGAAACAATGAATGATATATTAGCTCAGGTTTGTTATAATCTGATATACTGTATATACAGTAATTGATTTCATTATTTACTAAATTTAACTAACCATCGATGAAAAAGGTTGCCACAAATACCGAAAGCAGCAAAAATGTTGGAAATGCTATTCTTTATGAAACTGTTATATCAATTATGGAAATAAAATCAGAGGGAGGGCTCAGAGTATTAGGAATTAACATTTTGGGCCGATTTTTGCTCAATACAGATAAAAACATTCGCTTCGTTGCATTAACAACACTTCATAAGACAGTTAGTGCCGATTATAATGCAGTCCAAAGACACAGGACTACAATCGTCGAGTGTCTTAAAGATCCGGATATTTCCATCCGAAAGAAAGCTATGGAATTGTGTTTTGCATTAATTAATTCAAATAATATCAAATCGATGTCCAAGGAGTTGATCCACTTTTTAGAAAAGGCTGATCCCGACTTTAAATCAATTTGTTCATCCAATTTATGTATCAGTGCCGAAAAGTATTCCCCGGGTCACAAATGGCATATCGACACTATCATCAAAATACTTACGACGGTATATATATTAATATTTTTATATACAATATATATATATATATATACTGTTTCTAATTGATATTACCATAAATATTATAAATAATTTTATAACTTATCGTATAATACAATTTGTCTTTAGGCTGGAAATTATATAAGAGATGATGTCGTCGGAAGTCTTATAGAACTTATATCAGTTACCACTTCATTACATAGCTATGCCGTCCAAGAATTGTTTAAACAATTGACAGGAGATTTAGAGTCAAAGCAACCTATGATTCAGGTGGCGATGTGGGCGTTGGGAGAGTTTGCCGATTTGCTTACCGTTCCCACACAGAACTTGGAGTCAAATGATTCGCAATATATCGAACCATTGGATATCACTGAAGATAATGTTATCGACAAATGTGAACAAATTCTTTCATTTAATTTAATGACTTTAGTAACAAAAGAGTACACACTTTGTGCACTTATCAAACTGAGCGCTCGATATCCAAATACAGCGCCACGAGTCAAGAGAATTGTAGATATCTTTGGATGTGATCACAGTGTAGAGCTTCAACAAAGAGCTGTCGAGTTTGCCTCACTTTTTACAAAATATGATCATTTAAGAAGTAGTCTTCTAGAACGGATGCCACCGATGATTATAAGAACTGAAAAAAGAAATGGTATTCAAAATGGAGATATAAATGATGACGACACAAATGAAGACAATGAGTCGACTATTAATAATGGTAATAACGATAATAATTATGTTAATAAAACTAGTGGTCCAACAAACAGCTCAGCTCTTTTAGATCTCTTGGATCCAATTGGATTTGGAGATGCACTTACTATTACCGATAAATCAAATGAAACAACTACTGCATCTATATCACAGCCAACTACAACAAGTAATGTATTTGATTTATTGGAAACTCTGGACTTAAATAACGTTCCCAACAACATAGGAAACAATTCTGTCCATCAAACAAACATTCCTCTTGTAGTCAACAATATATCAAATGATATTTTTTCAACAAACGATGGAAACAACTTATTAGATAATATTTTAAATAATAGTAATTCTAATCAACAATTAAATTATTCCATTGAACCCATTGTTGCCTTCGAGAAGAATGGATTGAGAATTGATTTTAGTTTTGAAAGAACCACAACTGATCCAAACACTACTATCATATCATTATTGGCTACGAATGCAACTCCCTATCCGATAGAAGATTTTCTATTCCAAGCAGCTGTTCCTAAGGTATTAAACAATTTTTAAAAAGAAAATTCAATAAAAATTAAACCAACAAATGCTTTATTATCATTATTATAGACATTCCAACTCCAGCTGATGCCACCATCTAGTAATCGTATCGCCGAAAACAATACCGGAACTGTTAATCAAGTGATAAAAGTATTAAATCCAAACAAGGTATATATATATATATATATATATATTTGTTTAATACAGATATTTATAAATTAATAATGATTTAATGTTTTCTTAGAGTCAACTTAAGATGAAACTTCGGATGTCATATCAACACAATGGCAATACAGTTACAGAACTGTCAGATGTTAACAACTTTCCCGTAACGACGTGGCAATAGAACAGCCAATAAAAATAGGTTCTCATTTAATAATACATTAATTGATAATAAAATGTTAATTAATTATTGATATACTGTAACCCAATTAATTGTTTGAGTCATTTGACTTTAAAAATAATATTTTGGTATAAAAATTGACAAATATTTTGTCAAATTATGCCATTGACTGACTTCAGATGCAAAATTTAAAGCAAATTTTGTTAGTTTAATAAATTATTTTTTAAATTTGATATTATTATTATATACTTTAAATTAAGTTTAATATAAGTTATGCAGAGATTTAATATTATTAATTATTTTATAAATCAAAAGCAAATCGTTTACAGTACTAATTATTATATTTATGTATATATTATAAACTGTTTTTTGTTCATTAAATCGGGTTTTTAATCATTAATCTGGAGTTGGGATAAATTTTTTAAGTATTTAAATAAAAATTAAATTTTATTTAATAATAGTTTTTTGACAATTATTGATATCTACAGCAATTATCTACATATTTATATATTATTATTAGACGACATGTTTACAGGCATTGTCGATATCACTATATAAGTATTTGAAGCCTAAATCTAAAGTCCTTTTAGGTATGACTTTCTGGCCGTCAGTCATCATAACGGCTCTCTCTTTGCCAAACAATTTTTGAACGACAAACTCAGGCAATGGTATAACAGTAGGTCTCCACAATGCCCGACCCAATGCTAATTATATAAAAAAATACATTTTAATTATTAGTATTAGTGTTTGTTGCAAATTATATTAAACTAAGACCTTTAGTAAACTCATAATTTGTAATGATTTGTGGCGACACACCATTTAAGACACCGGTGACGTGATCTTCTTCAATAGCAAACATAAATAGATTAATCATATCTTCGATATGTATCCACGGGAAGTACTGTTTTCCCGATGCTATGGGACCACCCAAACCAAACCAAAAGGGCAGATATATTTGTTTGATAATTCCTATTGAAATTTCAATATTTTGTAAAATCGTTTGATAAGATCGGCTAAAAACAATTATTGTTAAAAAACAAACCGCCGTATTGTCCTAAAACAACACCCGATCTAATGATAACATTCCTGACGCCCAACTCTGGTGGTAAAAGAGATGCTCTTTCCCATTGTCGACATAAGTCTGCCATAAAGTCATCGCCGCTCTCACTGTCTTCGGTATACTCAGCCGTAAGACTAGGCTTGTAAAAGCCGACTCCAGAAATGGTAACATAAACTTTTGGCGGACTTTTCATACGTTTGATTACATTGGCCAACACTTTAGTAGTCTCTACCCGACTATTGATTACATTTTGTTTGAATCCTTCTGTCCATTTGCGCCGCGCGTCCAACACGTTCTGACCGGCGACGTTGATGACCGCTTGTGTGCCGTCCAGTAATGTCTTATTATTTATATCGCTCTTTAAATTGATTTATACAATCAAAATATAAGTCAATTTATATATATTGCAAAAAATATATGTTTTATAATACTTTATTTGATTATTCAATATAACTGTATAAAAACTTCAATATAAAAACTATATAAAAGTTTCTATGGAAACAGTTTTGTTGATCATATAATTTAATTGATCCGATAATTTCAAGAAGAAATGGAAGACTTTGCCATAGAATCGTTAGGCGAGTCGTTGACGACTCAAACGAGACGAAGAAGCTCTTTGTTCAACAAACTAAGTAACGGAAAGCCTTATGCAATGGATTCGTATGACTCAATCAACGCGGGTTCAGACATGACATCACCGGTACCGCCGGTAATATCAACTGTTTTTTATATTTATCATATAATTGACAACCAAAAACCTGATCTCTCAATAGATAGGTTCACGACATAGACGACTGGCCACTTGGGCCGACGATACTGACAATGATATACAACAATTAAGAAGCGTTCAGTCGACGGCAAACAAACATAAATTATTGGACAATAATGATGACGACGTGACGCCTATTATACCCGAATTACAAGAAGTTAATGACTACGAAATGACACAACAAGTGGCCAAAGCACCCGTCGCTTACAATCAGGTCATTAAGTTTCAAGAGTTGGACAAAAACTTATTAAAACAATCGGCTTTCACTTCACTCGATGGCATCGATTTGACTCAATTAACTCACTATTGTCTACCGGAAAGTCAGGTCAAAGAAGATGACATACCCTGGAGTTGGGATCATCTCATGTCTGACGTCACCTCAAGATTGATGACAACAACAGAAAACACTATCAATTAATTGTTATTTAAGATATTATAGTATTAATTAAACAAACAATAAAAATAATCATTTGTTTCATAAAATAAAATAACTTTTTTTAAATCTTAAAACAAGTAATCAATGATTTTAGTTATTAAATCCTAGTCTTCCGATTAAGTGGTTAATCATAAGTTAAGACATTTTAGATGAAAGACATACCCAAGTGATGTGTTGATTGCCGGGCATTCGCGAGACAATCCAAACATCACTACCGATGGCCCGCAAAGCGTTGGCAATATTACCGCCGATAAAACCGGTTCCGCCACCTTTCAAATGATTATAAAATAATTATCAAATCTTAAGACCAATTAATTTGCAAATAAAAACAAAACCGATTAATATTTTCCCTAAAATTGGTGTAGACTTTGGCATCGCTTTACAGTTAAAGTCAAATAAATGCTATCAAATAATTGTTGTTTTATTCAATACAATATTAACAGTCATTTCATAATCAATAATAATAAATAATTAATTAAATTTCAATTACTAATTAATATCTAATATTTAAATTTTGTTTTAATTTGAAACTTTCAAATCAGTGTCCTTTCAATACCATTGAACAAAACATATGTATATCATGTGATATAACTGTTTGTATGCAATGTTTGCAAACATTTAATACATTCAATACATTCAATACATTCATTCATATAATGATTATTGCAATACATTATGCAATTGACTTTAAGCTCTGATTCATTACTTTAGATAACAAACTTATAAATGATTTAAAGGTATAGTTGTTATAATTATTTACACATTATTTCATTAATACTATTGTAATAACTCTAATCAAATCAAATTATCAATTAATTACACCAAATATAACCACAAAAATAGCTAAATAAAGGTTTTAATAACAATTTCCATAAGAAATGCTTTTTGAAAAAAAACTTTTTCGAAAAATCTTTTTATTAAAACTTAAGTTTTGCTTTCATTTAATCAAATAATTTTTTAGACATAAAACTATTTGTAAATAAAAAAACATATGATTTATAATTATTAGGTTATTAATAAATTTTATATAACTTTAAAATACTCTCTATAAACTATGATATAAATATTAATACAGTATAATACTGTATCAAATATCAAATTATATATACTTTATATCATAAACTGTATATTTATCATACAATAGATAATTTACTGTTTAAAAAATCAGAATATTAGAAAAATTATACAATATATAAATAAATATATCTATATATATAAAATAAAATTATTATAAAAATTTTATAATTATTATTATTAAATACTGTATAACAATATATTTAAAATAATAATTATTAATATCATAATAAAAATCGCAGTTTTTTTGTTTGAATGCAATAATCACAGCAAATGTCATATTTAATGCAATGACAATACAATCCCTCAATTGAGTGTTGACTCAGTTTATTGAGTGAAACGCTTGAAATGAGTGTAAAAAGTGATAGCAATTGATGTGACAATTGTTTTCATTAAAATTTGTTAATCACATAAACAACTCAATTGTTTACACCATTAGTTAGACATCATTTGATTTAATTAAACAAAAAACAATATTTCATAAAACATCACTTCATTTGATCCCAAAGTCATGGCCAACGGCGGAACTCTTCAGGTTTGTTGTCGGACACACACATCTGTGTCATAACAATGACATCAATTGATATATCAATATCTGAATGTCTTTATATATAACAGAAAGCTATAGATCTGGTCACTAAAGCCACGGAAGAAGATAAGGCCAAGAACTATGAAGAAGCGCTCAAACTATATGAACACTCTGTTGAGTACTTTCTTCACGCTATTAAATGTAAGTATCACTTAGTGATTCCGGTGGCGGACACTCCCCAGTGTCCCATCATTTAAGGTGATAGACAATGTAATGACATAATATTATCTCTTATTTATGTTGCAGATGAAGCTCAGTCCGAAAGAGCCAAAGAAAGCATAAGAGCTAAATGTGTACAATATCTGGAAAGGGCTGAGAAACTCAAAGCATACGTCCGAAACAAAGACAACACTAAAAACAACAAAAAGCCGGTCAAAGCTGGAGATTCCAGTAATAGTAATAATAAGGATGAAGACAGCGATGAAGAGGATAAGGATAAGAAAAAGTTGATGAATCAATTGGAGGGCGCAATCGTTATAGAAAAGCCTAACATTCAGTGGTCAGATGTGGCCGGACTTGAAGGCGCTAAAGAAGCACTCAAGGAGGCTGTCATTCTTCCCATTAAATTTCCACACCTTTTCACTGGTAATCGTAAGCCATGGAGAGGCATATTATTGTTTGGACCGCCCGGTACTGGAAAATCATATTTGGCTAAAGCAGTGGCCACTGAAGCCAACAATTCTACTTTCTTTTCTGTTTCGTCATCCAATTTGGTATCCAAATGGTTGGGCGAGAGTGAGAAACTGGTAAAGAATTTGTTTGAAATGGCGCGACAGCACAAACCTAGTATTATATTTATCGATGAAATTGATTCACTCACCAGTACTCGCTCTGATACCGAATCAGAATCTGCTCGAAGAATAAAAACAGAATTTCTCGTCCAAATGCAAGGTTTGTATCATTACATTACAAGAGAATTGAATTTATATAATATCCTTAACCTTAATCTTTGTTAACTTATACTCCAGGCGTTGGTCAGGATAATGACGGTATACTAGTATTGGGCGCCACAAACATCCCATGGGTTTTAGATGCAGCCATCAGAAGACGTTTTGAGAAAAGAATTTATATACCACTTCCTGAAGAACACGGAAGAGTCGTTATTATTAAGATGAATATCGGAAACACACCGAACTCATTGACTGAACAGGATATACGAATTTTGGCCAAAAAGACAGATGGCTTTTCTGGTGCCGACATATCAGTGCTGATCAGGGATGCACTGATGCAACCGGTTAGGAAAGTCCAAAGCGCTACACATTTTAAGAAAGTAAGTATTGTTTGTTTTTGTGTCTCTTCGGTAAATTATCAATTGGATTTAACATTGAATATTCACACTATTGTTAGGTTAGCGGCCAGTCCCGTACCGACCCAAATGAAACTATTGATGACTTATTGACGCCCTGTTCTCCTGGAGAAAGGGGAGCCATTGAGATGTCTTGGGTTAACGTTCCGGGAGATAAACTATTAGAGCCGGTCGTATCCATGAGTGATATGTTGTTATCATTGGCTAATTCTAAACCAACTGTTAATGAGAATGACCTCAAAAAACTTAAGTCATTTATGGATGACTTCGGTCAAGAAGGATAACACGTTATATATATATATATTTAAAAACAAATCTAAATTGATTTATATTTTCAATCAAATTATTATTGTATTTAAATTCTATATTTTAGTAATTTTTCGATTAAATCTTTTAATAATCTAAACTTTAAAAACAATATTTTAAAATCAATTTGTTATTTTAAAAAATCAAAGTTCACTTAAATTTCACAAACAAATAAAATATATATTCATATAATTAGTGTTTTAGCTGTTAAACAGTTTGATATACAGTACAGTATACTGTATATCATATATTAATTTAATACAAGACTTAATTAGTAATAATATCTTTAAAAACGATTTTTCATAATTTCATCACTGATTGGATTCAATCAATTAATTATCACATCATCTGTTGTCTGCATTTCATTATTTTCTTTCATAACTTTTTCCTTAAAATCCAATAACTCTTTATCGATTAAATTGCGCTTTTGTTGGTCATCGTTGACATCAGTGGTAAAACAGACATATAGTTTGTATGCTTTTTGATTGTGAATCAATTCAATAGCCTTTTGTGCGGAACTGTAGTCATTAAAGTCGACAAAAGCCATCACTCGTACTGTCAATTGATTCTTAGTTTTGATTATTTTAATGGTTTCAAACTGACAGCCAATTCTTCTTAGAAAAGCTTTTGCACCCAATTCGGTGATATCATTGGGAAAACCATTGATTATTAGCTTAAGTGATGATATATTGCGACCACATTTCTGACCACTCATTGCGGGCATCAAATGTGTCGGAATATTGGCTGCAATTTGGTCGCCGCTATAGCTGTTAAATGTCATCGAGTAATAGTCTTCAGCCATTGGATCCCATCCTTCAAAATCTTTGGACATTTTGTTGTTATTGTTAAACAAGTTATAAGTTTTTAATTGAAATGATTTAAACTTAAAAACCAATTGAATGACTAATAGAGTTGAAGTTTACTATTGAAAAGTGAGCCCAAAGTGTGTTCGACACTGACTTATTAGTGATGCAATTCGTTCATCAATTACGTCATAAATGTGTCGAACGGGTTGTTATAATAGAAAGAATGCAATGACTAGTAATATATGCGTCGAGTTTGTGGGCATTCAATGAGTTATACGTTATATTTGTCACAGTTTTAGAATGTTTCGCAATGTTATTGTTTTAGCGCTTTATTAGCACTAAATTGAGGACACATTTTGAGGCATTGTTTGACACGTTTTGACAATAAGTGAATCAATTGCTGGATATTGTGAACCATTGATGACATGGATGAAGACGAACTTGATTTTGAAGAGTACGACTTCGGAGGAGTCGACGACCTATTGTATGAACCGTCAGAAGCTAATGACACCAAAGAAAATAACGAGAATGAAGATGAAGTCGAAGACAATATTGAAGACGAAGTCGAAGATAATATTGAAGACAAAGTCGAAGACAAAATTGAAGATAAAGTTGACGACAAAGTTAGCAAAAGTGATAACAAGCAGAAGCCTGTCGTAGCCAACGATGATGATAGCGATAGTTCCAGTTGGGGATCAGATCCTGAAGATCCTGATACTAATGATAGTCCTCTCAATACCAATGAAAATACCAACGATAGCACTAAAGCAAGTGATGACACCAATGGAACCAATGATAATAATAATGATTCAAAAAATAAAGACAAAAATACTGTCATTGAGACCATCGATGACGATGAAGAAGACTCCGACAATGCTTTTGATAATTTAGAAAAATTGCTGGCTTTGGCTGAAAACACTTCAGGCAAGTCATCAGCGAATAAACAGACGTCAGAAAGTTCCACTTTAAAGCCTATATCATATCATTCAAAGACATCAACAGTGAAACCATCAGTGCCACCAAAGACATCATCTGTTTCATCGGTGACTACAACGTTAGTGAATTCAAAAACTACAACTTCTTTATCAGTTGCGAAGTCATCATCGACTGCAAAGATGTCAACACCTATACAATCATTTACCAAAACATCAGATAAAACTGCTTCGGCATCAATGCCATCGTTTAACTCAATGCTTTCATTGACTACAAAGTCACCGATGACATCAACTTCAAAAGCAATGGCCCCTAAGTCAAACATATCGGTGGCAAACACACATATTAGCAAATCCGTAACGAAAATACCATCAGTGACACCGGTGTCTAATGCAAAGACAACAACAGTGACGCCAAGTTCGTCCACAAAGACAGTATCCGTCGAACCGACTTCAATGGCTAAGAGATCAATGCCGCCGACATCAATGGCAAAAAGAACAGGTATCCCGACTTCATCGACAAAATCAATTTCTGAGTCTCCAATTTCAACTGCAAAAACAATATCAGTGACTCCTAGTTCAGCACCAAAGTCAGCATCGGTTGCATCTTCTAAATTAGCAGAAAAAAGTTTGGTAACCACTTCTTCGACGTCGATTCTTTCATTTTCATCGATATTCTCATCACCTAAGAAAGCAACAACAACATCAACAAACATCTCATTGCCAATTACATCATCAATGACCACAATTTCATCTACAATGCCCATTACATTATCAACAACAGCATCATCATTATCAATGGTACCATCAGTAACGACAACAACAGCTACATCAACAGTTCCTGCGCTTAGGAAGAAGACAGAGGATTTAGATATTTTATATTACAATGCAATGAGACATTACTTAAAATATAAAACAATTAAACCCGGATATAATGCCAACGATTTTAAGTATGAGTCCAGACGTTTCAAAATTGGTAAAAATGGAGTTTTATTCTGTAATAATAAAGAAGTTGTCGAAACTGAAGAAAAACAGAGAAAGATATGTATTGAATACCATTTGAATCCGAAAGGAAAGACAGCCAAAACAGGACATCGAGGTGTTAAGGCTACTGTCACTGCCATTAGCAGCAAATACTTTTGGGGGACCATTGAATATGATATTAAAAACCTAATAAAACAGTGCCGTATATGTAATCCATTGGATTACGATTTAACATCATTTCAATTGTGGAAATACATCGAAGTCGGTATCATTGACAGTGTACTCATTGTTCGCGATTTGAACAAAAAGTCGTCGATCTTTAACTGCGGATATCTTCAAGAAATGAATGCCAAAAATTTGTCCAAACATTTGATTGGCTTATTTCAAACATATGGCACACCAAACGCCATTCGTATTGTTTTAGCACAAGAAATACAAACTAAGTTTACTGAAGAACTGAGAAATTATCTTCGCATTGATTTACTTGACTTTATAGATGTGGTTGAAAAGGTTAGTGAAGATCACAAAGAATTCGATAGCAATGAAGAGGTGATCAAACTTCCAATGGTTGACATACAGCTGCAGATTGGAAATGACGATAATTGTCCCAAAGATGATAAAGATTTGCTCACAAAGTTTGCAATCGTTGAAAATGAAGACATTTCTGTTTTTATAATATTTTCATGTAATCAGTGGTTAATTAAACATTCGTTGTTTACAAGTATTTCAACAGATATTCAAAATTTCACTAAACGTTACAGTGATTGGAGACGAAGGATGCCATTACTAACACTTTATTTTCAGACAATTAACATTAATTCGAACATTAATGACATCGAGGAAGAGGTTAAGGTCGAAGTGAATACTCCCAGAGAAAAAAGACAGAATTGGAATGAAATTAAGCGATTGCAGTCAGATTTGAAGACATCGCGACCGAGTGATTATAAGAGAAAACTAAAGCCACCGAAAGAGGAGGACTTTATCGGACCGCTGTCATCGGATTTTGGCGATTCGGACGACGAAACATCGAAACATTCAAATGCGTCGACAAACAGAAAACGCAAGAATAGTGACGATTCGAAAGTCTTCGCCAAGAAGATGAGGCCATTCAAAGAAGCGCAACGGGAGGCAAAGGAAATCATTAATATCGACGATTCATCCGATTCACAGTCAAATATTTCATTCAAGTCAAAAGTATCTTCATCTACATCAGCGCCTGTCATAACTGAAAGTTCACAATCAATTGAGGTAATCCCCGATATAACCGAACCATCCGGATCTCAGTCGAGTGATGTATCAGAACTTAGTCGTTATTATCGAAATAAGGGTATAATTAAAAATAGTTTTGTTCGGTTAAAAAATTATTCAAAACAATATATAGAGAAAGCTATTGCTGGAGAAATTGATTTTGAAAATTCAAATGATTTTCAAAATGAAACCGAAGAACACAATTCAAGACAAACTAATAGTGAAGAAGACATTGCAGATAATGATAAGGAAGAAAACATGGAAATCGATGGTATGACTGATATACCTAATGGTAACACAAATAAGATGATTGAGAATAATATTGAAGATTCGAATGACGACTCAAATTATTCTGCAAATAATAATTCTAACGATGATATAGATGTCGACGAGGAATCAATGGACGAGGACTCGGATGACAACAATTGGAGTGAAGATAGCGAAGTAAATGTCGAAAAAAAGAAGAAAACGAAACCAAAAAAGAATAAGAATAACAACAACAAGAAAAAGAGTGAGAATAGCAATAATAAGATAAATAAATTGAGAAAACAGATGAGTAGTCTTCATAAGAGTATTAATAGTATAAAAAATCACAATAATGTTCACAACAACAATAATAATAATAATAATAATAATAATAATAATAGCAATAATAGTAATGAGAGACAACAGCCAAACAATAATATTAGTGTTAATAATAATAATAATTATAATCACAAAACAGTTCATACCTGTAATTATTGTAATTTCAAAACAAATGAAAGAAGAGAACTTATAATGCATACAACATTCCATAAGGATATCAACAAAACCAAAGTCTACTGTAATGTCTGTGCCATGACTTTCTATACCAAAGAACAGTTGGATCAGCACAAGGATGAACAACATCCGCCAGACGTCAAACATTGCATTCTCTATGGATGTAGTCTTTGCAAAGAGAATCAGTTCGAGACTGTCGATGATTTGGATCAACATTTGGAGACACATATCGAAAAAATTGATTACTTGAAGTCAATGAAATACAGATGTGCTGTTTGCAAGACATTCACTGCAATAACTGATGAATCCGTATTGAGTCATATGAGGCAAAAGCATCGTCACTATAAATGTGCTTTTGATTGTTCACTAATCGCTCAAGACTTTCCATCACTTGAAAGGTATATTTAAAAAATCATTTAATTGTTTTTATAATTAATTATTTGATTACTTGACTGTATGTGATGTGTGAAGACATGCAAAATCAGTTCACAAACGGTTTGTCTCATACTTTGAATGCAAATTCTGTGACTACGGTTCGGCCGCTTTCGGTAGTCTTATGCAACACAACCTATCGAGTCATGCTATCGATTGGGTCTCTCAGCAGTATAAGTGTTGTCTCTGTGATTCGTCATTTGATTATTTGGACACTGAATCCCTTTTGCATCATTTGGTCCGACACGCGCCTGACTTTTCCTATTTTGAATGCAAGATTTGCAACAAACGAGAGAAGCAATTAAAAGCAATTGAAAGACATATTAAATCACACAACGGTGTCACCGATGAAGAGTTTTTTCACAATATCTGTAATCTCAATGATTTGTTTTCAGAGTTACTTAAAGTCAAAGAGAGTGACGAACAGCGCAAAAGAATGAATGCAGCGGCGGATCCACAAAATGCTATTAAAGGTCTTCTCGATGAAGAATTTGGACACAATTATGATAATAATAGTAATTATTATTTCTAATTAGTTTTGTATTAGTATTTTATTATCAAAATTTATATAATTAATGTTTTTATTGTCGAACCAGTCGATGATCAGCTCTCGAGTTTGGTTAACGATACCATTTTAAACGGTTTCGAAGTCGAAGAAAATCATGAAAATCCAATTTTAAGTATTCCCGAGAACGGTATCCCTAGTATTCCCGACGGTGTCGACAACGAAGTCGAAGGAATTGATCCGAACGATGGCTTTGCATACATCAGTCAGGGATCGGACGGTCTGTGGAGAGCTGCCGACTGACTAACCCAATGATTCCTAGTATTTGTATTTCTATTTTTTTAATTCATTATTATATTTTCGATAAATATTTTTGCACACAATTTGTTGTTTATTTTCAAACATCTCGTTATTTTTTACTAATGAATCATTTAATTCATAACAAAACTATTGTTTTAAAAAAGCGTTTTTGTTTTGATTTATAATTTGTTATTTTTTTGCGAATCTTGTCGGCGATTATTACATTGTTTTTATTAAAAAAATTATTAATCATTATTTGATATTTCTTTAAATACATATATTTTTGTTTATACTGTAATTATAATAATTATGAACATTGTTTTGTCGTATGACTTGTCCAAATGGGACAGCATTTTAAAAACAATTTTATCACAAGAAAACATGAATTATTTTTTTTTGTATAACATTAGTACAGTAAATATACAGTACATTATGTGAATAAAACAGTTGAACAAATTTTTGATAAAAGTGCTGATCAATTGCTATTATTTTTTCATTGAGTCAACAATATATACAGTATATCAACGATTAAAATAAATCGATTATTTAAGTCACAAGATATACAATATTATCAAAAGATATCTCAATTTTTTTACAAATTTTGTGCTAAATATTCGACAAAAAATTTAAGACTCGCAACAAAATATAAGCAAACTTATTGACAACAAAAAAATGCTAAAATAAAATCAATAACAATATTAATAGTAAAATAATTGATAAAATTTTTAAAATATATTGTATATAATTTATAAATGGTGCTATAGTTTGCCAACATTTTGTTAATTATAAATTGATTTAAAAATATAAAATAATAATAAAACTTATATAATAATAATTACCCAAAAAATTAATAATAAATAAACTTATATATAAAGCATAAAATTTAAAAAATAAATAGAAATTGATTTAAAATTAAAATCACTTGTCATCCAATTCATTGGTGTCGAGTATTTCAAAGCCATTGACACCATTCGTGGCATTCAATTCATTGGAAGAATTGCTTTTCGTTATACTATCGACAGTGGAAGCACTTTCAGAACCGGACTCTTTGTCATCTGTTTTGTCTTCATTGGCTATCAGTGGTACATCGCTACCATCATTGGTATCATTATTTCCATTGTTTTTATCTTTATTGTCGTCATTATTATCGCCTGATTTATCTTCGTGTGTATATAACGGCCAAAATGATTCCCAAAAGCCTACATCTTCTGTCAAATTCGGTAATAGCCAGAAGTGATGCTTTCCGAAGGTTACGGTCCAAACAATTGTAAATATTATTAAACGAACTTTTAAAATGATAATTATGTTATTAATTATTAATTAAATAAATGCTAACAAACAACAAAAAACTTACGAACGGCTAAACCAATAATAAAAAACAGAAGAGCGGCGGCCGCTATACTCAGATAATAGACATAATTGCGAACAGTTCGCGGCCAAAGAGGGAACAAACAGATAGCAATGGCGGCAAACACAAGACCTGCACCGAAAAGCCACGTACGCAATGGGATCGGGTCATAGATCCAGACATATGGCTATTGGAAAACATTCAAAATTTCAAATAGAAATACATTTAAGCGTTAGATCGACTATCGTTATCGATTGACTGACAGATAATCAATACCTCATTTTCATCGACAAATAACTGTTCAAAATGCATGTCAAGCTTTATTTTCTTCTTTTCTTTTTTCTTAACTTCTTTATCGCCCTCTTTATCTTCTTTGTCTTTAATCTCTTCTTTAGTCTCTTTTGAATCTTTTTTAAACTTTTTCTTCTCACTCTTCATCTGTTCTTCATTACAACTGCTCTCTTCGTTATCCAATTTTTTCTTCTTCTCTTTCTTGACGACAACAGTCTTTGCTCTGTGAAAAAACTTGTGTCTCAGCATTAGATCCATGAATGTCACCACAGAGTCGCGGGATGTAAATAAAGCTTCTTTTTGTCGTTTGTCATCCTTAGCCCATTTCGAGTCCATTAATAGATCCACTGATTTTGAGGCTATTTGGAAGTGTAAACAATACAATCGTTAGTGTAATCAATGAAATCAATAACAAAAAATAGTTGTCGTAAATGTGTTACCAATAAAGTAGTCGACTTTGTGTGACAAAAGTGTTGTCTTCTTCGGCGGTAACTTTGATCTCATGTACTTTGCGATCTCGTACTCCACTTTCGACGGCTTCTCTGAGTCCACGTCGACGTCGGCCTTAATAATAATATTAAAGACATTTCTCATCAAATTATGACAAAAACAATTGATTGACAATTAATTTGAATAATCAGTTGTCAATCAATTGGATATACAAATCATTTGTCAATATATTTATTGACACTAAATATGTCACCAATTGATTGATTCAATAGATTTGACAACAAAATCAAAGACAACAAATCACTTACATCTTTAGCCTTTCGTTTGGTTTTTCTTCGATCAGCCATTTGTTGTGACAATCATTGATTGAATTCAATTAAATTAATTGTTTCAATAAATTGTTTATAAAATATCACAAAAAATAATTGTAATATAATTTTGTTACTAATTATCGATTCACTCAACAAATGTAACAAAATTTTTCTATGATTTGTCTCTTAAAAAAACAGTGCATTCAATGCATCACTCAATACATCATTCAATACTTATGCTTACATATAGTGTGTGACTATTATGTGTCAAAATTGATAACCCTATCAATTGGTGATCATTTAAAAATCATTTACTAAATAAATACTATCATAAAAACAATTGATTTAGTTTTACTTATATATTTCAATAATTAAATTATAATTTATTTAAAAAAATTAAATAATTAATTTGCAAATTTAATTTTACAAATATAACTATTTTCCCCCAAATATAACCCAAATAGTAATATCATATGTGGAATGTTATGTAAGCATATGTTTGGATATTATGTTAAAGTGTTTTACGTTTAATAAAACAATATTTTTTTTAAGGCAATCATTACACGGAAGTCAAGCTCTTATGACTTGTGATCGATAAACTTAAAAGTCTAATAAAAGTTTTTAAATAATATAATATTACAATATTTATTGTGTTATTAAAATAAAAAATATAATCTAAAATAATGATTAATCAATAACTAGTATATAATGTAAGTTTTATTATATAAATATAATCTAAAATTTTATATTAATAAAAAAATTGTGTCTTAAATAATAAAGTGATGACAAAGTTTATCTCTCACTCTTTAATAACTCGATTCGCAAGTAATTAGCTAAACGTCAAACAATTATTGAATGCAATATTGCATATGTGACGGGCATATATGAGTGCTTACCCGTCAAATGCCCGTAAAGTAAGACTTTACGAAGCAATAAGCAATGCGGGGTATGTATGATAGGGAACTGTGACGTAATTTATGAATGGGATACTATTAGAAGACTATTTAAGCGTTACGGTATATTTGAATGGTATATTTACTACGTCACAGTATATATGAATGGCCCATTCGGGGCTCTGGTAACTGCGCTTATATATCGGTTATTAGTATCGGAAGCCTTATACCGGAGCTCGGGATGACCTATCTGTGTTAACAGAATAATAGCCAAACTCTGCTACACTTAAGGCTTACACTTACTATTCAAATAATGAGTACAACTGTTTATGAGCCTTGAAGCCCCTCCTAGACTAGCTATTGCTAGCCTGAGCTCCTCCTTGAGCTTGAGCTTCCATTTTATTGATAAATATAATGAGATAGTTAATGATTTACATGTATTGCTTATTACAGCTATTAAACATAATAATAATTAAATTAAACTTATTTACAATATTAATAATAAATTATAATGCATTTTAAATAACAAAACATAATATTAATAAACATATAATTAATACGAAATTAGAAAATAATATCAAATATAGTTAATTTAAAATATAATTAATAAATTTAAATGTGTTTTAATATCGCACATAACAAAATCGACTTTGTTATGTGCTATTGGTAACGGTAGGAGCGCTGATGATATTTGTCCCGTTATACATATAAATTACATAATTATTTTTATTATTTATTAAACTGTTTTAAAAATAAATTTGTAATACATTTTGTGTGTATTGATATCAAACTTGAACTTCAAAAAAGTCGACAACTTTTGGTTAATGTCTTTACAAACATTGTTTGTATTTTAATAACTTTATTATAACAATAAATAATTAGAGCATAACTTTCATTCATTATTTTAATATAATTATTATTTTATTTATTTTTATACAATATATGTTAGTTTGTTTGTTAACATTATCTAAATTTTTCATCATTTTTTGTTTGTTTATATATTTTATTTAAACAACATTTATTTATAACAATAAATTAACTAGGTAATTGAGACAAAATATCATATATATATATATATATATATATAAATAATTTATTGTCAGTAATTAAAGTGTTAACACAAATTTCAATGACTAAAACAAACAAAAAACTAATATTTTAAATACAATTCAACAATTGACTTAATTTAGACAATAAAATTTAGACTATTATATTATATTATTATTTAAATATTATAAATTGATATACATTTACAAATAAACGTTTATAAAAACTAATAAATTTTTAAATAGAGTACAATTAAATTAATTTAATAAACCTTTTTGTTAAACTATTAAATTACATCAAAATCACAAATAAAATACACAATTACCTCACAAACAATTACACGTTGTTTTAGTTGATATTTTTATAATAATTACCGTTTTTAATAATCGGTATTTTAATAATAATCGTGTAACTGTTGTCTAATAACATTTAATTGTTAAAATAATTATTTAAAATTAAATAAATTACTAATTACTATAAATCTCAAATTACTTTCAACAACAAATATCAAGATAAATCTATTTATGTGCAAAAAGTGTATTACAATAGTAAATTAAAAATCATGTAAAAAATTAAAAAATATTCAACTAAATTGTTTTGTATATACCTAAAAATAATTTCATATAATTAATTACCTATTTATCAAAAAATACTTTTAAAATTAATAAATTTGTTACTTTATATAACAAAATAATCCCTTTTTATATTGAGATATGAGAAAAATACTGTGTTTTTATATTTGAAAAAAACTAAATTTAATTATTGCACGGATAAAATGGCACAAAAATGGTACTGTAATTGGTTAAGACAAACATAAATATGGCTCCAAATGTAGAACCAATTTGAGTGAATATACCGCAGAAGAATAGAGATTTGTGTCCAGTGCTTGTATTGCGAAGAATAGTTGCAATACAAGCGCGAGAATAGGAAAACAAAGCCGTGAATGCAATCCAGACTAATACTATCAATACTTTACCAGAGATCAGGTCTTGAAGTGGCGGCGTTGGACTCATTACTGCAGTTACAATGATATAAGCGACACAAACTGTACCCACAATTATAACAGCGGGAAGTGTTCGCTTAATTATCGATGGCTTTATATAAAATGCAATGAAACAGGCAATCGGGTTAGCTATTGATGATAGGGTTACTGTTAAATGATAGGTTGTATTTCCATATGGCAGACAACTGTAGCTTTGAATACCTTTGAGATATATCATGATTAGTATAAATTTAGTTATCAATTACAGGTAATATTGAAAATAATTACTCGGAAGAACTCCATTAGTGAGGGCACAGATGTAGGCCTGAGTTATCAATAAAACACCGAAAGAGTGACGACTTATATTTCTGTCATTTGTTTGTTTTAAACGTTTTTCTAATTTAAGTGCCGATTCTTCACTGCTTTTCTCGCAATTTGAATCCGACTCTTCATTATTAGTGACCGCTCGAAGTCTATTGATTTCGTCGCTATCATCCTTATGGCTGACTCTTTCTGTTTGGCATAACTTATAGTGATTGAGAAGAATGAATGCCAACCAACTGACTAAAACCATAACCATTAGAAATATCATAAAAACATTGACAGAAAATCGTGGATCAGAATATTCGGGGATAACTTTGTTGGGATCTGTTGTCGAGTTCACGCACTTGGGATTACCACCGACTCCTTCAATTGAATACAAAATTATCATTATTATTGACTAACGATTACAAGAAATTTATTTTTTTTTATTGTAAAAACCTTGAATAAGGGCCACAACACTGGGCACGAGTCCACTCAATCCTTGTCCGATCAGATATGACATCAAATACTTTGATTTAAAGTGTGCCATAAATGGTAAGTATAATACAGATGTCGTACAGTCGACAACAGCCAACAGTGTAACCAATACAAGAAATGCCACCGAATGTGGGTTTCCATTGATTTCGGTGATTCGGTCCCAAAACACACTCAATAATAGACAGGACAGCGAACCGATTAGTAGTGTCACGTGAATGGCCGGACTTTCAATGGACTGTTTGGTTAAATTGTATACAAATGAGTGGATCAATGAATCAAATCATTAAACAATCAAAAAGTTTTCATACCTTTAATGTAAATTTAAACTTCAGTATAGAGTAGATGATTGGCCCGATGTTAGCCAACTGAGTGATGACCACTACATAAGCGGCCAAATTCCAGCTTTCGGGCAATCGTTGGACAAGAATCGGTGTCTCCACCCAAACGCCATTCACTTCAATCCAAGAACTAATACCGAAAAGTATGGCCAATATATCGACCAAAACAACCCTTTCATTGAATGCTATTTTAGACATAATATCTACTAATATAACAACACTTTAAGGCACTAAATAAGTGATACCTTTATTATTACACCAAACTATCGCTTATTTTTTTAAAAATAATTATAGATTTTATAATTATTATAACTTTAATATATCATAAAAACATTAGTTTTGATTACATTTTTATATATATGACAATAATAATAAAATATAATTTAAATTACAATTATTTTTTGTTGTTAACAATGTGTCTAAATGTATCAAATAATTATTATAAAATAATAATAAATTAATAAAACAATTGATATAAATAACAGAAATTAAGTACTAATTGAGTACTTTTTGAATATTTTCAAATTAATAATAATATCTAATCTCAATAATAATTATTATAATTAATTAATTAATGTAAAGTTAAGTACTATATAAATATCATAAATGATATCACAATTACTTAAATAATAAACAAATCGATGCAATTAATTGTCATATCATATATATATATAATACTGTATAATAAATGATAATATCTATTGACAACAAATTATTTATATACTGTTAATAATAGTAATGTATTGCAAACATATGTGTGTCAATCAAAGCACACTTTAAAAACATAATAATATTTATTGAATTATAATATTAAATGTTTATAAAGTTTTAATTGTAAATACTATAGAGTCTATTGTAAATACTATACTATAGACTATAGTCAACAATGAAAGCCGTATTTCATCACAGATTGTAGTTTCAAATGTGATATTTATTTACAAAAATTTATGTCTACTTTTGTAATCATATTTTCAAAACCCACTCTTAGTTATTGTCAAAATATATTAATAGCAATTGAATACAAATATATTGTACCCATTGTTACGTACTTTGTGTTTAGTTTTTTAAATATAAAACTACACATGTACAATTTACAATTTATTTTAGAAATTTTTAAATATGTCAAAAATGACATTTAAATAAAACATAAAATTATTTGAATATAATTTATTAATTTTATTTAAATATACATATAATACACTAAAAATTATTAAAAATCGTTTATATTGTTTTAATTGTACAAAATCATAATTAATTAATTATAAAAATAATAACATTAATGGCATTTATTAATAATTCGTATATTAATTTAGATTAAAATAAATATCTTAAATATTAGATAAATTAAAAGTTAATAAAAAAATAATTAACAATTTAAGTTAATAAAATCATAAATTTTATATTAGTTTATAAAAATTATTGATTATGGCATCAAATTGTTATGTATTTTTGTAATGCTGTCTTATTTTTATCTATTTATTTTTTTTGGTACTTAAAAAATAATTCAAACACAGTATATTAATATTTTAAAAATATTATTGCAATATTAAAAAATGGATTTTTAACATAAACATTATATCAACATATTGAATATACAGTATTACAATTAAAAAATATTTTATATGCAATATTATACTACAGTATATATTGTATATAATGTCACAGAATATTTAAAAATATCTATAAATTTTTTTAAATAGTTTTTATTACATGAATTATTGGTAAATTTAGTTAATTTTTAATATTGCAATAATATTCAAATAAACATTAATTATAATTCTGTGTATTATATGTCTCTCAAAACCACTTATATATAAAAAATATATTATATTATAATTAGTTATATAAAGCGCTGAATGAATCGACTCATGAAATATCTAAACAAATATTTGTTCGCTTAAGACCTGTGTTACGAATGACCATTGAATGTCAATTGAAGGTAAAAACAAACAAATTTAATAATTATTTTTAATAAATTCATTTTTATAAATTTTATTTAAAATTTACTAAAATATTTTTTAACAATTTTTTAAAAATATAAAAACTGTATAACATGTAATGTATTGTAAATAATATTAAAATTAAATAATTGTGTTATGTAATTAAGCGGGTAATGTTTATAAATAATGCGGTGAATATTTATGGGACAATTGAATACTAATTGTTATTTATAGTTAAATTTTTAGATAATAATAATAACCAATTGATATAATAATTTAGTGAATATTATACATGCGATGATACATTCGTATAATTCAATTTTAATATTGTTTCCATTACTTAATTGCTGTAAAAATAATAAAACGACAGTTATGATGATAATAATATAATAAATAACAAAATTATATAAATATTAATACCGTAGATAAATATTAGTTGTAAAAGAAAAATTATATACAATTATAAGCTTTTATTATGTTATGCATTGATTTAAATGCGATAAACATATGACTTGTTTTTAAAAGACTCTTATCGTTCAGTGAACTCAATCTCTACTAAACAAAAAAAACTATAGTATTATATAAATGACAAATAAAATACTTATTATGAGAACAATATTCTTAATAAATGTATAGAAAACCACAAAAACTTTTATTATTATTTATTTTTTATTTGCATTTTATTTAAATTAAATTAATAGCTATAAAAATAGTCATTTTAATCGAATGCACGGAATGTAAGTTTATATATACATTAAGTATAAAAAAGTTTTTCATTATTAAAGGGTTAGGCATTTGTGATGAGATGCAGACAAACGGCTTCATTGATAATACAGTGAAAAAATAAGTAATTTATAAAAGAGTTCATCACAAGAGGGGTCCCAACAATTTTGATGCCAATTGTCTGTCAGTACACAATAACTGCCACATTATTACTAATACTGTATTTATATTATAAAGAGTTGTCGATCCCATTGTGGTTACCATTGATTGTAAATTTTTAAAGCATTACTGATCAAAATTATGAGGCATTTATTTCAATACCTTATTTATATTATTATACACTGTATGTGCTTATCATTACTATATAGTATATACTAAGTTATGAATTATATAATTATTACAATTGTTAAGTACTGTATATATATTTTTTGAAGAGAGGAAACTCATTCATCAAAGAATTGTTGATTTTTGTAAACAATTTTCTTTAAATAATTCATAACTTTTCTTCACTCTATTATTTGGTTTGAATTTTTATGTTAATATTTAATACACATTTATTCAACTAATGTAATGTACATTTTTATGTAAAATTCAATGACTGTTCCCAAAGACTGTTTTTAAGGCAACCGGAGCCCAAAACACCCGATAAATTAATGACCAAATTAGGAGTTACTTAATTGTCGGATAATTATGATAATTAAGACCGATTCACTTATAACTATTTATTCAATAATACAATTTAAATATCCAAATATTGGGTAATAACTCATATAATGCTATATTATATGTCATTAGTTTAATGGGAATTAAAGTTTTTGAAAGAAAAAATTATAAAATAAATGGTTTCCAAATACAGAAAGAATTGTGAATCAATTTTTTTGAAAATATAAAACTTTTTGGTAATATATTTTAATAGTTGTGTATTATTGTATATAAATAAAAATTATATATATATATAATACTTATGATTTAAAACTAGTTTTGCTGAAAATTACTGTATCATTAGCCACACAGTACTTATACAGTCATATTAATAGTCATTTTTTTTTATTTTAAACATTATATAACAGATTGTTTGAGGCAAATGTGAGGCACTTCTTATAAATACAAAATAAATTACAGCATATTATTTCTTATATAAAATATTGGTTTGCATTTCAAGTTTTGTTGCATTTGTGTCAGTCATCTGCCTAATCAAAAAATATCTTAAATAATTATCCACCGAAAAGGATTTATTTATCTATTAAAACAAAAAATACCAGATTTTTAATGTATTCATAACAATAAATAATATTTAATATTTAAATATAGAAACCAAATCTTCATATATATACAGTATATATATAACTATTTATTCCTTCATCTTCATCGATAAAGATATAAATCTTTTGTTAAAATAATAACTTCAAACTCCAGAGTGTTGTAAACAAAGATTTAAATTAAGTCAAACTAACATAAACACTAACATAACAATAATAATGATTAGTGTGTTAAAACCTAATATAAAAATGGGTTAATTATCTTATATATCATCTGAAAAACTGCTTTTGTATTCATGTTTACGAGAAAATAATAATAATAATAATAATTGAAGGAAAACTATTATATTAATAATCAAGTGTTACCTTCAATATAATAAAATTACATCTATTTCTATGATAATTATTAAAGTTAATATCTAAGCGTTTCCTTGAAAAAAATAACAACAAAATTGCTAATTATATGATTATTATAAACAAGAAATAAACTTTAAATTAATTGATCCCCTTTTACATGTATTTTTGTTTGTTTTGTTTAAACAAAATTTGCTTTTTTACGACTACAGAGTATATACTGTATAATTCATGCAAAAAAATCAACAATAATAACAATATATATAAAATCAAAGCTCAAATGAGAGCATTTGAAGACTTTAATAATAATAATAATAATTAAAATTATATCTTAAAACATATTACATTATGATTACACGTATAGCATATTATTTATTACAATAAAAAAATTAATAATGAAATAAATTGACGAATAATTGTGACTATTATTCGTTGCTTACAATATAATCACAGATATATACTGTATTTATATTATACATATATAGCTAATTTTATTTATAATTTTACAATTTCGACATTCACTTTATATTTAAATTGAAAATACAATAAATTAAAGGAAATCAAAAAAATAATAAGATAGTTATCGATACAAAAAATGATAAAACAAAAATAATTTTTTATTTATAAGTACAGGATATATCATTAATGAAAAATAATATAAATGCAACACACATTTGGATTGAATTTACGTTTGACTAGCAATTCATTACAACAGCAAAATTATGTTTTAACTTATTTAAAAAACAACTGTTTTATTAACTGCTTATAAATAATTTTTATAGTAATATCAATTTAAATTGCTTTTACTTAAATATTGACTTTTTTTTGATCAAAATATTATTATAATAATAATTTATTTCATTTATAAGCTAATCGCACGAACCAGTCATTCAAGATATTGGCTGTGAATTGACTTACTTATCATTATTTAATGAATTAATATTGTGTTGCAATCGATTTTGATAATGAATTTTAATGTTTAACTCATCAAAAAAAATCCTAAATCAGAGTATTTTTCCGATAAAAATGACAAATAATTATGTTTTTCGTTACAAATTTAAATTAAAAAAAACATTTATGTATTTAAAAAATAAGATATTCCGATTGCTTTTCATATATAGAATTATATGCTAATTAATAAAATGAGAAAAAATAAGCATTGAATACAACAACAAAAATGAAAATTATTACTAAAAGAACTTATCGTTTTAAATGAAAGACTATTTGTATGTTTCAAAAAATGTTCAGAACATTCACTGAACGGAATGATTATTTGTTTTTTCAAGTCTTCAAATATATACTTAAAATTTCAAAATATTTAATTAATATTATTATTATTAATAAATGATATAATAAAATGAGTGTTTTTTTTAAGTCATCAAAGATATCGATACTTTTTTATACAATCGTTGCCCAAATCGACGACAATTACGTGATTGTCATTAGTGGTCACTAAACTGGTCGGTCGTTTAAGTTTGGCATCACTGCTATCAATGCAGAACTTCAACTGACCAGAAATCAAGTCAAACACTTGGATAAAGCTCTTGGATTTTTCAACTCTTGTGGCCAAAAGATTTTGTTTATTATCAACAGTTATTCCACAATATTGACCCCTATTTTTGCCCTCACTATAGATGTCTTTTTTGAATTTTCCGTTTGCATCGAACACTAGTATCCTCGAGTCGGCCACTAATATATCACCGTTGGGTTCGAAAGTGATGGCTCCGATCACACCCAATGATTCAGTCTTTTGATTGTTATTTTTGGTTTTCGAAGGAATTCCTGTTATTCTGGTGTTAAGTTTGCCCGAAGGATGGAAAATGAATACAGTGTGCGCTCCGTTATCTGCGACCACAATATCGCCCTTAGGGTTCACTGCTAGACATGTCGGCTCAATAAAGTCACGATGACTGAAGTGTCTAACAAACTCTCCTTCGAGCGTTAATTCAGTGATATTTTTGTTTCGCCAATTACTGACTAGAAGTGATTCCGAATTGGCTGTCATTGCAATACCAGTTCCCGCTCTGTTGTCGAGTCCGTGACCCTCAATGTGATTAACAAAACTAAACGGAGAGTTATTGCAATGGTTTTGCATAAGTACTTTAATTCTTCCATTTCCGGTGTCCAACACATAAACCTTTTCATCCTTTTGGCTGATATCAAGTGCAACAGGTTGTATAAACTGGTGCTGATCTGATCCACGACAACCATATATACACAATGGATTTATGTGTTCCGAAACCTCAAATTCTAGTGGAAAATCTTTGATGGGTCGGCCAAAGATTGTTATCTTAAGACAATAAACTCCTGCTTTGGGTGAATTGAAATGAGCCTCATATGTGCCATCTCTGTTGTCCACAATTCTCGTGCTAACAGTTGATCCGTCGGCAATGTGTTTAAGTTCGGCACTGACGGGATCGCCGCCAAACTTTTGTCGCATACCGTTATAATCGTAAGCTATTATGTGAGCGATTGAACGCAAATTTGCCGAACATTTGCTAACAGTTGCAGTGCATAGAGAGGGAAACGTTTTACTGGTTCTTATAGTACCGAAACTGTTGACACACTCCTGGATGTCCTGTACGGCAGAGTTATGTAAATGTTCGTAACGTATGAAACAGTTCTCTCTCGGATCAAACAATGTATTAACTGAATCCAATTTTTGGTTAAGATCTGAGATCTTTTTGCTTATATTGCGTACTTCCACCTGATATTCAAGTCCACAGCATTCTGTCTCTACTTTTGCTTTTTCAGTCTCAATAATATTTAACTGTTCAGTCAATACATTTCGTTTGTCTTCTTTAATTTTCTTTGCGTAACTCAATAATTCTTGTCGTCTTCGGTCCACAATATTAATGATCTCCTGAAACGTGCGATTAATGTCTTCAAAGGCGTGCTCAGCGTTTTGATCCAATTTTCTCATCTCATTCAACACATTTTCTGCCGATTCATTCAATTTTTGTATGCATTGATGAGCTTTATATAACAATATTTCGGACATCCGTTTAATAGCTATTGAAAACGGTATCACCTAATGATCAAAATAATCAGTATATTACTTATCAATTTCTATAATAATTATAATAATAATTTTCATCAATTATATACCGTATGTTCACAGTTACTACTATTAAACTGTCCATCGTTTGCATCGTTCACTCCGTTTGATCCATGGGAACCGTTAGTGCAAACACTACAGAAGACACAGTCACAGGTCTCACAAAAGAGCAGTTCCTGTGAGACATGACTCGAACATTTGGGAATCACTTCACGTCTTTGACGTTGCATTAAGTCTAGCAATTGGTTGACCAGAAACGATGGCGGAAAAGCTATAACACCGCCGCGCGGCACTTGTATTGACTCGCGACATATGGGACAACGGAAAGCGCCCGTTTGGTCGCGAAGACCGGCCGCCGCAACAATCCTCTCGAGACATATGCGGCATATGGTGTGAGAACAGGGAAGCAGTTTCGGTGTGTGCTCTCCGGCATCGTATGTGTATAGACATGTGCCACACGTTAAGAAACCTTCGGTGAAATCTTCATAATTTATTGACACCGTCTCGACCAACGTTGAAGAGGTCATCATTTTGCGGCCCAATTGAGATCTAATACAAGATAACAAAAATAATAATAATAACAACTTTATGTAAATATTATTAACAGTTTAGCGCTAACTTTATTTGTAAATATTTATGACATTTTTACACTAATCATTACAAGCAATGTTAACTAATGTTTTATTTATAACAAAACAAATTGAAAGACAAATATTTGTGCGTTAATTATCATTAATTTATACTATTTTACTGAAACATCAAATGTATGCAAAAAATTATTGGCAGATAGTTTAGTGTTGATATAAATGCATATATAAAACACAGATGTTTTGCACCACACATATGACCACACATTGTATGGAAATAATAATTTATTGTATAGTATTTTATCGCAAAAATATTCATGACTTTCAACTGATAACTGCTTCACGTTTTTTGGTATTCAATCAATGCTTTTAAGTTTATTAAAATATAATATCGTTATTATCATAGAGTTATCATTAAATTAGTTTATTTTTTTTCGGCAAAAAAAATTATTTAATTTATACATAAATAAATAATATAAACATTAACTTTATGAGAAAAACATGAAATAAATAACACATTATTTGCATTATTAACGGTACAGTAAATTCATGATTGAATTAAAAACAACAAATAAATTATTAATAATAAATTCAAACCTCATATGAGTTGCCGTTCGCGACATATCTTGAAGTCAATGAAAACATTAATAATATCTATATATTTGATTGTAATATATATTTTGGTTACAATCGCTTCAGAGAGACAACCGATAACTAGAAATACAATTAACATATGATATGACATATACTCTACGGTATGTTTGAGATAACATTATTTTAATACTAATACTAATAATATAATAATATAAAGCAATGTTTGAGATAAACATTGATTTTTTAATAGTTAGCGATTGTATTGAATTGAATTGCAATATATATTGTATGAGTAGTTCATTGATATTATTATCAACAAAACGAATGACTCGTTAAATAAAGTTATGAACTTTAGATGCATTCGAGTCATGACTTAATCATTAATTAAATGCCCACTCATTGCATATACTATTAGTTTAATAGAATAACACATAGATATAGATATTATAAACATTTGATATTACAGTATAATACTGTATATTGTAGTCAATGTATGCATACATTCACTACAACAACAACAGTAATAACAGTATGTTTTGGCAAAACAAAGAGATAAGTGTTAAGAGAAAGACAGCCTATTGTTGGCGATAGTAGTGGTGGACAGTCAGGTACTACTGTCAGGTATGGTCTCTCTCTACTAGTAATAAGGGATTCAATATAAAAGACTTACTGAAGTGCATATCTTAGGGCATCATATCCTGTGGGAGACTGTAATTGTAATGAAAAATTCATGACTTATTTTTAGGTAAGTATTTTGTCGACAATTATTATTATTATTATTATTATTATTATTATTATTATTATTATTATTATTATTATTATTATTATTATTATTATTAATATTTATCATAATATTATTGTATTTATGAAACCATTCAATCAATACATTGAATATTTAATATGAAAACACTGTTTGTTTCATCACTTGATTAGTTGACTGCAATATATATGATATATATATAGAAAGTTTTTTGTTGTTTTATTACAACAGATATTATAAACTATTTGTTTTTGTTTGATATGTTTGTATTATAAAATAGCTTTAATATTATAGTACAGTAGTTATATGTGTTGAAAAAATAGTAGCCAAAAGTGCGCACAATTTGGAGGACAACTGTTTGCACACAAATCAATGCATTTGAATGCAATTCAAGGCAAACGATATGCAAAAAGCCATTCAACACATAAATACACAACAAATACAACACAAATAATATTTTAAACCAAAATGTGAACTAAATATCTCTAGTGTTGAACGTATGACTCAATACACGAGTAGAGCAGTACTAAACATGTAGTCTATTATGAGCTCAATTGCCTCAAAACACAACATCAGCTGCGGGTTAGACACTTGGCTCCGACCCAAAGGGCGGGACTAAAAACAAATACCGTCTAATGATATTTACAGGCACTCAACCCGACTGACCTCTCTCTCAACGACCACACACTGACCGACACGACATCCGTGTGAATCCTAATGACGTGTGGCTTACAGTCATTTGATTACAGTTTTTGACAATTATTGACAAAACTATATATTGTCGACAATGACTGACAACAATGACAGCAAATATCAACTGTTGGTTCCCTAATAATGGGATTTGACTGTTGAAGCCATCGAAACATTATAATACAAGCCATTGCCTCCACCACTGGATATACAGTATTACCTATGATATCATACATTTAGGATTTGGCACAACTTGTTATATACAAGAAAAAAGTTTAGTTAGTTATGCCATCACATGATCTCAAAAAAAGTATTATATAAACATCTGATATGTATTTTGAATGAAGGTTTACCCCAAAGGCTATGATATATTATATACATACTGTAGTATTGTATAGTATATACAGAATATTTAAATATATATTATATCATACAATAATATAAACACAGTTTAGGTATCGACTCAAAAGTTTTAGTTTAAGTGCTGTGAAAGGGAAACTCATGTATCGTATAATATATATTAGTAAAACATAGTCTACAAAATGTGTGGTAGATTTTTTTAATAATAAAAATGCAATTATAATGGGGAGACAAAAATGTTGAGAGAAACTATTTAAATGAAAACTAAAGCACACACACAACGTGTCTAACAGTTATGTAACATAACGTTGAAAATAGTTTTTTTTATCATAGAAGCACACATTGAGTTCATTATATTGAATGCATGACCACAACAGCACAGACACGCATACATAGACTCGCATAGACTGATGTTCCGTAACACCCATTATATTAATTGTGTTAAAGTTTGGGGGCCTTCACTCTCGGGTAGACAATCCTCTTTTGAGTCTAAGAATACCATAAGAATATTATTAAAAGTAGCTCTTTATTTATCGCCGATTCAAATAAGGAAAGGCATTAAAAAAGAGGGATGAGTTGGTTGGCATTGGATCTTAAAGTATAGTAATGTACAGTATATAAGCAATAGTGAAGATTGCGTTTATGAGGCGCTTCCTGTGTTTTGACCAAACGCTTTGGTCTCTTATAATAACATTTTGTGTGCATATGTTTAGAAATACTACAGAAAAAAACTAAATGGTTTGACAATAATTAACTTTTTAAAGACACGTCGGACCCGAAATATGTTGAGACATTGCGGATGGACTCACACTGTGATCGCTGTTTTAGGGACTGTATATCTCAAAACAGTTATCCGGTTAAACAATATTATGAATTACTCATTCATTATATTTTTTTAAATAAGTTTTTTTGTTGTTGTGTCCAAAATACTATTAGTCGAGTTTGTGTTCATCACATTCATTGAGTGGTTTAAAAAACTTTTTTAAAAAACAGTGATTTACTTACACACAACTATTTGAAGGGCAGTAACTGCTGCTTATATGGCACACGTCCTAAAACAAGGGGCCAAACAGTTTCACACAATGTTTGCATTCATTTAACTCCCTAAAAACACAGTACAAATGCATGCAATAAAAAAATCATTTGAAACACAAGCCCTTCCGGTGCAGAGACTCCCGACACCAGAGTATATCAAACTTATTATTTGTAAAATGATTGTAATATTTTATAACAACTGTGTATTTATTTAGTCAAATGTTTATTCATTATTTTTATTTTTCTTAAAATTTTATTTATTTTTTATCGATAGAGCCAAAGCTGATGATGATGTATCATATATTGATTACTAGATATATTGTATATCTAGAAATTATTAATATAAAAATATAAATAAAGATATATAAAAATAGACTGTTATTTAAAGTAACAAAATAGTAAATAAATATTATAATTTTTAAAAGTAAATATGAAAAATTCTGTCCAAAAAATGCACTAATATTTTTCAAAATATGTAATTCAGAAAAAGTTTGTGCTCATCAATACTGTAAAGATTATTATTATACAGTATGAATGCTATATATTTATAATATGGTATTTAAATAGTTTGAAATATCATTGCTAAAAAAATGTAAGTATCATTTCAAGCATACAATACATTCAGAGAAAATTGTGGTTAAAAAAGCGTTGAATTCATAAAAAATGATTTCTCAACAAAAACCGGAAAATAAGTTCAAACCATAAAGTTTTTTCTTTGAAGAGAAAGAGAAATGCATTTTATTTATACAATATATTAATATACTGTACAACAAAACCAATTGATTTAAAGAAGATATGTCATCGATTTGAGCGATAATTTAATGGTATTAATACTGAATGTTTGAAAACTACACATTCAGGAGTTGTATAAGTACTTTGACTCCAAGTGATGGCCCCTCTATTCCCTCTATTTTTTATAATTATATTCATTAAATTAGATTAAAACTAATGATATCACTCTTTATTTCAATTAAATGTTTTCTCACAACAAAACAAAAAATTGATAAAAAAATAATTCAATCAAACAAAACAAAAAAATACAATTAAAATAAATAAGACATTCATTTAAATAAATTAATTGTTTAATATGTTGAATGCTAGCAATAAAATTTAATAACAATATTAGTAAAAGAAAAACAACAAAAACTTTTGAACAAAAAACTATTTTATATATTTTATTGAAAGAGAAAATTATTAATAAAATAAAGAGAAAAAATTGTGATAAAAGTGACGGATAAATATGTTATACATTTGAGCCATTAATCTAATTTTCATTTTTAAAACCACCTGTTTTTGGTTTATTTTTGATAATTTGTTATTTTTAAAAAAAAACTTTAAAATGTAATTTATTTATTTACTTAATCATATTAAAAATACATGATCATAATTTAAATATAAACGATTTATTAAATTTTATATAACAAGGAAATAAATTGACTAAATTTGTAAAGAGAGAGAAAAAAATATGAATTTTATTTATTATTATTTTAAAATATTTTGTGTGAAAAAAATGGTCACAATTA